ACACAAAATCTCTGTTTAAATATCCAAAGTCAATTTTTTTACTAAAAAATGTAGCCGCTCCTTTGGCAACACCAGACATTTTATCACAACTAAGAATGAAAAATTTTACAGTTTTTATAAAAATGTGAATGTTATGTAGTATGCTTAAGTCAAGATGTTGACATACTAAGAATGCAAATTGATAGAAGAAAGACAGTGTGATGATGCATTTTCACCGATAATATGCTGAGTTAATTGCCGTTAATGCTATAATGTATTTCACTGTTTAAGTTTTTGTTTAAAGTCTGTAGGAAGAGCTAACAAAATTCAGTATATTTTTGTTTACAGCTAGCTAAGGACATCAGCACAACCAGACTATGGAGGAGGATATCAATAATAAACGGAAGACGATCGAGCAGTGAAACTGACATGGTGAACATCAAGCTGAGAAAGGTATGTTTGTTTTCAGTGTTGGGAAGTACTGCTAGTGCTCCAGCAAAGAATTAGTTTACTTAGCTTTACTCATTTTGCACTTTGAAGTGTGGTTTTGAAACACATACTTTCATTTTTGCTGTCTGAACAGTGTCCATGCAAGAAAGTCCATTATAAAGAATATAATTTTTTAAGGAGGTTGGGGGCCTCTTTTAACCTAGCATTCGCCTGTCCACATAGAATATGGGCCCGTGCTTGGAACGTATCCAGCAAAGCAAGGGGTGAGCCAATAACAAGGGTGAACTGTACTGATAAAATGTTTGCGCCAGTGACCAGGATTAGAACCGACGATATCGCTGCTTTGGGCCCGAAGTCTGTGATGCGTGACGCTACCCTAACTGAGCCACCGACTCACCTAAATATATGACAAATAACTATAAGTTTCAAATTCGTGATTATAACATCAGTAGGAAATTTTGTTAAGAAAAACTGATCAAACTCTGTCTTTTTGGGAGATGGTTGTGTCCAATGCGTAAAAATATTTTTTCCTACAGTCACCCGACAAAGATGGCTTCCTTGTACTGTTTATAGTACAGAAAGCTACTAATTGCTGCATATTTATACTTTGCCGTACGGTTTATACTTTGTCGTACTGTTTATACTTTGCCGCCCATCAGGATTCCAACGAAACAACACAAAACAGCGTGGTTCTATTATGCACGTAATCCGTGTACACTTGGAAATAGGTTGGCAACACTTAAAAATAATAATACTATGAGCAGCTGATTGACTATTATAACTACGATTTAACCTGTCATTTCGTGTTTATAGTTTCGGTATTTCTGAACTTTCTGGACTTTTCTTTTAAACGTTTTTAAAACATTCCTACGATCTTAATAAGCAAGAAAATACCTTTAAAGCATTTTTTTTTAGGCGCGGAAACCACTTCAAATTACAGAAACATCCGGAACTATATTCTCAAAACGCATAGCACATTTCTTGCCGAGGAAAAATAGTGGAGTGATACGGACCGCGGGTACTACTTTCTCTAGGGCACCATTTGTGTTGCCAGCTGAACCTAAAAACGTGTTGTATAGTGTTTGAAAGACTAATTATTTATATGCTTAATAGTGACTGTAGGAAAAATATAATGTGTAACACGAGTGAAAAAGGCCTTTGCTGCACTCGAGATCATTCCGCACGAGCCGCAGGCGAGTGCGTAAACATTGCTCTCGTGTGCAGCAAAGTGCCACTTTCACCACTAGTTACACAAATAACTATTTTTTTATCTTAATTTAAACTGATTTTTAACTGTTATTTCAACACATTTTCAATCCCGATGATGTTGCTTTTTTGCACAAATTTTTTAGTGTAATTTGTGAAGATGATAGATGGACCTTATAGCTTTCTGTAATCATAACATATTATCACTGCCAGGTTGCCGTGGACGTGTTGGAATGGAACCACGACGAGGTTAGGTTTGCGATGGAAGGAAAGCTTCTCTTCACTCAACCGACCGACAACAATTGGAGAAGAGGAAGAACCATCAAGCTGAGCCCAATCAACGCCATGTTGGTCACGTTGGGAAAGGTAAGATTATCAGTCCAACATACTGTAAAGTTTGATGTTAACAATGTACCAGGAAAAAGGGCATAAAGGGTGATAAATTAGCCGTAAAAAGTAACATAACTAAACTTTCACCTACATCAATGCACATCTCAACAAAAGTGCTACTAAAATCTGGCCCAGACATGTGCTGTAATCTGGTGGACAAGCTTAGAACCATAACGCTTAGGTTTTGGGTTTGCCAATATTATATAGTGTGGCCGTTAAAGCTGACCAATGGTCAGGCAGCATTTTCTCTCCGGCCAGAAGAGTTCAAAGTAGATTGAGGATTTGAATATCGTCTCGGTCAGGACTAAATGTAGCAGTTCAATAGCAGTCACACTTACGTGTCCAGAGTCGTCCATATAGAAGAGTTCCAAAAATGGTGGAAGAGGGCAATAGCCAAAATTGAAAATACACAGTAGATTTTACTAAGCTGGAAGTAAACAGGGTTTTTACACTTCAAATCAGGCATTTTACTAGCTTTTACTTATTGTCTAACTATTTGTCAACCAAAAGCTTTAAAAAAATATATGCATTTTGTTTTTTCCAGCCGACTGAAGACTACCAACCTGATTCTGATGAATTATTGGCCTTCCCCAGAAAGAATGGTATTAGGGACGCGACGCTTCTGTTGCTGAAAGAAAAAAGTGGTCGATACGGGTTGCTGAGGGTAAGTTCTTAAATGATTTAGTTTTAATACAAAATTGAGCCCCCTAAGTTGGAATACAAGAAAGACTAAACTGAAATGTGCAAAAAGTTCACAAATAATATTGTACATGTAGGAAAAAAACAGAAATGTCAACAAAACAGTTGTTGTGGACAAAATTTAAACTATGGAGTTATATGTGTTTGTACACAATAATCTAAGTTTAATAGTCAGTTTTCAGGAACTAATCTAAGTTACCGGTATGTTAAGTCGTCAAAAGAAAGTATTTGGGTTTCTATTCTATGTCTTTGATCTGGAACATGATTTCAAACCTTTTTTTAAATGTGAGAATAAACCTATAGCTGAGGTACTATTGCTTTAAATCATAAAACATAAGCCATTGTGAAAACCTGATTCAGTTCACTGCCAATATTTTGTATTAGAAAAACTGCAAGATAGAAAGCCATATTTTAGTTCTGGGACCAAATCTAAGTCAAATATTTAAGTTTTAAGAAGCCCATTTAGTAATTATTTTAATCTGCTGAGTTATTATTGGTGTTGTTGTGTTAAATTTGTCATCTGTTTGTGACAGGAACCTCTGTTCTTGGACCGATGTATAATTTGTTGTGAGGCTGATGTTGAAGATTACTTTGAGGTTCAAGAACTCGCTACAAAAGACACATATTTGTTTAAGGTATTACATACTATATTACAAGCTGACTTATGTAACAACAACACAAACAGTGTATCAGGGCCGGATCTACAAAATATGGGCCCCCCTGCAACAGTCCTCCAAGGGCCCCTAGAGCTGGCATCAATAGGAGGGACCGTTGGGGCCTACATGGGGAAAATGTTTAAAATATAAGTAGTGGAAAACAAATTTGAAAACGCTATTTTAATGATAAAATATTAGTCGTATTTGTAAAAAACATGTTTGTTAAAATGTGTAATTTTGTAAATTTTTTAATAAAAAAACAATAGGAAACTTCAATTAAACCTTTCTTATTCTTATGTCCATAAGATTTCTAAGTCTTTTAACAAGCTTTTCAAATTATAAAATGCATATATTGAACAAAATAATAAAAGGTTTTAAAATAAAGAATTTCAAGCATAAATAATATGGCAAGGTAAAGTAATAAACAAACGACTCAATTTAAACTTCTGTTTCTTTTTTACACTATATTTTCAAGGTAGATAGGCCTACATACAAATCATGATACTAAAATGTTTTCTTCCTGGTTTTCATTAAAGAAAATCTCTGTACAGAATTGAACTGTCTAGGGTGAGGTCCCGAGTTGCCGTGGTCGGCAATAAAATCAGAAGTCTAAATTTACTTAATAATTCTAACTTAAGCTTTGATGTTGGCAATATCTATATTTGTCTATCAAAACTAAACTTACCGTCCTATTCAATTAGCCTATGTTTATATGCATTAAAATAATTTTACATATTACAAGATCTTTGGGTCCCCTGGTTTCGCGGTTCCTAGATCCGGCCCTGCAGTGTATTAGTTCAGTGGTAGTGTCACTGACTTACACCTGTGATACCGTAACATGTTACTTTACTGTCTTAAGATCATAGTACAGACCAGTGGTTTTACAAAATTGTGATAAATCTTGAGAGCATCCACTGCTTAAATACAAAGCTAAACAGTATCCTTTACCTGGCTTATTATATTAATTAACAAGAATGTTGCAAATGTTTTTGCATTTTCTATCCAACTGTTATAAGTTATTTATTTTAACCTATCACATCAAACACTTGAAAATTAGTCCAAATTAAAACTTGTTGACAGATATATTTAAGATTACAGAAAAGGTAAAATTATGGTGTTCAATATGTTGGTGTAGTTGAGCTATGAAGTGGAACAAAGCAAATTAGGGTTACATTTTGAATTGATGTGTTTAGTGTCGTACTGAAAACCAGTTCAACTAAAGAATGCTTACAAATGAACTAGTTTTTATTATTTTTTACGCTGATCCTTGGGCTATTGCTTTTTTAGTTAAAATAAGGTTGGAAAGCATTTTTAATTATACCTACTAGGTGCGGTTTTAAGTAACATTCTATTTTGATTAAATGAACTATTGAACTTCAAAATTTGCTCGTTATCCCTAACTTGTGTAAGCCTTAACTTATATCTTATTTTTCACAAACTTGGACTTCAACTGTAACAACTTTGGCTTAATATATGATATTCCTAGGCTGAAGACGGAGACCAGACCAAGAGATGGTTCAGACAGCTACAGTATCACGCGCAAGGGCTCGGCGCGTGGCGCAAGCGACGCAACGCTCTCGCCAACATCATGATCAACGGCATGCAGCTGCGCACCTAGCGATGGCTCCCCCTACTGACGATACGCTACGCCTCCGTCACCATCACGATGGAGACCCGCGTACCGCCGAGCTGACAGTGCACAAACCAGTACAAAAAAATCTAACTTTGAAAGTGTAACATAATGTAATTTTGTACGACTCGGACATCCAATAGCTTTTTATATCTAACTTATATTTAGTGTAATATTTGTATTATTTGTCGATACTTGTAAAGTGTTCATTGTGATATTTATGTAAACTTTGTATTATGGATCCCTGTAAAATTATTTGTAAATATTGAAAAAGTATTAACATGTTACTTTTATCGCTTGACTACAGTATTTAGAATTGAATAAAATAATGTTAAAATATTGTTGGTTTTTTTTCTGTCTAACAGTTAAATGTTTTAAAATCTGAGATGCTCTTAATTATTAAATAGTTCAATTAAAGGAAACTTGCCTATGCGGTTCTAGCCAATAGTAGAACCATAGTGTGGCTATACAGCATGGAAGTGTGTTGTAGACGTAGTTCTACAAGGGCTCAACAGATAGCAGCACAGAACTGTCTCTAACAGGTGGCCAGTACTGAGTACTGCCAAATGCAGGAAACCCCCTGGAACCCCCTGGAACTGGTCAATGTGTGTACATTCAATATCTTTGGTCGAAATTTCGACCACTGGATGACCACTCGTACTAATAAATTCACATAACTTTAGCACAATATGTGCATGGTATCAAATCCTTCTTCCAAGCTAAGGCTACACACATATATTTTTAAAACTCGACCAAAAATCTTCTTTTTTTGCTATCCCAGTTTCAAGAAATTTAATTATTTACATTTACCTGTGTTGATGTGCCTTGTGTGGTTTCTTACCCGAGTTCTACAAAAAACTACTGCATACAAATGAAGCACGGTATTTTGTGAAGACATGTTAAAACGTGTGTCTAAGAGGTTTCTCATGTCCGCCATTGAGTTTTGATGTTCGGAATTGGACCATACACATCTGATGCATTTTTGAGTAGGTGACTTCTAATTTTTATACATTTACTGTGTATTTAATTGTACCTACATGCAGCTTATACGATATAAACTTTTAAAACACTCAAGGTTTAAAAAGTTTCACAAGTTTCAAAATTCAATTAATGCTCACACAAGATGCTAGATCATCCTGAACTTTTGCCAAGAACTTGTAAAATGAAGCAATTGAGATTTTAGCTTAATTGAACGTTACTCTAAATCTAAAGTAAATTTACAGCGAACACCTTTTTCAGTCCAGCACGTTGAGAATGAATTTAATAGTAATTTTTTTTTTAAATCTGACTGCACAATAATTAAATTCAATCCATGGATAGAATACCAGACCAAAACAGCTGATCTATTATTATCATTGTTATTAACAAGGCCAAAAATATTCATAAAGTTTTAAATACTGGCAACAATTACAGTAGAACTTTTACGTTCAATTCGTCTGTTGAAAACTCCAATTACCAGATGAAACAGAACCGCAAAGAAATACAAACCAAGAGTGTTTGAGGTTGGTTTGTTGTCAAGTTGTGAGTGTATCACAAAGGTTGTTATTGACTACCACACCTGCGCTACGATATTGTTGTTCGGCCACTGGCATTTGTTGATAAACACTGACCCGTCATACACAAACCATTACCGAGGTTTATTTTGGTCGGAGAGGTCGCTCTTATAAGTTACATGTTTCATATCAAGTTCTTCACAACTAAAGAACATTTTTAGCAAAATTAGGTTTTATAAAATGGTTAAAATACCGTATATCATTTAATCAGATAATGACATGAAATTTGATTTCATTTTTATTATTAACTTGAGTCATAAAACTTGCTGTGTGAAAAAGTTTAGGAACTTTTACTAAAAAGCATCAGATTTTCTTTAAACAATCTTATGGGTTTTTGAATTGGTTTAGATTGAAATTACATTATTGTTTGTATATTTTATTTTTGTTGCGAACTGAAAATTATCAGAGTTATTTCAATTTCAGATTATGCCTATGTATTTTTGAGCTTACATTCTCCAAATGCAATTTCGGCTCTGACACATACATCATGAACTACAAAACAAATTAGAAAATTACGTAATAATTAAGTTTTGCACCAAAAACTAACAAGCTAATTGAGAACTTGGCATATGAAGATGAATTTTTTCCTCATTCCCAAAATATATACACCAGTTCAATCATGTTAGTTCACAATTAAATGTTCTTATACCAACCGAGTCTTACACAGATATTACATTGAGTAGACTGTAATATTATGAAAATATTAAACAGTATCATCTTTACAATTAGGCTTGAGAAAACACGAGTCCCAAAAACTTATTTGAAGGTTTGAGGAATATGAGTGGCAATTACGTTAAAGGTTTGTACACGTCCAATTTATTCCATTGCGTTGTCTGGGCAAATCGTTAGGCTGGGCTAGCTGTTGAGTGTTATGTATACTGCTGAAAGAGACGGAGACGGAGAAGTGTGTATTGATAGTTCAGTCCAACCTCAACTGAGGCGAGAGTAAGAGCTCAACTTTTTTTGGAATTAAGGTTAGTATTTAGTTTACTAATTTGCTATCAAATTATTTATTACTATTCATAAATTAAGTTTTGTAACATTGGAGGGTGTTTAAAACTTTTTATATTTTTCTTTAAGTATTGTTGTATGATACATTTGACAAAATTATTTAACTTTATTGATACAGAACAACAATATGCTTTTAATACTTGAAATTGACTACAAATATTTTATAAATCCAACCAACTCTAAAAAAATATTGTCAATTAAAAACAAGAAAAATCTCATTATGTCAAAAATATACTATGCCGAGCTGTTATTTCAAAATCTGCTAAAATCTAAGTGTATATCAAACTATAATTAGAAAATGAATAAGAATTCTTCTAATTAACAAACATAGTAGCATAAGAGTTGAAGGTGGAAAGGAAAAAACAAAATTTTTGCATTGACCGAAAATCTTAAAAACTTTAGAATGGGTTATCTGTAATTTAATTTTGCCAATTGCCTAATGATGTTAAGAATTAACAGTCAATAATGAGGCCATTCTGATGTCTTCACTCTAACTGCATAATCAGATGCCAGGAGGCATACATTTGATTTAAATCGTAAAACGATTATCTAGTCAACTCAGAGTACCTTCACTACACTTACCGGGATATTTTTTCCCTATTTTTGAAACAAAAAGAAACTTTTTTGTGAATATCTCATTGATAAAACAATTATACAATTCATTGTGCACAGTACGCATAAAAATAAAATTTCACGACTCTGGTTTTTGTTTGTATAAAAACAACACGACATGTAGCGATTTCCAAATGTCTTAATTTTTTTTTTATCCATGCGCCTCTACAACAGATGTTAATGATATACATTGTAGACTAGTTTTAGACTATTGTGGACAGGTTTATTTAATCAGGTGTTATTTAAACACTGTGACTTCCCTTTTCAATCAAGATTTTTAGATTGTTTTTAAACTCGTAAATGTTTGAACTCACAGTGTGTTTGGAAAAATAAAATATATAACTTTGCAATACATTACAATATATTATTGTGACCAATTCATCTCTTTTTACATTATCATCTCCGGTTTTTAGTAGTGATAGTTAGACCATTAAGTTCTGTTGGTATTTTTACAAGTTTTAACCATTACAACATTTATTTGTAAAAATAAAATTAAAGTAAAGAAATTTGTTTAATTTTTTACATTGACGCTTTACAATCGATTTATTTTCAAACCATAATTTGCTTAGATATTTTTATTTTTTTTTTACTTATTCTAGTGGTCTTTGCAGTAATCAATTCCATCAGTTTCCAATGCAATGCAGTTTCTCAAGTAGAAGAACAAGAGGGTGTGGTATTTGTTTTATTTTTAACCAATGATAAAGCGTCCATCAAAACTGAAGTTACTTGAGTGTTTTCGTACACCAGTTGTAAGCATAATGGTTATGGATGTTTATTTTGAATAGCAGACTTCAATTTATAGCTGCTGTACCAAACTTTGTACAGCTAGAATTGAAAAATAACCCGACTCAGCAAACCTGCAGACTAAGCGAATTGCCATCTACCTTGCAAGAATTCCACTAAATTATTCCCTTAAAGTCATCAGATTTATTTCCCATTTAATTATCATTTGATTTTAATGAGGTTTGCTGCAACAGGGAAGACAACAAGGTGTTTTTTTTTTTTTTTTTATATTGATAACTTAGTATGAAGTAAACAAAATTTCCAAATTTCATTAATATATGTCCATAAACAAGCAAGCTACAACAGTTTATTAATTCTTCATAAGAATAACATGGGAATTTTAAATTTTACAATTTTTTTAAATATCTCCGTAATTGTCAGGCGTACAACACCGCTTCAATATACAAAATTATTTCTTTCCCTAAGCTCTACCCAAATGGTTTGGAAATAAATTGTGAAATTTTGTGGTTTTAGGGTCAAAAATGGGAATACCCATTTTTCCCCCCATAAACCCCTCTTCCCATAGTCTGATCATGCTGGTTCACGAACTCGTTCAAAGAGATGTAGGTTTACACGTTTGTAAAAAATTTCATAAAAATTGGATTATTTATAGGCTATATATATATGAATTTGAACGGATGGTGTTTTTGGTCTCTGAGGACATGAAAACTAAAAAGTAAATCGGTTCCGGGTCCAAGTTCTACTATGAGACCTACATTCACTAAAAGTTATTTTAAAACCTCTAATTATAAATCCGTTGTTAAGTTCAGGGTTTTGTACGTAAGAAAAAATGTTGCTTATTTACTTTTATCGAAGGAAGCAAAGAGAGTTGAACAATGGTGGTGAAATAGCTTTTAGAGAACTATCAACAGAAATGTCCGACAAAACAAAAACATTTCAGATGGAATGGCGTTAGATGATAAAAGAAACAAATATAAGAAATGGAACATTGCTGGCATCCCAGACCGTTATATTATTTGGTACCGTGAAGGAAAAGCATAATTTGTTATTCATTTGTTGTAAAGCTAGTTTGTCTCATCTCTTGGGTTTAATTAATCAATGAAGTTAAAGACATCAACTGTAAATTTTTTTTATCCCTTTTTTGCTGTTGACTAAATTTTGATTGGTTTACCTTAAATCTGAAAATATTTATTTTTTATTCTAAAGTCTGTATATATCATCAAGTGTATTCATACAATGCAATTTTCAGTAAAACTGGATAAAGCTCTCAACTCAATACAAACTGTCTTGATTGATTTCTGATTGATCTGATTACTAAACACATTAATTTTAATACACATTTTTCATCACATTGTTGGTGCTGATAAACCTATGATTTTCGAACCAATGGAAACATATAAATGCATGCGGTTTTGTTTGATTAGTAAATTAATTCATTGAATGATCTGTGATACAGGAGAAATAGCATAATTATTGTAACAGACAAAACACTTTAATATCTCGGTAACAGCTGTTTGTTTGTATTTCAATTTCTTTATTCATTTAAAAGTATACATAATACAGCGTTTGAATGGTGTCAAAGATTACAATTATTAAATTATAAAATACAGATAAAAAATAAATTATGAATTAAAAAATACATCCCCCCATACAGATGTCTTCTTAATGTCTAGTATTTTTGACGATGAAGGTGGAAAAATTCTTCTTGAGGATAAATAACCATGTTTATTACAAAACTTTCAATTTTGTTTTAAACTTTTTTGGATCTTTTTCATTTCTAATTCCTCCAGGGATATGTTTTAAAAAAGCTTTTACCAGCAAATGATGGTTTTTTCATAAAACTTTAATCTGTATCTGTGCCTATTTTGCAAAAACAAAAATTGAATCAAAAATAGATTGCCCATAAACAGTTAGTATGATAAGCTGTTTAAAGTGCTCTTTTGCCGAGAAATTGAATTTAGTCTGAGCTTTACTCTCACAGCTCTTTTTTGATGTTTTAATATTTTATCTAGATTGATTTGAGTTGTTGCTCCAAATAGACAGATACCAAATTAAATATGTGAATGAATATATGCAAAGTAAATGTTTTTTCCAAGTTTTGACATCACAGTACAGAGAAATAATTTTTAAAGGGCTAAAATCCGAGAGCTGATTTTTGAAACCTTTTTTTTATATGCTCATTCCAGTTCAAATTCTTATCTTTTGTTGGACCAAAAAGTTTCTGCTGGTCTTTTGCTCAATAAGTTGCGAGTCATACATTATTATTGGGTGATTAGAATTTTTATTTTGTAGTGTTTTAAATGCATAAACTTATTTGTTTTGTTTATTCTTCTTAAGCTAACATTTGTTGAAAAGATAATGATTGTTTTAGCGATAAGTAAGGCATAATTCATCTTTATATTATTTGACGCTATTCATTGTATAAAAACTTGTACTGTAAATGAATATTGAGAATTTTGAATTTGAATGTGATAAAGTTTGTTGTTTTTTTTTGTTATTTAATTTTAGGTTCTGGCACACCAGATAACTGCCAAAATTTCCAAGTCCTAGGAAAGCAGAAATTTCTATTTGTTCCAGTGTACGAGAGGAAATCATTAAATTAGCATCGTCAGCATACCTGCACAATTCACTTCTGGGTTTACATACTAGGGCACTGCATATGACCTTCAAATAGCACAAAAATAGCAATAGCCCTAGAATAGACCCTTGAGGTACTCCATATTTTATTGTTTTAATTTCTGAGGCAGTTTGAATAATTTTATTATTTTTTAATTAAGTAATTTCAACAAATTGTGTTCTACTACTCAGATAGGAATTAAACCATTGCAATGCATTTTTATAGTTATTCCAAGAAATTTCAATTTATTCAACAATATTGGATGTTTTACACTATCAAAAGCTTGAGATAGGTCCATGAATATGCCAATTGTTGTTTCGGTTTAAGAGTAGTGTATAATTCCAAAGCTGACTGTTGTATCCTCTAAACTCAATCAATAACTACATCTCTTGAAATCAATCGAGAAATAAGTCACAGATATCTCCTTAAAGTAATAAAGAAATTTGCATAGTTATTTTTCTTGAATTTAGTTAAGATAAATACTACTGACCCTCCTTAACTCAAGCAAGGAACATGTATAGACTTAAGCTGACATCTCTGATACCTGAGAATCTATTGATAAGTACTGAAAAACTGCCAGTTAAACTAAAACTAGATAGTCAAGGGAGACATTAACCATGTTTTGTAACTTATCAGTCCTTCCACAATACTTCTTAGGCAGAATGGTATAACTAACATGTCACAAATATAATGTACAGCCAGTGTATGTGTACCTGTTTCAGACATGGAGGGCAACACACTCAACGATACCAACACGACTCAAGACACACTCAGTGCTACCAACCATCAGGACTGGACCCCTTACTGGATGAGGCTTGAGACCTACCTCGTCCCGGCTGTGTTCGCCCTCATCTTCATCTTGGGAGTTGTCGGCAACGGAATGCTCATTGTAGTTTTCTTGCGCCACCGTAACATGAGGAACGTTCCGAACATTTACATCTTCAGTCTCGCACTCGGAGATCTCCTAGTCATTGTTACATGTGTGCCATTCATCTCCATCATTTACACATTTGAGTCATGGCCGTGGGGAGAGCGGATCTGCGTAATATCCGAAACTACTAAAGACGTTTCTACAGGAGTGTCAGTTTTTACACTGACGGCTCTCAGCGTAGAGCGTTACTGCGCGATTGTTAAGCCCATGAGTCGTCACATGTCTACCAAACCGTTGGCTATTATAACGTGCACTGCCATCTGGGGGGTTTCGTTCGCGTTTGCCATTCCTGCTATGGTTTTCACACACTGCGCTATGATTTTCATAAAAGAAAATAAGTCGTGGATTACGGTTTGCACCCCTTTTCCGTCTCCTGAACACGGTAAAGTAATGGTTACCGTTCAGTTCCTCATTTATTACCTTATTCCTATTATCGTCATTGGGTTCTTCTACTCGTTGATGGCTCACCATTTGGTCTTGAGTATGCGATGTCTCCCAGGGGAATGTGGCCAAGGCCAGTCAACTCAGATACTTGCGCGGAAAAAAGTAGCAATTATGGTGTTAGCGTTTGTGATAATATTCATCATCTGCTTCTTCCCCACTAGGTTTTTCTTGATGTGGGTCTATTACAATCCAAATTGGAAGGACGACTACAACATGTTCTGGCATGTTTTTAGGATATTTGGATTTTGTTTGGCTTTTCTCAACTCTTGCGTTAATCCGATCGCTTTGTACTTTATTAGTAAAGCGTTTAGAAAATACTTCAATTACTATCTCGTATGTTGTTCCCATTCCAGACTGGATGAATCTGCTTTTGCTCCGACAAACAGTTCGATAAGCCGTCGCCAGAACTCGGTGCTATTAACAACTCTTAAAGATAGCCTTGAGAAAACCTAGGTCTGTGTGGATAACCTTCTATCTGTACTTAATAACAGTGTTCACGCAAAATTATTACTTTGACTGTATGTTTGCACATGGTTAATGTACTTACTTGGTTAATGTTTACTACTTAAGGCATAAAAGCACAAGAGAACCATTCAGTAATCATATTCGCACAAATAACATTTGACGAATCTATAATGTGTATTGTACTTTTAGAATAAGGATGAAGATTTATTTTCTTTTTTTTACATGTATAATATTTGTTTTCATTTGTTGTATGAATCTTATTAGTCAATAAATAGTTTTGATAATTAAAAATGCATTTACTTTTGATGGGTATTTCCTAATAGACGACATTTCTTAGTTAAAAAGTGTTGGTGATTTTGTTACTATCTTGCAATTTCATTGGTTAGAAAAAGACAATATATGAAACAATATATAGCATATATGAGACATATATAATGTTTAGATCAGTCAACCACCTCAATTTGGTTCAAACTATGAATGGACAGGTAAGTCTGTGCTTATCTAATCTATATTTTGCCTGGGCTTTGAGTGTGTGCCTGCAAGTTTAGTATGTTAGTGTAGGATGTAGGGCATATGCATACTATAAAAGCAAATGAAAGTTTCCAAAATAATTTTTACGAGAAAGTTTGTACAGAATAAATTCATTTGTAATTTAAAAATAAGCTAAGTCTTTACAGTTTTAACCAAACAGTCAACAAGGGGCATTTAAATAAAGGCTGTATCAATTTGAGTAATTTAAGTACTTTTCTAACAATCATTAGATTCAAAGTACCTACCAATAATTAAAAGTATCCGTCATAAAAAGCGGGCGTAGCATAGCAGGACTACTTTCCTTTGAACAGACTATACTTGTTCATGAGACAGTTGACTTTGTGATACAGCAGTTACAACTTAGTAATTTCAATAGGTCAAATTATTACTCTGTTTCAGTTATTATTTAATTTCAGAGTGAAAATTTAGGCTTTAGACAACACACAAGTAATGCAATTGTATTGACAAACTTATGTAATTAATATTCAAGAGGAAAATAATACAACAGACATAACGAGTATACTTACAAGTAAACAATTTGTTTTCTTCATAACAGTTTTATAGCAAAAATATACATTAAGTAGATCCCTAGGTCTTAGACCAATTAAGTAATTACCAGTAGTAATAGTATAATAAATAAAATATTTTCAAGCAGTAATATCATTAACAGTTCTAACACTGTTTATTAATAGGATAAAAATGTTCTGTTACACACAGCAAATGTTGGGTGCACCTTTATATCACAGGAATGCATGTCTTGGAACTTGACTAGAGAGTTCCGACAAACACGATGGCAATAAACAGCAACAGGATCACAATCCAGTAGCCTAGAAAATAAAACACCATCATTGTGATACAAAAATAAATTATTCGATTGATAACTGATATCGGTGACGTTTGAATATAAATATTGATTGCATTAGAAATTAGCATATTTTATTAATTACCGTAACTTGTTCACTACCTCAATAGTAGATTTTTCATTCATATGGACCAGTGACGCACATATGTGACGGCCGGTTTCTACCCATAGACTGACGTCACATATATGCGGCAGAGTCCCAATATTTTTAAAAAGCTTATATCTTTGTAATGGTCTATTTGATTCTCTGCAGTGGTCTACAGGGATGTCTGTCGGATATGTGCGTCACTTGGTATATGATGATTAGTCATATGATAGTTGGCAAAACTGTTTTTTTACTTTGCTGCATCACTGGCTCGTGGTCTGTGTGTACTGTTGACCAAGTGACACCTGATCTATGTGTAATATTAAAATGTATGCCTCGGTCCATGGCAATGACCGCAGCGTCGTATATATGTAGCAATCGGTAGTGAACGTTTTAAACTAAACTATTCCCATGTCCTTGGACAGTTCATAAAGCTCAAATAAAATATATCCGGACAATCTCTTTATCATTCCAAGGTTTCACTACATGACTCATTAAACTCAGCTCAAATTGGACATTTTAAGTACAGTAGCACCCTGGTAACTGAACTCGGGTTTTAAACCACAACCTGGGTTAACCGAAACGGTTCCATAAATAATACAGGGCTAAACATAAACTTCCGATCTTACCACACGTATTGTCCGTCCTGGTGATGACCTGAACGTGAGAAGTTTCACGTTGTATGGAGACGTTTGTCCGATCCATCGTGTTGGTGATGTTGTCCACCAGTTCTGTAACAGGATCACAAGCGTACATTAGCATTGATTATAACTGTCCACGACAAGAGGAATTCAGCAACAGCAAGGGATTAAAGCTAATTAGTAAAATCTGGTGCTGTCCCCAAGCTACTTTTTGTTTCCACTCTACTACTAAAGTATTGAGCCAATTTCAATGTTTGTGGTTTCAAAAATGTATGTGTCTATGCACTCAAACATCTTTATCTTAAATAATTGATAATTCCATATGTTTTTGAGGTTCTAATTTTTCACCCTAAAGAGCTGCTCTTAAAACATGAGTGCTGTAATCTAGCCAGACACTTTTATTGCACTGTTGCAAGAAAACAATTTTTTATTACTGTATTACTGTGCTTCGACTGGGGTTGTGTACTATTCTTGTAATGTTTTTATAATTTTTTTACCTGAGGATGGGCTCAGATTCCAGATCCCAAAATGGGAAAACTTAGTTTTTTACTAAGTATGAAAAAGAAAATGCCTGCAATAATCTGTTAATCAGAGTTTTCCTAAATAGATAAAGGTGGGCTAGTTACGGTCGAGTGCGGCGTCCGCTATCCTCTCTCCTTGAGGTAATTTAATGGTAGGCTACTGTTTTCCTAGAAGTGGAGCAAACTGCCATTAAAATCACTTATTTGCACTCTGCTCTCAGCATTTTGTGCTCCACTTCCTTTAGATGGTAAACTCACCATCACCAAAAATGATCCTCAAACAAAGTAGACCTGCTATAGTTACCATACGGTAGTAAGACACAACACACTTTACAGGAATTATAAATCTGTGTTACCACTACAATACAAAAGTATAATTTTACCAGTTTAATTCGTCTTTTCAGTCATTATTCTACATTAATTATCGAAAAGGGTTTGTCTGAGGCAAAGCAGAATTGAATGTGCATATAGAGCACTTCAAATCATTAAATACTAGCACTGAATATGTAGGAGTCATTGTGTTGTTATTTTGATTAAAATGGATTTATTGTTACCTGTTATAAGTTTAGCTAGCTTCAACTTAAAACTTACCGTTTTGGTAGTCCACCTCATTTCCAATAGTACGGGCAATGTCTTTTTGTCTGGAAATAACTTGTGAAAGCCTTTCAAGTCCATCTTCTTGATCTAAAAACAATTTAATGTAATGTAGTTTTAACATTCACAGTAATTATTTTAACTTAAACTCCTTAGGAGTGTAAAAAAAAATCATTTTTTCTGGATAGGGAATATAAAAAACGAACTAAAGGCAACCAGCCAATAGCAAAGCAGTGCCGACATGAAGGGTGGTAAATAAAGAAGTAAGATAAGTATATTCCCATGGTTTGAAATCTTACATAAATGACTTTACAAGAGAAGAAATCAGAGCAGGAAAACTGTGTCAGAGTTGCATTGACCATGCATGCTTGAGAATAAGGAAGGCCAAAGCTCAGTCAGATATCGTTCAAGTCAAGATAGCTGACCACTACGCCTGTGTGATAAACATCCAGCCAGCCTGCCGATTCCTGCCCAGCTTATCTGGTAGATAAGACATACAAGGCTGTCAATGGTCACCAGCTAGGACAGGTCTTAGGGCAGATGGACTGGCAGTCTGTAGACAATATAGATGATATTGATGAGCAGTACAGAATGTTTTGCTCTTACTTTACAAAAGCGTATAATGAATGTACGTATGATAAAAAAGTTAGTAAAATAAAACACCTAAAAAACCTTGGATGACCCATAACATTTTAAACATGATTAAAGATAGAGATGCATCGTTTATCAAATATAAGAAACACCCAAACAGAGTTGATTATAAAGAGGGATTCATTTTTCTGAGAAATAAAATCAACAAAGAAATTGTTAAAGCAAAAAGGAATTTCTATCACAATATTTTTACCATTAATAAAAGAAATATCAGAAAAACATGGTCCCAGATAAATAATATTTTAGGAAAAAATCACAAAGAAAGTATAGATAATATTGTGATTAAATTCTTAGGAAAAACGAATACAACCCAAGAAATAACCAATAATTTTGTTGAACTTTTTACTCAGGGAATAGATGAAGTAGTTCATGACTGTAATATTGAAACTATACAATCTACACAGCAGACAGAGGTTAAATCATCTTTATACATCCCTTTGATAGATATAAACACACTGAAAGCCATACTTAACTCAATGAATAAAAAAGGTCCTGGATTAGATGGAATAAAAATTACTGATTTAAAAATGAATTCAGATGTGTTAGCTGGAACTTTGGTCAAACTTATAAATAATTCCTTGAAGAAAGGCAAGATTCCAGAGGATATGAAAAAAGCCATTATAAGACCAGTTTTCAAATCTTGAAGTCATTACAATTACTCTAACTACCGTCCGATATCAATTTTATCCTCTGTTAATAAGATTATTGAGAGATATGTGGCAAATAATTTAAATAGATTTTTAAATGAGAATAAAATCATCAACAACTGTCAATATGCATATCAAACAGGAAAAGGAACAAATGATTTATTGGCAGATTTCTCAGATTTAGTAAATAATGAGCTAAGTGGTGGAAAACAAGTACTGGTAGTTTTTATAGATTTTTCTAAGGCATTTGATACCCTTAAACATGACAAAATTAGTGATGCTTTAGAGAGAAGTGGTGTAAGAGGAATTTTCAAATATTGGTTTATGGATTATATCAGCAATAGAAATATTATTGTAAAAGTAGATAAGGCATACAGTAAAACAGAGGTCTTGAAATATGGCGTGCCCCAAGGAAGCATTTTAGGCCCTTTAGTATACCTTTTATATGTGAATAACATGTCAAATGTAATAAAAAACAGTAAAATCTATATGTATGCTGATGACACAGTGTTGATTACCTCGGACAAAAGTGTAGAACTGGCAGAGAAAAAATTACAGGAGGACTTCTTATATTTAACCAAATGGTGTCATGACAACGGATTAAAGATAAACGAGAAAAAATCTAAAATAATGCATATACATTCACCCTTTTTTACCTGTAGAAATCCTCAAATAAAAGCTCACTCTCATAATTGCTTACATCTTGAAACTCACAAAGGAGATAAATGTCAATGTAGATGCCTAGACAATGTATGTAGTTTTAAATATTTAGGAATTATAGTGGATCATAATTTCAAATGGGATGTACATGTAAGAGAAGTCACAAAAAAGCTAAGGGTGTGTGCAGCAAAATTCTACTATCTACGACAATATCTGCCCTACAACACCATGAAATTATTGTATTCCTCAATGTGCGAGTCAATAATTAGATATGGCCTAAAAGCATGGGGAAGTGCTGCACACACGACCATGCTCCAAGTACAGACGGCCCAAACAAGATTATTAAAAATTATAGCAAAGCTTGATGGTGCTATTGTTGGGGCTAATCCTATTTGTTGTTTTGAGGTTACTAACACGTTGTCAGTTGAAAAATTGTTCAAGTTCTTGTTAATTATAGACTATTATTTCTCTAATAGATTTAAAGAAAAAAACTCTCATAAATATAATTCTAGGAGAACCTTTTATGTTATGCCTTGCGTGAACAATAAATATACAAAGAGAACTAGACATTATTTAGTGCCATATTTGTTTAATGAGTTACCAATGAGTTTAAGTAATTTTAAGTCATACTCTTCCTTGAAAGCTGAATTAAAAAGATTTTTGATTAATTGTTAAAGTTTTCAGAATTTATCTTTGTTAATAGTTATAATTCTATGCATTGTTATTGTTAAATATTGTTTAAATAGTTTAAGTAAAACATGGGTTTGTTAATTACCTGTAGTAATTTGTTGTTTTTTTTTAAAATATTTATTTACTTGTATTAAAATTTTTGTTATATTAGTTTTTCCTATTATTGTTAAAAAAGTGAAAGAAATGGTAATGAAATGTGAAAACTTATTTATTTAATACAACAGATGGGGAGAATAGCTTGTACCAGATAAGAAACTGACTGGAATCTTTGTGAATGGACTTTTGAACTGGACTCTTATCTATAGCTGCGGACAAGCCTACTGAGGCTTTTGTAGCTTTGTATGAAATGTATTTTGATTATTATGTTTTTTGTTGCATGAATGAATAATAAAATAAATATTTATACTAGCTGTAAAAAAAAAAAAAAAAAAAGAGGGCAACGAAATTGACTAGGGAATATAGTAAGAAGAAACACAGTTTATTCCAACACAACAAGGTGTTCCGTTGCCAGATTTTAAGCTCATTGATCATGTTAAACTTTATTTGTCATAGCCTACATTAAACAAATTCTAAAATTGTATTTAAATTGAAACCTAAGTTATTCTGAAACTGATATTCTCTATTATGATTGTTCTAAAGTCTTAGAGAAAAATTAATTAAAGGGACATTTAATAAGGAAGATTGAATGAAGCACATTTCATTATAATAGGTCTAGAATAAGGCCCCTATTAGCTGTGAGCAACATGTGGCGCAGCTAGTGGAGCCACCGGTGTCGGACGTGTAGAGGGGCATGGAGTCAAATGGTGCCTATTAGCCGTGGAGAGACCGGTGGCGCCGCTGAAAAAGCTGCCCGAGGTGTTGCCGGGAGTGATTTTGCCCGGCAACATGTGTCGCGACCGTTTTAGTGTCCAGGCAGTCGGGGGGCATTGCAGTATATGGAGCCTATTAGCCGTGGGCAACATGCGACGCCACTGACTGTGCTCGCATGCGTTATTAACGTGAAAACGAAGCCTGTCACACAGTCTACATCGTCGTTTGAGTCGATTGAGACGTGCCTCGCCATATTGCTGTTATATTCATTGGTGACTTCTGTTCACTTTGTTTACCAGTGACCTTTTTAACAGTGTATTCTTTCCTTTTTGTGTCATTAGCGTTTTTAGTTGTCTTTAGTTTAGATAAACAATGTCTGGTGCTAATAGTGACGTGCAAATTGTGGATGCAGTCACTCAACGTCATGTTTGACACTAGAGTGTTGTGGTGAATTCCGGTGTTTGAGCGAGCTACGAATGTGTCGCGCGACTAGTGTCCAGGTTCCAAACGCTGTGGGGTCACCAGCGTCACCACCGGCGGCTCCACTAGCTGCGCCACATGTTGCTCACGGCTAATAGGGGCCTAAGTGTATTTAAATGCCATTGCTTCACTACTGGCTGGCCACTGTTGAAACTACTAAATCATACAAGTCTTGCGTTTGTTACTAGCCTAGACTTGTAATTCATACAAGCACAGACTTTGGAAGAGTTGGAAGAGGGGCGAGTCAAACCCTGACATATCCACAAAATTTTAGGAGTTTGGATCACTTTCCGCTAAGAGTTGTTGGTGATTCCTAAAAGTGCCTTAGAAATAATACGTAAAACTGACCTCTCATAAGTCTTTGCTGGTGCTCTCTGATCTGGTCGTTGCTTTGCAGTAGAGGAGCTGTATCAGGTTCTTCATCAGAAGCCCATCCTGAAGACTGAAGTTCACCAACTGCTCCCATCAGACTGCGCCTTTCCTCTTCCCCAGATCTATTAATCAGTTATTCAATTAATTAGGTTGGAGTTCAAAGGATGTGTTTTAGGACTATTTTTTTACCGCGAAGTAGAGACAATTTTGTCACATCCTTTTCTATAACAAAAAATGCTGGTCAATAATACAAGTAATGCTGTCAATTATACAAGCAGTGAACAAAGTTAATTTTACTAACTAGGACCTTCTGGTAGAGAGCCATCCCAAAACTCTAGAAGCCATTGTTTGTCAAGATTGTAAACAGTGTAGTCGTGAATCAATTACTGAGTTATAAGAAAAAAAACCAAGACCCGAAATCTGTCATCTAAATTTCAAGATCATATCAGTAAGCTTACACTTAATCTATGAGTGGCAAGGAAAACACCTGAGAACTAACCTGGAATTAAACTTCTGAGTCAGCTGGATGATAGAGCTTTCCAAGCTTTCTACTAGTCGATATCTTCTCTCCTTTTCACCGTGAGTTCTGTCGTTATCAAAGTCAAGGTTTGGCTGAGAAGTTTTAAATATTAGTCATTAATTCAATAATTGTTTTCTCTGTCAACTACAATTCCTTATAATGTTAAATAGTTCTATTTAACATTTATTTGACGAGGCTTTAAAGTTATCACTGTTTAAATTTGGCTCAAACTGAGTCATTAGAAGTAATACAATAGAATGAAGTAAGTGGTAGTTGATCCAATAACTTAATGATTGCAATATTTGTAGGCACATATTTTATTTTTTGTTTTGACTTTTCAAAAGTATTGTACCTGATTATTCAGTGTTCAAGTTGACATCTAGATAGTAGGTACCGTCTTTGACTATTCAAGAGTCAATGGTACCATACTGGTACACAATTTTTAGTTGAAAAAGAGTTACGTAAAAGAGAACCTGGGCTTAATTTGGTTACTTTAGGTTATGAAAAATATTTAAAAAAATTTTCTTCTATCATTAATTTGTAATATTGAATTTAGTGGCCTATTGTCTAAAAATGCATACATTAAAACGGCCAATTATGGTTAAAAGCATTTTTAATAAGGTCTGTCGTATGATTATTTAATTTGTCAATGATATCAAAGAAAGTGTCATCTACGAAAGGATACAGTGTGAAATCATCTTCTAGCTTCAGTTTGAGATTCTTTACACTTGTCTCAAACTGTTTAAGTTGCACTCTGATTTTCGCTGATAGTAAATCATACTTCTTCGATGTCCTCGGTTCATATGACCTTGTGTTGAGTAACTCAACAATGAATCTGTGTTCTGCCTCACACGAGGCATGGTCGGACAACCTGAAAAAAACAATTAGTTCTTAGCACATAAAAACAATGGTTAAGTGGCGAATTAAAACTATTAGGCCTAGTCAGTGCTCAATTTGAGGGGGGAGCATAGTGGCCTAGGTCTTACCATCCCACCTACGGTAATAGCTACCTACTTCCCTATAGGGAAATTCACAAAAAAATCTTCCTGTTTTCATATTTCCCTTGGGCTACGCCCCATGGGTGTCATAACAAAGTCACAGCCAGCTGTCTCCAAAGTGAAGAAGTTTAACTTTTGACGTTTTTAAAAACTCATTGAAATGGATATCAATCAACATGCCGGTTTTTCCTGATTGGAATTTCAACTATATGAAGTGACATTCGATAGTGAGGCTAAAATCTGCATGGGAAAAATTTTGGATACTCTATGGCCTACCTGCACTTCTTTAAGGTAAGCTAAGTTAGTTGCTATTCTCCTTATTCTACATTTCAAATTCTGGCCTAGAGCCTTGCCTTGACCAAACTATGATTATTTCCCAGTATTGACACTTGATCCTATGATTCGATCTTGCTGGTTCGCAAATTCATTCAAGTCTAGCTTGATCCTCTCCTACACTTTCATGTCAAATTTGATCGAAATTGCTATAGTTAGGCCTAACGACGTGTTCACGGACATGTAGGCCTACCAAAGTCATACATACAAAATTTAACGAATCCATTAGTGTTTTTGGCTTCTGGGCCCTGGAGACATAAAAATGAAAAATTAAATTGGTCTCGAGTCTTGGTCTTACCGTAACTTACCACATAACTTCATATAATAGCTTCTTCCATAACTTATATGTAAACTTAAGGAAGGATTTTGCAAAAAAAAATATTAATTAGCCTTAGTTGTCAAGACCTAAAATCTGTTTCATTCTCTATGCCATTTTAACCCTGTGCTTGGTCTTAGAAATCCAGTTGTTGGGGTAAAAATATACCGTAAGGAAACACTGGTTATCAGGTAACTTAAGTTAATTTAGGCTATGTGATCAGATTTTATAACACCTCATTTACAATAGGACAAAAGCTCTATTTGCTGTATCGAAGAAGTCAATCCATCTACCTTAATAGGTCTGGACTGGTTTAATGTGTTCAGTTAAGAAAACAGTCTACGATGATTGTTATAGGCCAACAAAAATATCACTAAGGGGTTCAATACAAGGCCATTGTATAGCTGTGCCAAACAATAGCTCATTGAATCGTGAATTTCACTTCATGTTTCAGTACATGTTTCGACACATTGTCATCATCAGCCAGAGTACTAACTAGTGAAGTTTTTATTCACCATATGGCTTCCTGTCCCGACCCGCGGCGTGACCGTGTGTTTTGTTCGAGCAGGCCTGCATGTCTTAAAGCTTTACGTGTTGTAAATGTATATGTTCCGTGTCGTGTCGTATTCGTGTTACGAAGCCATATGGTGAATAAAAACTTCACTAGTTAGTAGGCTACTCAGCTGATGATGACAATGTGTCGAAACATGTACTGAAACATGAAGTGAAATTCACGATTCAATGAGCTATTGACGTAAGTAATCTATCTAGTCTTACAATAATATCTACAGCTTAGGGGCTTAACAATGAATTTAAATACTTAGGTTTGTCAAATAATATGCCAAATGGAAACACAAGCTACTTATATCTTACCATTTATCCATTTCAAGATAGGAGAGTGCCATTAGATCTTGATTCTAGAAATTTAGGCTAGATGGATAGATGAATAAACTGATACAGTTAGTAGGATGATTTCTCCAATCAAGAGTATTGTTTAGTTAGTTTGTCTAACCTCACTAATAAGAGATGAACCAAGATAACATAATGATGAATCTTAATTATAAAAACAACGTACAACAACTTCTTAAATCATTTAAAATGACAAATTCTGAAGGTAACTTGACATCTTCGTTTGTTTCCTTACGATTTGGTGACACTGAAAAACTGATTGACACAAAAAAATGACACAGTGACAGTGACAGTAGTAGTAGTAGTGGTGGTAAATAAAGTTGTCTTGTCGTCTGCCAATTAATATTTCTTTTTGCTTTTTGTTTATCAGCAAGGCTTGACTACAATATGTCATGTAGCTTAGAAGAATCTCAGTCTCCCAGATCCGTTTCTCGCTCTAGTTAACTCTGAAACAAGATATTTTGTTCAGACTATTTCGTTTCGGTGTTGGTTGGCGTTGGCATACCTGGCAAGCTGGCATGCGCATAGCATAGCCACCCGGCGGGATTTACAGATTACAATTTACAACTACAACCTAACCTAATTTTATCTGTTTACTTAACAATGAGTTATTAAATTTTACTGTCAGTTAATGCTAAATTTTAGTTTTATGAACAATAACCACAAAAAAATTAGCTGTCGATAAACTGAACATGAATACATCGAAAAATATAAAAGCAATTGACAAGGAAGCTGTACACCGCATTTGCTCAGGGCAGGTAGGTTTTGTGTAGGCCTAGTGTTAGTTGTTGGTTAGTAATTATAATTAATTTAAATATAAATAATTTACGACAATAATATAGTTTACCAGATCTCAAATAGAGCTTGATGTCATTTGTGTTTGCGTAAACTTCTCACCCTCATTAAGTAAACACATTTTCTGAAAGAGTTGGTAGGAATTCCGAAAAGGGGTGCAATTGCATAGACTTAATGTGAGAAAATATGTTTATAATAGGCCTAATCCAAGATTTTACAACTTTTTTTCAGGTGGTATTAAATTTAGCTGTGGCAGTTAAGGAACTAGTTGAAAATAGTTTGGATGCAGGCGCCACTGTCATTGATGTGAGACTCAAGGAGTATGGCAGTGAGTTGATCGAAGTTACAGACAATGGCAGTGGTGTGGAGCCAGACAATTTTCAAGGATTAAGTAAGTATCTTCAAATGTAATTTAACATAGATACTGTGACCTTTCCTTATAATTTTGTGCCACCTAATTTGTATCAATTCACTAACTTTTATTGCCTTTAAAACATGTTACATGCATGGCATCGTCCGGGAAGAATACAGTTATATAAAAATAACTAACATTAGGCCTAGTATGCCTAAGGAAATTTGCTCGTATTCAAACCATAAACTGCTTTTAAACAGTTTAATCCTCCACCTTTCTTAAAGCCTTAAAGTCATGTACTTGCAGGACTATGATAAGTTCTCTAGAGAAAATGTTGTTACGTAAGTAGGTCCTATATAGTCTAGGTTTTGGTAGGTCAATTAGGTATCACAGTTTGCTTATTACTTTTCCTCGTTGAAAGTATTCTACCAAACCAAAACTCAGAAAAACCTAGCCTATTTAAAACCCGAAATCATGACATGAAATCTCTTCTATTAAAACCTATTTTTCTAGTAACTATGAAGACTCTAAAAGAGGATGGCCGAACTGAACAGATTCAACTCAATAGTGTTTAACTCGTGCAGTGAACCAGACAGTTAAGATTGTGTTTACATTCAACAGCTCTCAAACATCACACATCAAAACTGCAAGACTTTTCGGACCTTGTGTCAGTGGAAACTTTCGGTTTCCGAGGAGAAGCTCTGAGCTCCCTCTGCTCTCTGAGTGACCTCACAGTGACTACAAGGCACACCTCTAGTGACTGCGGCTCCAGATTGCAGTACGACCACAATGGTCTGATCACCTTGTGTACCTCTGTCGCTCGGCAGGTTAGTTAAGACGTAACCCTGTAATTATTAGGCCTATTGAAATTTACTAAAGCTGTACACAGAATATTTTGTAAGCAGATATGGTCCAGCTGGCTTATCTGAGAAAGTAAGTTGAACTCCTTTATGAAAAATATTTTCCTTTATGAAAAATCCCTAATCGGTCACTTGGCTTCCTTTCAGCTCGCACATGATTTGTGTAGGCCTACTCATTTCTTTCGGTACCGCATTAACTTCTGATAGTAAAAGCCGGGTTTACGCGATGCCAGTTGGCGAGACAATTGTCAGGAGACAACTGACTGGCTTGGAATTACTGGCTTCGTGTAAACACTTCAGGCCAATTGTCCCGAAATTCAGTTGTCTCTGGGAGTAGACTGAGGACAATGAGCTGGGCCCAGTGAGGCCGCCACCCCTCAAAAACCCAGTTGTCGTGACAATTGGCGCCGTGTAAACAGTGTAGAGGCCAATAGCGTTGTCTTGTCTTTTGGCAGTAGTACCCTGGTTCACTGTAAAATGCGTTGGCAAGTGTTGGCCACGTGTAAACAGGTTCTCGTTCAACTTGCCTGGCCTACGACAATTCCAAAACCACGTGATGCCAATTGGCAAAGACAATTGTCTCGTCAACTGGCATCGTGTAAACCCGGCTTAAGGACTTTTTAGTTTTTTAGCTTTTTCAGTAGACTGTTTCAACACTCTATTCTTTTACATTTGTTACTTAATTTCAAGATTATTTTCATTTTTGTCAGGTGGGAACAACTGTAACCTTAGAGAACATCTTCAGCACACTGCCAGTGCGTCACAAGGAGTTTCTGAGGCATCTGAAGAGAGAGTTTGTCAAAATGACACAACTGCTCTACGCATATTGTCTTGTATCTACTGGGGTCAAGTATGTCTGCAATATTCATTGATAGTAAATTAATAATTTATAGGCTAAATAAACTTCAATAATTTGGGTAGCTAGTCGACGGGACAAAAGTGATAAGTTTCCATAGATAAACCAATAAACGTGATCTTTTTTTAGGGAAAGTGCAGTTTAATCTTTATTGTTTCTGGCTAGAAAAGTCAAAAATAGAAGGTAAAACATCCTTTGTTTTAAAAACTTTATACTTTGTATAAAGTATAAACTTTATACTTTGTATAGGCCTACTTAAAAACTTTAAACTTTGTACTTTATACAGGAGTAGTGGATAGCTTTATGCTTTGCTGTTGTAAGTTTTAATCTTACTGTGAGAAGTGGCTGATCTAGTGTTTAAAAACCAAGTCTTCTGTCCTTCAGGTTTGGGTTTAATTTCCGTCAACCTCCAACCTCCTTAGCCTGGTAGTTTGGAGGTCTCTAGAGTTTAAGGTTTTCTTTAAAAAAGATCATGAGGAAAACTTTCTCTCTGAGAATTCTGTCTTTTAAAAGTAATAAATCAAAAAACTTTTGTGAACAGTAACATTTTGTTGGCTCTTAAATCGAAAATGTAGTGAAATAGACATTAACAACTTTTCAGTGAATATATGATCTTAATTCAATTTCTTTTTGATACAATATAATGAGCTTAAAGCCAATCCGTATGTAACGGATGTTACATTTTCACTAATTAAATGTTAATATTGACTTTAAATATTATTAATTATCCATTTTAAGACTTTTGGTTGGTAAATAAGGTTGGTCTTAAGGGTGCGCTCTACCCGTCTGGCGCGCGCAAATGTAAGGGTTTTAGTTCTTCCTGATTGTAGCCCCAATTGTGAACCGATTTAAAAGATCTTGGTGTCATATTTTCCGTCAAATGTTATTGTAGGTTTCCCGTTTTTTTTAAATTTTGATAATTTAAAAAATTTTGGGCTCAAAGGTTGGTGAAAAATGTAAAAAGAGGCGTTCTTTATCATGAGTTTTGATACATAAAAATAATTTTTAGAGAAAAAATAAAAAACGGGAGACGTGCAATAGATTCTTAAAAACAAGAATCTGGAATTAGTTTACTAAAAAGTTGAATGCTAACTATGTAATCACGCAGACTCGAAAGGCTTGCAAGCGCTCTTCAAGGCGCCGTGCAGTGGCGCGGCCATGCGGCCAACGGCTCAACCTGTCGTCGGCTCTCCCACCACAGCCATCGATCGATATTTCCCCTCCTCTCGGTTGATTCTATTCTATCTTTGCGTCGTCGCCGTTTTTACGCATACTAGTGTCCCTGCTGCTCGGATTAATTGTCACAAAAAACCTGCTTGCGTATTAAATAAGTAAATAGATGAGTATACTGTCCTCTTTGTAAACAGTTATACTCAGCCAACGCAACTTGCTTGCACAGATTCAGCTTTAATACTTTACCAAAATATAAGTTTGTTTATTAACGTCGGGTATGAGATTGCTCTAATAACAACCATAATAAAGAGTTTTTTTTAGAAAACCAGTACTCAATAGTACTGTTTTATTAAAACAGCATTTTTAAATTTTTGTAATTAACCCCTCCAAGTTGGGGACTTGAATCTGATACCTCAAATGTTCTAGCTAGACTATTGACCACTCAGCCATTCAACTTCAAGTTAAAAACCACTACAAGTCATAACTCGGGTCTACAAATAAAATACCCTGTCGCAGCAAAACTATTCACAAAGCAAATTTCAACTTGTATGATTAAAGTATTTTTACTAAAATACTTCCAGAAATAAGACAAACTTATTCCTATTTAAATAACATTAGATTTAACGAGTGCTTAGGTGTGCTGCTACGGGGAAGGTAAAAAGTGTTTCTTGACCATACGTCAGTATACTGAAATTAATGAATTTGCCAAATTTTATCAACATACAGTGTATCCATAAACAAGTAAATTAAAACGGTTATAATTTTCTCCATAAGAATAACATGGTAATTTTTAACAACACTTTTTTCAATTTTCTTCCTGACCGTAGGCATACAACAGCGCTTCAATATACTAAATTACTCTGCACCGAGGGGTTTTAAGTGGCTAAGGCCTTATACTGCTCTACTAGGCTACAACCTCAAAATCCCATCCCCATCCCCAAAACCATGGCGCAGAGCCGTCTGCGCATGCGCGCGCACGGGAAGATGACAACTGAGGCGACTACCACGACCACGTGTTTCTCACTCGCTTGCACACTTGCACTGATTTTCACCGTGTTTTGAGTGTTTTGGTCTTTATTGTCATTTCTCGTGTGCTTCAAGATGCCCAATCCTAGGACAAGAAAAAAGAAAAAACTTAATTTAAGTGCCAGAAGGTTGAAGAACAAGGGGAGTGAAAGTTTACATCGTTGGCGGGAATTACAGAAAAATAAGGACGAGAATAGGTAACTTATTATGAGAGTTATTTAAGTTAGAAGTACATAATATTATTGTAGAATTAAATACCCAAATATTACTTATTACTTATTTGTTGGTACTGGGGTAGGCTACTACAATCAAGTAAGGATAGGTCTACAGGTTTTTTTTATTCCTACTACTGCTGTATGAGGAAAGTGTGAGTAAAGATCACAGTAAGCATAAATTCATTGATATTATAGCCACTTTACAGCTAACTGGCTGAGTAGCCTAAAACATTGCTAAAATATAGAGATCTACATAAACTGCTAGGTAAGTACAGACAGGTAATTATTAGTTGTCTATTAGTAAACTATTTTGTATAGACTCCGCCTCATTTTCACCTGAGGTTCTTTAGTGCTTTTTTCTAAGTAGCAATGTAGGTTTTCCTACAGTTTGTCGTTAGGAAAAATAGTTATTCTTGTATAAAAAAATAGTTATAAAAATAGTTATAAATAAAAATATAAATGCCTCAAATTCAATTTCATTGTTTTTGTATTATAAAAACTAACATAACCTAACCGAAACAAACTTGCTGATAATTAAATAATATAACAAAAGTTTAGTAACAGAAAAAATAATTCTGTTTATTAAATAAAAATAAAAATAAAAAAATAAATAATTAGGTTGGCTTACTACTAATTTTGTGTAAATGGTAGGTATTTTTCAAAGTTATCTTAATTTCAAGTTTTATTTTTTTTTAATAGATTTTCACACAAACTAAAAAATCTTATTTCATATTTCAGCATGATCACTCCTAGTAATAATTCACCCGAAACTGAACAAAATGAGATCCATTGCAGTACTCCGAAGAATAAAGAAGCAAATGAAGCATTGGATGACAATGTCACTCCTATGGACATTGCAAGTGACAGTGATGATGATTGGCTGGCTGGAATTGAACTAATCCCTGCTGGAATAGAAGAGTCCAGGTACATTGTTCTAAAATGATGTTTTCCTCTAAAATAATTTTTTGCCCTTCATCAATTAGTTTAAGAAATATATATATATCAATAAAATACGACTCTCTTCCACAAACAGAGGTATTCCTTCTTTGTGGAAGATATTTTGCTAATTTAAATCATGTTCATATTTTTATGCTTATATTAAGTTAATATACCTATTACTACAAAACTAAACAATATTGTCAAGATTTTTGTATGGGACTAATATGATGTAAGTTAATTTGTAAATATTTTGGCGGAATAAACGCTATTTTGATTTGATTAGACATTCAGACATAAACAGTGATTTATAATATAATTGACATTTAATTTAATCTAAATTCATTAAACTGTGATTATTAACGTTTCTTACAATAATTAATGGGTTGTAATCATTGACAATAGATTAACGTTTGGTTGCAGAAATGAAGATAACGACGATGTAAGTTCCAAAGAAATACCTTTATGTGGAAGAAGAATAGTTAACGTTCCCCACTTCATAAAATCATTGCAATCACTTGAAAATCATGAACCATTCAATTGCAAGTTTTCGGACATGTGTTTGATTAATGATAGACAAATTGGCCTAATTGATGAGTTGACATTTGAATGCAAGCTTTGTCGAAAAATTGAAAAAATTTCGACAGACTTGTTACCTAATGCACAAAACGTTGTGAATCTCAATACTTTGATGGTAAGTACTGGTTATCAACACTTTTGTAGTAATGCAAATATAGCTTACATTAGCGCCGTGTTCGGTACGTCGTCGTGCATACCACGGCCTCCGCCGTTGACTACAGTTCTCGCAGCTAGTCTGGGCGCGCGGCCGCGCTAGGGCAGGGGGTGTAGAGGGGAGTGTTTATTGCACATTTCCAAAAACATTCGGCCCACACGGCACACTGGGGTTGTTCAGCGCCTCACTGCTGTCTTCATGGCTTTGGCGTGGGGGACGGTTAGTACACAAGGGTCCGCGCGCCCAGACTAGCTGCAACAACTGTACATGATCTCCGCCGAGCTCAAGACAGAAATTATTGATTTAAAAAAAGTGGTTTTTTTTGGTTAAATTGAAATATGTAGCATCGGATATTCATATTTGTTCGCAATAATCCCCAGCTTTGCAATAGGTTGACAAGTACATTGTCTGGACTATTGTAGCGCTCTTGAGTTTTATTTTCCAACACAGGTTTTTTTCTATCAGAAAAATACAAATTTTATATCCAAATGCCTTTTTATGTGCATGGCCAACTTTTTTAAGTCACCAAACACAAAGATGACTCATTAGGCCTTTTTTTAAAAAATTTTTCAGGTTGAAGGAATGACAAATATTGGTCAAGGGTACAATCAGCTGGAGGAGCTATGTTGCAATCTGGACATGCCATGTATGTCCATCCAGACTTACCACAAACACCAGCAGTTACTCTATCAAACAGTGCATGAATGCTCTTGGGAGAGTATGTCAGAAGCAGCTAAAGAGGAAGCTGAACTAGCAATAAAAGAAGGAAGAGTAGACGAGACCGGAATCCCAGAAATCACAGTAGTTGTTGACGGGGCATGGAGTAAGCGATCGTACAAAACCAACTACAATGCTCTCTCTGGACTAGTAAGGCTGATTTTACTTTTTTAAAATAATCAATGAGCAACATGGATGTTTAAAAGTGTTGAAATATCTTTGCTATTTCATTATAATGTGACCCCATATATGCATTTGCTTTGGGGAGTCAAAATTATTTACCATAACTTATGTCATACATTTCTGTTTTAACTTGTTAAGAAAACAGTTAAATTTAAATAATTAAAGTTATGTTACAACTATGGCTTTTACATAACTCTATTGATTTTATTGTTATATAAAATATATAATTTTACTAATTACGGAACTAATTTTAATTCGTTTAACCCGTCGATCTTCAATATATTTGCTATTACTTTAGAACTTGACTGATACTGTAATTTGAGATACATATATCATTTTTTTGGTAACATTTGAATAAATTTTCATCCTTGTCTTTTTTATTTTTTAGGCTTGCATAATGGGGCTTAAAACAAAGAAAGTACTCTTTGTTGGCGTACGAAACTCGTACTGCTGCATTTGTTCTCGGGCCGAGTCCAAAAAAATTCAACCGGCAGATCATGTTTGCTACAAGAACTGGACAAAGTCGTCGACATCAATGGAGGCTGATATTATTGTAGAGGGCTTTAGAAAAAGTGTTGAGATGTATAATTTGAAATACGTCAATGTAATAGGTAAGTAGATATGTAATAGCATAGACAAAAGAATTAAATAGACCGTCAGCTGTGCTGCGGTAGAGTTTGAGTTTTCTAACGGGCAATTTGTTTATAGTGGAGGTTTCATTCTTCTACATATTATTATTATCCTCCATAACATAAAACAACACTAACTCACTAACATTATTATCAATAATCATAAACCCAAACGTAATTTCACACCATTATGGTTTTGCTTATTCTATCAGTAATGGTTTCCTAAATTAAATATTGATATTGTTGACATGTTCGTGTAAATCAGTGTTGTGTTGTTTTAGGTGATGGTGACAGTAGTGTAATGTCCAAGCTGACTCAGTGTCAACCATATGGCCCAAGTACAACAATACGGAAAGTGGAGTGCACTAATCATCTCCTCCGAAATTATATTAGGAAAATACGGGAAGCCGGGGAACAGAAAAGAAACCAGTTCGGTCCGATCCCAGGAGAGCTGAGGGATAAAGTACTGGGAAGCTTGATGCGATTGCGCCATGCTGTAACTGGTGCTGTTAAACACCATAAAGGCAATGTATCACAGCTAGGGATCCACGAGAGTGTCAAAACGTTAAAATTTGATCTTCAAAATGGACCAAACCATGTCTTCGGCGACCACTCTAAATGCCAACCCTACTTCTGTAAACGCGCGAGTGTAGGTGAACCAAATTTGGTGGAACGTCTAAAATTCCATGGTGTCTGGCCTAACATCATGGCTGCTAACGCTTTTCTGTGTAATTTTGCATACAGCCTGCTCCAGTGTGTTACCTCCAACATTGTAGAAAGCTACAATGCCAAAGTTTGTAAGATGGTGGGAGGGAAGAGGGTCAACTTTGTGCAGAGGAACAGCTATTCTGCGAGGAGTGAGCTATCGGCGTTGTCGATGAATGAGGCCGAAGAGGTTCATCGCCGCATTCACAAAAGGTTGGCTCTTGGACATAGCCCTGGTGTTCACGCAAAGTTGCTCGCCTCAAGAAGGTGCAGGAAGAGGACAAGACCAAGAAAATCACTTTTTAAGGAAAAGAAAAATAAGAGGAATCTTGATTATCGTGCCGATAGAGATTACTGCGATGTTCCCGACTTGGACCTTGATGAACAGGAGCTGTGTCAAAGGAAAACTAGTTTCATGAAATCACTGGCTCTTGACTCAGAAAGCAGGGCCAAATTAGAATACGAGTCTCGTGGCCAGAGTTCAAGTGAGTTGTGGAAGCAGGAGAGGAAGAAAAGGCTTACGGCTTCAAACTTTGGAAGAATCTGTAAGATGAAACAAACGACTTCTTGCCAAAAGACTGTAGAGCAGCTCCTCTACAAAGAGTTCTCGGGAACAAATGCAACAAGGTATGGGTTGGAGAACGAGAGGACAGCCATTTCCGAGTTGGAGGATCTCCTGTGCATCAAGGTACAAGAGTGTGGGCTTTACGTGGATGAAAAGCTCCCATTTTTAGCAGCATCTCCTGATGGACTTGTTGATGATGAATACATAGTGGAGGTAGATTCATTTTAATTTATTTATTGGAAATTTATTTTGGATAATTTATATTGCATTTTTGTGGTGTGAGTTTGAAGGAAACTAAACTAAACCACAATATTCCAGCATACTTCTAACAAATGAGTAAAACAATCTAATATCAAGGGTCAATTGATCTTAAATTCATGGCATTTCTAATTATTAAACCTAACATTCTGTACGGTTTTATCTCCTAGTATCAGTCCCACCAATATATCCAAAAAGAATAAATAATCGACCTTTTCAAAAATAGCACGTTTTATGTGACTGGAATTTTATGTAACTTTGTAAATTAATGAATTTAAAATATGTTTTAACCTTACATATTATATATTATGAATAACATTTTAGTAATTTTTCATTTTACACATGCTTTTAACCTTTTAAATTATATTACAGGTAAAATGTCCACCATCAGCCAAAGAGTTTTCACCAGTGGAGGCAGTAGAACGGAAAATTATAAAGTTCTGCACTAAAAATGAAGAAGGTGATTTGATCCTGAAAAGGCGGCACAGTTATTATTATCAAATCCAGGGACAACTACATATAACTGATAAAAAGTTCTGCTTCTTTGTAGTATGGACTCCCCATGGTTTGTCTGTGGAAAAGGTTGTGAAGGATGACGAGTTTTGGATGAAACATATGGAGTCTCAGCTGAGGACATTTTACAACAAATGTATTTTACCGGAACTGGTAGATCCAAGGTATCCTAGGGGACTTCCTATTAGGGACAGATTTTAAGCCGTCACCAGCCGTTAGGCCTACTGTGTTGGATTTTATTTTGTAATATTTATATAACGTGAATGTACTCAGTATACTAGCTCTTTTTGTAATATTTATTTTTCATTATTAGCTTTGCAATATGCAATATTGTGTACAAATATATTTCTCGTCATTCTACTCTCGTTTTATAGTACCTTTGACTACGAATACAAGTATCCAATAGTCAATTATATTACCGAATTGTTGCCAAAGTCCTCTGGTAATACCAGATGTTTATTTCCAGATTTACTTTGTATACAAACAAGAGTAAAATTCAACATTTACTGTTCAATATTTATTAGTTACTATAATTACTTATGAATATTTAATTCATAACTAACTATTATACAGTATATATCCATATATAAAGTTTCTGGCATTTAATTATCACAATACACATTAAATAGTCATTACATTACGAAGGATGGGTAACTAAATTTACAAGCGTATGTTGTAGCGTATGTATGTAACAGGTTGCTATGACGTTTTTTGCGAGATAACATTAAAAAGGTAAACAAGACTCGCCACGTATGTTAGTCAACGAATCGTCTAAAAAGTACAGGACACAGAAAAAGGGAAGAACAATCATATTTATATTATTGAGCATGGATTTTTTCTTTATGTGATAAAAGATGCTATAAAAATGAAGTTTTCATATCACCATTGCCTTTTTTGTAAACATTAATTACATAATTATAATCCCCAAGAATGTGTGAGATACCGACTGATTCTGTGCCCATTACGGTGTAGCTACAGTTGGAATAGAGGTTAAATAATAATGAAAATCTTAAACATCAACAAAAGAAAATAAATAATTATAACAGTTGATTAAACAAAAAATTTAAGATTACTATAATTTTATGTAGTGATACTTTACAAAGTATAACTAAAGTATTTTATTTTTAATCAATAATGACAAACAAGACTCAATATTTAGGAATGTTTTACTTTTTACTGTATAAGCTTATGGGAGCGATAGCGAACGTCACGTTGCTGCCAGTGAGTGTCGGTGGCAGGGCATGATGGAGGTTTGAGCAGAAGCAAAAGATATGCGGACGCGCAAATAACAACCTGGTTGCGCTTGCGCGTGTGTGCGTCGGGAGCTCCGCAGGGCACTGCACTGCCTAGCGGGGAGCGGCAGTCAACTCGCGAACCTCCTAGCTCCTCCCACCCCTTCCCCTCCAACTGGGTTGAACCGACACGGCGCAGTCTGGCGGACACTTCGAACATCGTTCTGAGATTTCCGAGCTGAGGTAGAGCCCACCCTTAATATGGAGTGTAAGTTTGGGTATGTTTCATTGATGAATAAACGAATAAAAAATTATTTTGTCGCGTAACGGATGTTACACAATTGTGAACCTGCCTAAATAATCATGTCAATTCCATTGAAAATTCAGTTCATCTACAAATTTTAAATGAAAAATGCTATTATGTAGGCTTACTGAAGTAAGTATAGTATTTATTTGCACTTTTTTGTTTTAATAAACATTATCAGGCAATTTTAAAATAATTATTTACTAGTGTAACGGATGTTACTCTTATTTTGTAACGGATGTTACACTTTATTCACATTTGGCTAGTTCTTTCAAAACTAAACTTTTTACATGAAATTCATAATTCTTTTGTCAGATATGCAAATTATTACTTATTTATTGTTAACATTTATCACATATTACAACCTTAAACCATTAATTGTTCTTATATAAATAGAATACGTTCAAATGCAGCAGCTGGTAATAAGTTAACACAAAGTAGGTTACTAAATTGTTTATTTAAAAATATTGTTTTACCATTGGATTTGTTTTACATAGAACTGACACTCACAATTACTTAAAACTATTTACCAGTTATGAATATAATTATTTGAATAAATTGAACTTAACTGTTCGCAGTGGTCTAGTTTACTAGCTGTATTTAATTACGTCACTGGAAGAGGTCGAGTAAACTCATAGTAAAGCCTATCTCCTGCTGCTATTATTTTGGAAGTTAGCAAAATTTTTACTACTTTCTCCACACCAATGTATTTCTCTCCTTCTTCACCAACTTTAAAGACTCGTCCGTTTTTCCATGGCTGGTCAGAAATAAAACACTAACTTCCCCATCATCGGTAACAGCTGATTGGCAAACGGCTGCATAAAACAAATTTTTCCTGTGAGTGTGGTATTTTACCCGAACATATTTTTCAGGGATAATTTGACTTTCTTCTACCAACTCATCTTGGTCAATCAAAGTTTCTACAACTTCACTCTCATCTTCTTGTCGCTCTTCCAATCCCCCAATACTACTGCAATCGTCCTCTGAATCAGTTGAATATACATCACAATATCTCACACGAGTCTTCTTCTGTTTTGATTTTTCAGCCTTGATGACTTGATGTTTTTGCATGGGTGATCTGCATGTTACTGCAGCTAGTACATGATCATCATCTAGCTTCTGGAAATGATGGTATTTTCGTATTCCAATTATCTCAACAGATTGTTCCCATCTTTTTTTGAGTAACTTGTCACCGGTTGCATCAACATCTTCTTTTGAGACAAACAGGGTTGTAACCAAGTTGCAATATGTCTGACATGCATTGAAAAAGTCTTGTGGTGTATTTAAGATCACTGATTTTGACTTAACTCGTATCCAAATGTTTCGCTTCAGCTGGTCACCAATAGCATCTACTGCACCCTTGCCATGTCCAGCTGCAAAAGAGCTCCACTGAACATCTGTTAAGTTCAAATCAGAAGCCAGGTAACAGATATTGGACACTGTATACTTGCTCTTGAATTGGGCTGAGCAATTGTCAGAGAAAACTGAGAGGGTTTTAAGTTCTTCGTACTCAAACTGCTTAAAATCATCAACAACCGCCTTTAAGAAAACCCAGCTACATTCCTTTGAATGTGACATGTCATCACTAACAACAACGTACGATTTTACTCCATGTTCATACCAAATACATGCGGTAAACAATGTTACCTGACCATGGCACCAATGGGCACTTTGTATCTCATCTTGAGATGTTAGGGCAAAGTTTTCTGCGTAATCAATCTGTATTACTGCTGACCCTTTATCAATGTTTTTTTTCATATGATCAAAATGTTCAGATTGGACATTTTTTACAAACCAGTGAAACTTAAAAGCAGGTAATGTCTCATTTATTTTGTCGAGTACATCTTGAAGAGGCGTTGAATTTTCCATGACTTGATATTTTCCATCCTCTTTCCGCCATGATTTCCACTTATCAGTTACGGAGTAGTCAGTATTTTCATTTAGAATAGTCTTCACATCAGTCTTACAATTCTCGCAAACATTTGTCATGCAACCTTCACTGTCTGTGTTGCAGCATAGACAATTTGACAATATGTTAAACAACAGCCAAAGAATTTAAAACAAAATCTTTGTAAGTGCAGTCAGAAACACCTATTTAAGGCTTGTAACATCCGTTACGTAACGGATGTTACAAGATTTAAACCTCTTATAAAATTGTATTTTTTACATAAATATGTAAATATTAGGGTATAGACCAACATGTGCTGACCTTAACCTTACTTTTAGAAACTTTCATTGTTTTTCTTTAGACCATTCATATAAAAAAATAACTTTTTCATGTTTTTGTGTAACGGATGTTACATGCGACCGTCTTTTCTAGGACTTTTTAAAAAACTCATAAAGAATCTTGCCTGATCATTCATTTTGGTGTTGTCACTTGAGCATAACCTCAACTGCAAACTGGTCACAGTCTAATGTGGTAGTGAACTATGGTGCCTCCAGCAGAGAACTCAAAACTTCAGCATTTTTACAAAGAGTAATCTGGGTCTTCAGTATAGCAACTTCAAATCATCAAAAAAAGCAGTAAAAATAAAAATATTCAAATTTACTCTTTTTTTTCGTTAAATTTAACTTGTACCTCATAGTAATGCATAATTAGTTTGATTCTAATATTAAAAATTACTTTTTCCTCAAATTCCTCTCTTACGCGGATTGGCTGAAAAAACAAACGAGACCTGGTGCTTATCCCTTAGTATTGGTTTCGACTCATTTGGCATACTACAAATTGTATCGCAGTAAGTAAAATGTTTCATTTATTTTGTAATATTGTGAAATGTAACACTTCTTCAAACTTATCATTTTATTCCTAATGTTTTAGAATCACTTGCACAAATCACACCAAGAAAGGTGGAAAAATGACGGTGGTCGCTACTCAAGGGTGCAAGACAGTTCGTGAAAACATTGCTTGCGTATTTGGAACAAAACAGGTACAAACAATGATAATTATATTCTTCGTATTGCGTTTTTTTCATCAACCTCTCTAGGCCTATGAAGTTTCCTTGATAAAATTAATTTGCTTATTTTACAAAGAATAAGTTAAATTGACGCACACGTACAATAATAAAGTTAAAGTAAGCTGTCACTTTGGTGATCAATCCACAACTGACCCAATGTAAGAGTATTTTTTAGTTAAAGCAATATTATCAATGTTAGTTTAGTGTTTTTTTAAATAGGTATATTTTTATTTTTGCTATCCCAGTTTTAAGAACTTGAATTATTAGATTTACCTTTGTTGTTGTTGTCTGTGTTCTGGAGTAGGTAAAGATGTTTGTGCAATGTCTTATGTCTTATGAACTCAGTCAACAAATCAAATCAAATCAAAATCAAAATCTGCTTTATTTCCAAAAAATTTTTTTTACAATATATACATATACAAAATACGAACAATAGTCCCGCATAGGCCGTAAAAGACCTGTGCGCGGGACGAGCTCTATTACAAATTAGAAATATTCTTAAAAATTAAAACTAAATTAATCAAAATACTATTTACAACTAAGCTATGAGACAGCTACAGGAACAGTTAATGCTAAATAAAAGGTAGTCGATTGAATGGGGTTGCAGTTACTGATATCTGTACGCTAAATATTGTTTGGTGTATAATTATTTTAGGTCATGTATACTGAACCGATAAGTGTCTCAGACTGATCGAGCCCAATATCCGACAGCCAACTGCTTACCGAACGTTTATAAACTGGAAGAGATACCTGTAGATTTCTAATCTCTGATGGTATATTCCTATACAAAAAATTCGCAATATAAAAAGCATTAGTAAGGTTTGCAGACTTGAAAACTCGGGGTACCTGCATACCTACATTTACAGCTCCTCTGGTGGAATAGTTATGTGTGATTGGCGTCACTATCAAATCTTGATTAGAGTAGGTATATACAAGTAAAGTTTTGATAAAAAGTTGACGCACCGAAAGTAATTGAGTGTTTTTGAATAATACATTTGTAGGGAAACGCCTGTTGAATTGAAAAGCTATTTTAATAATTAGTTTTTGTATGACAAACAGAGGCTTTAAAATGTTGCTACTAGCTCCTCCCCATACTATAATTCCATATTGAAGTACTGATTGGACAAATATAACTTTGGACAAGTATAACTTTTTTATTTCATTAATGTTAAGAATTTCGCGAACGTTTCTAAAAACATAAATTAATTTCCTAAGTTTTGTCTTTAAATATTCAATATGGGGTTCCCATCTTAACCTACTATCCAATATCACTCCCAAGATCTACTCTCTCTAAATGTAAACAACCACAGGTAGAGACACCTGGATCTCCACAAACATGCATCACAAGTCTGAGGTTGGTGGGAGGCTCACTACTTTGTCTGAGGAAAATTGGCATAAATTTTGTTTTTAAAACATTCATTGATAATACATTTTGGGAGAACCATTTTTGAATAAGGAACATATCTGTTTGTGCTACATTGAATGTTTGGTCCCAAGTATTAACTGGCTGGGTAGCTGAGTGGTTATAGTGCTCGCCTATTAATCAAAAGGTCGCCGGTTCGATCCTGAGAAAAGTCAGTAGCTTTTTGATGGTTCGAAACTGGACCCAGCTGTTCCTGATCATTGGGCTTTAAATAAATGATCCTGACTAATGAAACCGCTGATCTTAGTCAGTAACAAAGCTACACAGGTCATCACACACCATTCTACACTCATCCTTCACTCATATTTGGGTTAAACCTAGGTGGCGTCCCCATCTCAACGATTGATTATTGATTATTATTATTATTACCGAACGTTTATAAACTGGAAGAGATACCTGTAGATTTCTAATCTCTGATGGTATATTCCTATACAAAAATTCGCAATATAAAAAGCATTAGTAAGGTTTGCAGACTTGAAAACTCGGGGTACCTGCATACCTACATTTACAGCTCCTCTGGTGGAATAGTTATGTGTGATTGGCGTCACTATCAAATCTTGATTAGAGTAGGTATATACAAGTAAAGTTTTGATAAAAAGTTGACGCACCGAAAGTAATTGAGTGTTTTTGAATAATACATTTGTAGGGAAACGCCTGTTGAATTGAAAAGCTATTTTAATAATTAGTTTTTGTATGACAAACAGAGGCTTTAAAATGTTGCTACTAGCTCCTCCCCATACTATAATTCCATATTGAAGTACTGATTGGACAAATATAACTTTGGACAAGTATAACTTTTTTATTTCATTAATGTTAAGAATTTCGCGAACGTTTCTAAAAACATAAATTAATTTCCTAAGTTTTGTCTTTAAATATTCAATATGGGGTTCCCATCTTAACCTACTATCCAATATCACTCCCAAGATCTACTCTCTCTAAATGTAAACAACCACAGGTAGAGACACCTGGATCTCCACAAACATGCATCACAAGTCTGAGGTTGGTGGGAGGCTCACTACTTTGTCTGAGGAAAATTGGCATAAATTTTGTTTTTAAAACATTCATTGATAATACATTTTGGGAGAACCATTTTTGAATAAGGAACATATCTGTTTGTGCTACATTGAATGTTTGGTCCCAAGTATTAACTGGCTGGGTAGCTGAGTGGTTATAGTGCTCGCCTATTAATCAAAAGGTCGCCGGTTCGATCCTGAGAAAAGTCAGTAGCTTTTTGATGGTTCGAAACTGGACCCAGCTGTTCCTGATCATTGGGCTTTAAATAAATGATCCTGACTAATGAAACCGCTGATCTTAGTCAGTAACAAAGCTACACAGGTCATCACACACCATTCTACACTCATCCTTCACTCATATTTGGGTTAAACCTAGGTGGCGTCCCCATCTCAACGATTGATTATTGATTATTATTATTATTACCTTTGAATATAACTGCAGTGTCGTCGGCAAATAAAAAGAGCTTTCCTGTGATCGGAAGTTTGTCTAAATTATTTATGTAAATCAAAAAAAGGGATGGTCCCAGCGTACTGCCCTGGACAACTCCATAGTCTATTTCACGTATATCGCTAAAATTGTTGTTAATAGAAACTAACTGGCTTCGTTTATTCAAATAACTACTAAACCATTTTAGGGCCAAACCACGAATTCCGATGCATTCCATTTTATTTAAAAGAATATTTCTATCAATGGAATCAAATGCCTTTGCAAGGTCAATGAACACAGTCAATGCTTTTTCATTTCCGTTAATACACTCCGAAATATATTTATTCATAGCGAAGAGAGCATCACTAGTATTTTTACTCTTCCTAAAACCATACTGGCATTCTGATAACAAATTATTATCTTCCAAATAACAGTGCAATTGTATTTTGACACATTTTTCTAAAATCTTAGACATAACATTCAACAGCATCAAAGGTAAATATAATATAATGTTTTCTATTCCTAGGCCAAATAATATGGTGTGATTTCAGTTGTCCAGCCTGTTAGAGCTGAAAACAGTCACTCCAACTGAAGAGATATTGGAGCAACATAATTTGAAGTACCTGGATATGAAGGTAGAAGATGTGTTTCAACTAGAAGGTTTAGTCTCCAGTTGTGCCCACGGTCTCGGCCGGTCTACAAATGATAGACAGTTCTACTACGTCAACTCCCGGCCTTGTGAGCCCACAAAGGTAAAAGAAAACTTTGATATGTCACGTAAACATCTAATTACAACTCATTTGATTATTACAAACAGTAAAAAATTAATATTAAAAAGTAAATTGTATTTGTAAACATTTGTTCCACAATTCAACAATGCACGAGAAAAAAGATTATTTGAAAACTTGGAAGCTACCTACAAAAAAGCACCAATGTTTTAGAAAACTATATCTAAGGCTTTCAATTTTCGGTCTGACGAATAGCGAATAACGTGCGGGGATGTCTGCTTTACGAGGAGAGTCGACGTAGTTTGCTAAAACACCCACAGGTAGCAGCACTGCTTGGAACTTAGCCGGTCCCATTGTGATTGTATTGCCAATTGGAGGGAGAAAGACGAGACAACAAGTTGATTTTTAAGCTGGCCAGACGGGGATTTTACAGGAAAATTTACTACAAACCTACACCACAACAAAAAGTCACATACTACACGCTTACGTGATATAGGCCTGCCTTGAAACAAAGATATACAAAAGGCATTGCCGAGCGTTCCCGATCGGGTACAGACGCACCTTACGGGTGCCAAGCACCGTACCCGGCCGTTAAAATCATATATGGGCCTACAATACATAATCACCATATATTTCCTTGGTATATTACTTTCCAAAACTAGTTAAGTTACTCTTTTGTGCCACATAGGTAGTTAAAGCAGTGAATGAAGTTTTCCACCAATACAACCTTCATCAGCAGCCGTTTGTGTTTCTGAACGTGAGCAGTGCCCGAGACTCTGTGGACGTCAACGTGACGCCGGACAAACGACAAGTGTTTCTAGAACACGAGAAACTTCTCCTAGCGACTGTCAAGGTACTTACACACACGTTCACATTTCCTGTAGCAGGGTGTACAGTGATCATTCAAAATCACTGTTTCAATAGTAAATTACAGTAGTAACTGGCAAGTCACTATATTGTTATCTAAATCTGATATTGTTTGAATCTTTAATCTATCAACTTGATTAAATTGAATATATAAATCTATTACCTGATGTTGTTCATTTTACCTTGATTGTACATTGATTTTATAAGGGAGTCATAGAAGTCACTGAATAGTACATGGTTTCAAGAGAGTTAGGGAGTCATTGACATGTCATTGGCTTTACAGAGGTGCCAGAAGAATGATTGAAAAGTCACTGATATTAGAAAGTTACTCAAGTCATTGAAAAGGAACGATTCTGAAAGGGAATCAATAAAAACTGAAAAAGTCACTTATTTTGCAAGGGAGTCACAAAAAAGTTTCTTCACTTGGTTGTCTTTGGAAAGTTACTGTTTTTGGAATAAAACTAGTATTCATTTGGAATAAAACTAGTATTCATTGAAATGAAGGTAATCAAAGAACTTATAACCTTCTGTCCATCTGAACTTGTAATCCTAATCTGTCATATGTGATTGTTTTAGGCATCTCTTCAAGTGTTATATGAGAACATTCCTTCAACCTATACAGTAAACAACATTCAGACCTCAGTAAGGAAACAAGTCTCCCCGCAGAAAATAAGTTCACCCGTTAACAGTCCAGCTTCTGTGCTGAGCCAGTTTAGGCATGCTTCGGCTGGGAAACGGCAAAGTATAGACCCACCTAACCCAAAACAAGCAAAACGTAAGTGCTTATTAGCTTAGATTTTAATGTTAAGCGGTAAGAAAAAATTGAGTCCCACAGGATATTGTTTTTTATAAAAAATCATAAAATCTGTTCTGGTAGTAAAAAATAAAATAAAAAATAAGTGCGTATACTTAGTTCCGTACAGTCCCGTATACAGAGTTCCCTTTAACCCTGAACAAAATGGCACAGCAACCAACATTTTTCCCAATTTTTGCAATTAATGTCAAGCAAATGGGAGAGAGTATTTATCAGTTTGCTGATACGGTTTATTTATTTATGTTTCAGAAGTTAAATTGGACTCAATTTTTGCCAAGCAAACTCCAACCATTGAGAGTTTTGCAAAGACGAGTCTTGACATCGTGGATCAGAGCATTGAATCAAGTCAAAACTCAGCCAGTTGCATGGGAAAAAGCAGTGTTATCAATGTGGAAGACAACACGATTTGTGAAATAAGTGAACGCACTTCAACACTGATCAGGGAAAACACTCTAGTTGATTCATGCGAAGAAGTATCAAATTGTGAAACATCGTGTAAAATTGAAGTTTTATCGAAAAGTTTTGAAAGTAGAACTAACTCTCAAAGTTCAAATTTGAGTCAGATCTCAGATCCTGGCAGTAATGTTGAGGAAACTTGCATGGATAAGTCAAATGTGCCGGACATTGAGTCTGGTGTGTCGAGCCAATCGTCAAGTGAGTTGACAACTTCATCAGTAACAGTAGAATCTATAAGTAAATCACCTGATGCTGGAATTGACAACGATGTAATATTTAGTTCTTTGGAAAATGTTTGTGATGAAAGAACTGACAGTAAAAGTGTGATTGTGGAATTTGACTCTCAAATCGGAAGTGGTGATCACAGAAGAAGTGTTGAGGTTGACGTGTCGATTGGAAAAATATCGGAATACTTCCGACAGGCTTGTGCGACGGAGAATGCGGCCGAAGAAAAACAGGTTAGGTTCAGAGCTGTAATTGATCCTTCAAAGAACAAACAGGCTGAACAAGAGCTGAGTCGAGAGATTTCCAAGGGTATGTTTGCAAAGGTAACGTAACAATTTTTTAATCATTTCCGATTATGCTTAGAAATTATACTATCTTGATTGGCAAAGAATAAACAAAATGTGATGTTTTTATGTAGGTGTCATCACAAATTGGATTTTGATAAATAAAATGTATTTTCATTATGAATTGTGAGAATTTACAGATAAAGTTTAATTTACTGGTACCCATGTATTGTTAGAGCATTATATCCGTTATAGTTTAATTTTACTATAACGGCTGTTGCATTGTAAAGTTTTCTTGGGTTGAATAAATTAAAATTAATATCCTGTTGTCTTGCGTGCAAATTGGTTTTGTTTCGCTAAAAATCAAATAGTCACATATTAAATTTAACCCAGACTACAGAAAAATGGCCCAGGGTTGGTGAATAAGTTTTGTAGACTATTAAAATGATTTGATTTTATGATTTGATCTGTGCTGAGCCCCAAACTACACCTTTCATTCGATTTTGATAAAATCTGGTGCAGTGTAGTACCCATCCATTGTATCTCCAGATGATTAAAAAAAACGGCTTGAACGATTTTGATTGGATTTAAGGATGTTATAGTTCTTAAAACCTGAAACAAAATGGCACAGGGCCCAACACAGTAGAAATTACAGTTCGAAAGTGGTTGCAATCATTTTGCTTTTTCCCCTAAATACCCACGGTTTAGTTTCTTTGCTCTTAAAAATAGTAGGCTGATCAATTTTAATAACAAGGGGAATTATGTGGCAGTTTGCTTACTGTATATTTCTATTAAAGATTGGCTTCTTGCAGATGGATGTAATCGGACAGTTCAACTTGGGTTTTATCATCGCGAGACTCGGCTCTGACCTGTTTATTGTAGATCAACACGCTACAGACGAGAAGTACAACTTTGAAACATTGCAGCGGACGGAAATCATCTTAAACCAGAAACTGGTTGTGTAAGGGTAAAACTACATAATGTTTTTAATTTTTATTTTTTTTAAGGACGTCGACGTAATAATATGGGTCTTTTTTATCTAGTTCCGAAGCTAGTAGAATTTTGTCAGCGAGAATTTTTGTCAAATAGGCTCTCGCCTGTGCTTACTTCTGGTTAGGCGAAGAGGTTGCAACATTTTCACTTGGATAAAATCCATTGTTGACTGGCAAAATTTGAACCCTGGACCTCAGGACCAAAGTCTCTACCACTTGACAATCTTGCTCCCCTACATTCATTCGGTTCATATTCATTTTCATTCTATTGGAGTAAAAAAAATACTTTACTGTTCTTTTAAAAAGTAACTTTCTCATTGTCCTAATAGCTTCTAAACATTCTTATGTGTGAATAAAGTATAACAGATTACATTGAGTGTATTCTGAGAGATGTGATAACTTTGTTTATAAAGTGATTGTACATTGGCCCGTTTTTTTGTAACTAACATTATATTACTTCCTTGCTGCATTAAGTTTTAAAATATTTTTATGTTTTTAAATTTGAAAAATGTGTTTCAGGCCTCAAAAGTTGGAATTGACAGCTGTGAATGAAGCAGTGCTAATCGATAACATTGACGTTTTTAAGAGAAACGGATTTGAATTTATAATTGATGAGAACGGTGAGTATTTTTTTACTTTCCGCATGAAATATACCTTGGCAGATTAAAACTTGCCCTTATATAATATTTTAGATAATATACAGTACATGAATGAGGATTAAAATTACTTTTAGAAGATAAACATGTTTTTGAAACCTTATTAGTAATACTTTTTTACAGTAGGCCTACTAGGCTTCTGGAGATTTTGTAACCAGTCAGTGAATGTGTGGGTTTTTGTTTTTATAAATTTAACTAAGCATTCTCGTTAATTACTAGTGACATTTTAGCCAATTTAATACAGTAATTACCACAAACTTGATGAAATTTGGACCAGGCAAAGTGCTTTGTTGTAGAAATTCTGGGTTATTGGGAAAAAGGATAAAACTAAGTCATGATATAGTAGGGGCCTATGTTTTTCTTTTATTTCTCAAGCATATATAAGTATTATAAGAAAAGGACTTTTAAAAATCCTGAATCTACAGTAATCAGCTATTCAAACACTCTGTTCACACACTTAGTCGAGCAGCTGTTGTGTACTGAGTTGAGCAGAAGCTTGAGCATCAATTTCAAAGAACTAAATTTACTACATCATCAAGATAAAATGTATAAATTTAACTATTTAAAAAATAATGGTTATTCTTCATCTTTTTACAGCACAAACTACATCAAAAGTGAAACTTGCTTCTGTACCAATGAGCCGCAACTGGACATTCGGTAAAGAAGATGTTGACGAACTATTGTTCATGCTTCAGGTGGGGTTGGAATGATTTATGTCAGTTCATTAGGTACATTTAATCACTGATAATCTGATCAGGTTTAACATTACAGCACCATAAAGCTTAACAACATATTTTTATGTATTTTTATTTGTGTATTTACGTTGTTAGCATTTTTAAACATTTTTTTTAGGGAACGGTCCAAATCGGAAACCCTGGTATTGTTACTATCTAACGTTGACCTTTTTATTAGATAGGATGATTAATTGTCAGAACATTAGTGACAATAGGCATTTGGGTCCAGTAACAATGGAATTAAACCAGGGACCTTTAATTTAAAGGTGAGTGCTAATCCACTTCACTATATGACTACCCACAAGATTTATGATTGTAAAGCTACAGCCTAGCCGATTCAGCAGTTTTTTGCTTTCACTTGGACCAAACATGTACCCCAAAACCACCTTTTAATACTACAAATATAGACATAGATGTAGGCCTATTTTTAATTTTTAAAGTTTTAATATGCCTTCAACACTGTCATTGCTGTCGTAGGACGCGCCAGGTACACTGTGTCGACCGTCGCGTGTGAGAGCCATGTTTGCGTCACGCGCGTGTCGCAAGTCCGTCATGATCGGCTCGGCACTCAGCCACGCGGAGATGAAGCGGCTGTTGGTTCATATGGGGGAGATTGAACAACCTTGGGTAAGTAGCTAGTTTATTTTTTGACAATCTAAAAAATCAAGGACCTTATTGTGTCTGTAGGAATGAAATAATTGTTTCAGTTGTGACTTAACTAGTATGTAATGTATGTACCAAAAGGTTTTTAGAGACTAACTAGTCACTATTTTACTGATTACTCACTGAATGGTTTAAATTTACACTCACTGGTTTTTGTCACAACAAAAAACTGTTAGCTCATTTAATACATCCACAAAAATTAGCAGCACCTGGTGGAAAGCAAAGTAGTCATGTTTGTATCAATAAAACAATGAACCAAATACAATTTAGAAGACTGATACGTAGATCAAGGTTTAGAACATCTAATCCTTCTAAAGAAATCTTAAACTTGATTGAAATATCACTTTTGTGTGATATGGAACTTTTCTGCTTCCTATGAGCTCCTGAACTTGAAATTTCATAAGCTATCTAAAATCCTGCCCTTGAAAAAAACTCCTTCAGCCTCATGGGTTTCCTTCAAATTCAAAATGTTTAATAGATATGTTGGCAACTTGTGTATGGCTGGCAATTGTGGGAAAACTTTGCAGATCCTTCTATTTTATCCTCTTAGAAAGCCCTGAAAGCAGATCTCTAGATAGATCTTATTTACATGGGAATCTTTAATTTTACTGATCTATTTATTTGTTTTTCAGAACTGTCCTCATGGCAGACCGACCATGCGCCACCTAATTAATTTGGACTTTGTATAGTTTATTGTTAATGTTGGAGTGACTAGAAGATATAAAAACTGTTCTAGGGTTTTGTCAAGAACATCATTCATGTTCTTATATCATGAGCAACCTAGCTTAGAAGTGTTTGCAGACTTTAAAGTGGTAATTTTGACACTGAGTAAACATAGGAAGACTTTCTCTAATATAGGCAGTTTATGATTCCTGGAGAGTTATAAACTTTGTAAAAGTTTCCAATGATGACTGTCCAATATCAAGCTTTACTCACATTTAGCCCTGCCAAACACATTTTAATATAAGGCCAATATTTGACAATAATTGATAGTGTTTAATGCCACCAAGCTCATTTATTGTATAAAAAAACTAGTAAATTTATCATCCTGCTGAAGACTGTAAGGCTTAGTCAACAAGTTTCAGTTGTTAATTGTCTAGTTTATAACTCTGTATTTTTATACCTGTTATTTTGTATACTACTCATAATTTACGTAATTTTTATACATTAACTGTGTAATTTTATAAATAAACTAGCTGACCCGGCGAACTTCGTATCGCCTAAGTTATAGGTTTCCCCTAAGACAGACCGATGGAAAACCCGGCAGACGTTGTCTGTTGTCTTGCCTTTGACTATTTTTAATTTAAGTACCGTTACGTTTAATTTTCAAGATGATCTCGTTCGCATCGCTCAACCACGTCCTGGTTGAAGTTCGTTCGCTACGCTCACTCACCTTTGGGTTGGAGCTCGTTCGCTACGCTCACTCACCTTTAGGTTGGAGCTCGTTCGCTGCGCTCACTTGCCTTCAGGTTAGATGTTCGCATCGCTCAATCACGTCCTGGTTGAAGTTCGTTCGCTACGCTCACTCACCTTTGGGTTGGAGCTCGTTCGCTACGCTCACTCACCTTTAGGTTGGAGCTCGTTCGCTGCGCTCACTTGCCTTCAGGTTAGCTCGTTCGCTACGCTAACTCGCTTCCAGGTTGAAGTTCGTTCGCTACGCTCACTCACCTTTTGGTTGCAAATTAGCTGTTGTCATAAATGTAAAAGAAATAATAGTGCTGCACCCTGTTGGTAATCCTTGTAACTTTAATGCTATTGAACATCATAGAACAGAACCAACTTGTTTAATTGAAACAGCTGTTAAGATTCATTAATTCCATTTCTCATAAGGTTAACATGGGAAACTCCAGAGCCACTGGGGCGGAGCCCTTTTAAGAATTTCGAAACGGGAAATAGTTTACTTCCTATTCGCATACCTACAGAATTTACACACCAAATTTCATAACGATCGGTGAAGTCGTTCCGGAGGAGTTTGCAGACAAACACTGTGACACGAGAATTTTATATATTAGATATGTGTATACTTCTTTATTTTTATTTTTCTACCAAACCAGTCTTTACGTTTTTTGTTATTAATATTTATTTTCGTAACACTTCAAATCAAATAAAATCAAAATCATTTTTATTTCAGTAAGTAATACATTGTTACAATACTTTGTCAGAATCCTTATACCTTATCCTCAGTATACTTAACTTTATAAAGTTAAACACTCTAAAAATACAAAAAAATCATTGTTAAAACATGTCATAGTGGAAAATTCTGTCCCTAATAAGTAAATGAGATTTACCATATAAAACTACCATGTTTTCAGGTGTAAAACATACACTGTACTTTATGAAACACTAACATTTATTATCCACTTGTTTTTTAAATGTTAATATAAATAATAGATGAAAATAAAATATTAAAAAGTTTCAATTCTACAAATTGATAAATATTTATCTTAGTGTATAACTGTAGTAAAGACAATATTAAAGGTATAATCATATTTGTGAATAATTTCTTCACTGAGTTTTCACCACATACTTTTTGTTGCTGTAGTTTTGATGATTCATAACATATCAATCTAAAAATAAATTAGTGACTATTACAGTAAAGCAATTAAGTTGAATAGTTCTATTTTGTGCTGAGGTGTGAGTGAAATAGGTGACACATTCTCTGATATCATTGTTCGATCTGATTAGAAACACTATATTAAGCCTGATAGAATATTCCGGTACAATCTTTGCGTTCTATCTGTGTGGAAGATCAAGCCGTGACTCACAATGAGGTCTCTACATCTTTCCCTCACGCTGATGACATTTTTATTCGGTAAGTACGACAGAAACTCCATATTTTAATCTGATACTTTTATTTTTCTTATATTAAATGATTTTTTCTAATAATTGAGGATTATGTTTAAAAAGTTTTTTATAAGAATATGTCCCGTAATAATATAAGAAATTAAACATCAAAGCAATGACGTGTAAAAAAATAGTAAAGCATTTAGAAAATTCTAAAAAAACTTAATATCAATTAAATTAAGCATTGAATTCGATAGAGGACAAGTCTCTTTCAAGTATATATGAAGTTTATAATCATGTAATTAATTAATGTTTAAGATAATATATTATCTCGAGCCTTTGTAGTTATTACTTAAAGTACTTAACTCTAGTTTAGTTAGTTATGGTGAAAAAATCCATTAATTGTACGGCAAAGATGTTGTTCAAATTTGAAATAACCAATGTTGAAGGCTCTAAAATTAAGTACTCATAGAGATGCGCTTAGGATCTGCAAAACACATTAATATCCCAAAAATATCTAGTCATGTGAAAAACTTTTGCTGCAATAATAATAGCTATTTACATTACAAGTGTATTAAGAGCGTTTTTACATCACGCAAGTGAATGTTGTGCAACGAGCGGAAGCGAGTTGCATATTTCACCTAAGTGATGTAAACACGCTCTTGCGTAACGTGTAACGTACACAATTTTACCTGACCCGACAATATACATGGGTTTATGTACAATATGTTTCATTATCCATTTCACTCATCTTCTAACAGTAACGTTCTTTTACAAACAAAAGCTAGGTTAGGAAAACACTTAAAAGCATAACAATTACATTCAAGCGCGCAGCTGATTTCTAGCATTGAACGTCGTTGGCTCCATAGAGGTATATTTTTTAAGTTAAGCACTCAATGTTATTTAAATGGGTTTCTTTACATCACCGAGTGAGTTTTTGATACTTTACATCACTCGAGAAGTAAGGAAGTTGTATACATCACGCTTGGGATAGGGAAGTTTAACATGGCGGGTTAGGTAAAATTTGTTTATGGAAGTCCTATAACGTTACAGTAATCAATAATTCAAAGTTTATATCTACATAAGTTTAATTATTGTAACTGTCCATCGACAAAATTGGCTGTAAATATCTTCCCGGGTGAGAAGCATACGATACTTTTTGCCATATTACCAGCCGAAGGTTTTTGCAATAAGTTTTTTTGCTAAAATTTAGATATGGAGACTAACATAACCTATCAAATATTTTAATAATTTCATCAGTTTTCAAACATGGAATACTGTACCGGTAACTCATACCTGTATTTGGAATTTTTGTTCAGCAGATTTAAGCCAATGTCTTTTGTAACTATTATTTCACGTGGAATTTCACAATACTCTCTATCTATAGTACTGCATCTTCTAATATGGGCTAGTTAGTAAATTATCACAACACTCTTCACGGTTGTCTTCGTCAATCGAACACAAATGCAATATTTGCATTGTTGCAGTGGACAAGTCTACATGTGATGAGGAGGGGGAGTTAGCTTCATTTCCATGCACAAGATTAGTAAAAAAACATGTTTTCCATAAGAAGTCCATTGAAAACAGGGGTTTTCACATTTATTAGGCCTATTTGTAATATTTTCTACTAATCAAAATTTTACTTTGCAGCTATGATTGACTTGCATGAATTACCAAGAAAGTTTGAACTTTTTGGAACATTAAACGTAAGTAATCTTTTGAATAATTAGGTGAAGTGTATAACACCATTGGGCATTGACCATGGATGCAAGTACTTATTGTCAAATATTAAACTTTGGTGTGTTTATTAGAAATCATGTTTTCCTCTTATTTGGGGAAGATGTTATAGTGTGTTTGCTCTTTTATTGTAAAATCAGATATCAAGCAATAGTATTTATGTAGGTTCTTCTATTTGGTTGTAAACATTTTCAAGTTTGGTAAAATAAGTTGCAAATGAAGATAAGACTGCAAGACTCTTTTAGTGTTATCTGACATCAAAACACTCTAAAACTAAGTTTCCACAATGTACAACAAATCATTTTGCTGTAATATCTGCTAATCAAACATTTTCTATATAGTGATTTATTATGCTGTAGACATAAGGTATATCTAATTACACTTATCAAAATGCCTTGTCTGAAGTACACTCCTCAGTTCCGGAGGCACCACTGGGCCCAGAGATTATCTCATCACCTCCCTGGCTCCACATTGAGAGGTGTTGTTCATGTAAAATAACATAGGCAGCGCCGTGATGTCAAGTGTCACATTACTAACCTCGAGCAGTTATTTAAAAAAAAATTCTCAGTTCTAGAAAACTCAAATATCTGTTATGTGCAGGGAAGACTCAAACGCAGCGTTGAGACAACACCGCAGCCGCACGTGACAGTTCACCACTACCACTACTACTACTACTGCTGTCCGGACATGGCTGCTAGAGTAAAGAGCGACCCTCGGCTAGCTCAGGCGTTGCACAACGCATCTTGTAGCTTCGACAAATCAAGCGTCCGCTGTGAAGTACCTTCCTCTCAACAACACCAGCAACATCAACAACAACAGCAACATCATCCTCAACAGCAGCAGCAGCATCAACAACAACATCCTCAACAACAGCAACATCATCCTCAACAGCAGCAGCAGCATCAACAACAACATCCTCAACAGCAGCAGCAGCAACAACATACTCAACAACAGCAACAACATGCTCAACAACAGCAGCAGCAGCAACAACAACAACATACTCAACAACAGCAACAACATGCTCAACAACAACATCCTCAACAACAGCAACAACATCCTCAACAGCAAAAGACACAAACCATGAAACCCTACAGAGCAGATCCGTTCTACATTGACCGACTGTTCAACGACCCGTTCGGCAAACAGTTTTTCGACTTTGTTACAGACAATTTTGTCAGAAGAGACAGTGAGAGGGAGCTGGACGAATGTTTAACATCTGCCTTCGACGACCCGATCTGTACAGATTTCTTTAACTTTTTCAATCAAAACTTCATGAGGAAACCAGAAAAACACGTGGCTCAAACTAATCACTCCACTCCTGTGCCACTCCATGCGAGTCAACCAGGGAATACACAACAACCTCACCAGTTTAAGGATTTGGAACATTTTAGAAAAGTGGACAGTATGTTTAACGAACTTGAAAACAACATGAAGAAAGCCTTCTCGAAAACATCAGATTTGGGGAAAATGCTGGGTGTAAGATTTGATGATTTTAGATGAGTTCACTAAAACACAAATGGAAACACGGGTATCATTTTTTCATTTTTTGTATATTTTTTGTTAATTTCATGCACAGTGATTAAAATGTATTGTAAGATCTCTCTACTCAATTCTTTTGAAAACCTGTTTTCTCTGGCAACAAAATAATTATTTGGTTTTATATATTTTAATTTTTGTTAATACATTTTTAAACTATAGCAAGCCTGCAAGTGCAAACCATGATATGATGTATAAACCATTGAGAGCATGCAATAAACATTTGTTGTACGTTATCTTTCAGTGGTGTTGTCATTATAAATTTTCCTATTCAAGAACGCATCGTCTTAAAAAACACACAAAAAATCATTGATAAAATAATTACCTTATCCAACCACAGTTGTTTGTATGACTAGTTTCATTCCTTGGAACTTCATCAGTTCAATTTGTATACAACCACATCATCAATGCATTAATACATCGTGGAATGTCAATAGATTCTTAAACAAACTGTCACAATCACAATGATTGAAACTTGTTAGGTTGATAAAATATTTAAAATGGAATTAAAATTGATAAAACTGCATATGCTTGGCCAGCACTGCCTAATCACTGCCACTGACTAAATAAAACTGACTGAATCATGATGTCCCTTATTCTTTCCAGTGCCACCTGCATTTCAGTTTGTTTTGTTCTAATTTTATACTTCTTTGCTTTGTAACTTGTCAATATATGTATCAAATATAATATTTGACTAGAAAGAAGTCTAATAATTTAATCAGACTTCTACTTGAGTTTTTTAGCTTTGTAGATGGTGAATTTGTGAGTTTTAATCATCATCAATTTTTATTCCATTTTAACAATCTATTGCATATATTGTAATCCTAGTATTCAGAATTAGGTAAACCAGTTAATGTAAATAAAATCCAAAACATGTAATTTAGATCACTTTAATCGATACTATACACTGTATAAATACATTGGTCTAACCTAAAAATGGCACATAGTTAAAATGTAAAATAACTTAATCAACACAATTTATGAGCAAATCTTTACTTAATATCTAAAATTTTGTCAAGATGGCCACTTATGTCAAAGCCAAAGGATGACCCAGTCTTCCTGGTTCTATCAGCTTTAAGCCTTTATTTTCTCTGTTTGTCAAATTCTATCACATAGGCTAACTTTTTTGTCAAGGAAGTAATACCAACCTTTGAATCCTTTTACAAATGACATTTCTAGTTTTTACTACCATTACTCACAAATTAATCATTTTTCTAATTCCTTTAACTTAATCCCAGTTACTTCTCCTCATTAACAGATTTTTCCTTTGTGTCCGAGCTTACCAGTTTCAAACCAAAACCAATTTAATCTGTTTGCCAATTTTATACCTTTAAGTTCTTAATGTTGTCTCGACAACAACCAGCTTTGTTTCACGTTACATCCCTTCATTATAATTTACGGTGGGCTGGGTCGGCAGCAGTACAGTCCTCGGAGGTTCTGCCAGTCAGCTGTGGCACGCTGGAGGAGCGCAGACCGAGGTTGAGAGCCGTCAACAGAGGATTCCGTCCACAGCCGCAGTTGTTGTTAAAGTCGTCCAAGTCCAGCGCCCAAACCATCGCACCCCCCAGGCCGAGGTCCTTTACATACTTGGCCTGCGGGAAAAAAGGTTTTGATTTAATTTAGCTGTAAAAATAGTCCAAAATCACGTGCGGTAGAAATAATTTGTTGCAGCCCTATGTGAACAGGAAATTTCAAGATTAAAAGATGCACCATTTCTTTTTACCAAAGAGTGCTAGGCCAACACATAGTAACTTGTGAATTCAACTTATGGTTGCCAGATTGATAAGTATAATGGTAAGTATTCTTGGAAGTAATGATGTACATTTTACCAATTTGTGTGGCATCATCAGAGGTTTTTTTGCCCTAAAACACTAGGCACGAGCGCGGGATTATTTTGCACATTACTTCAGGCTAGGCCTAGGGGCTGCGGCTCTATTACTGAGATAAAATCCATTGGTGATTTTGTGGGATTTTACCCAGGACCGAAGTCCCGCACTCTAACCACTAGACCAGCTCGCTCCCCGAGGCACTGTATATTTTTGTTCTTAAAACTGGGAATACTACACAAAGTGGTAAGATGTCTATTTATACAAATATAAAAATAACTGTTTTGTAATTTTTTTACAATTTCAAATTTTACAGCCAAATTTCAAACTATGATACTTAAAGATGACATATTTATCTTACCTTTCTGCTGATGTCCGAGACATCGTCGTAGCCGATCCACTGATCCTCGTAGTGAGCCACGGCTCCTATAGACTCCTTTGCTGGTCGCTCCACTACCCAACCATCCTCACGCACTCTCTCGCATATCTACATACAGGGGTTTGACAGTTATTGTTTGAACATAACATAAGATCATTTATTTAAAGCCCAATGATCAGGGACAGCTGGGTCCAATTTTGAACTGCAATAAAGCTATAACTTTTCTTAGATCAATCTGGCTTCCTTTTGATCGCTAAGCGAGCACTATAACAACTACTGTACATTTATTCTGAAACTAGCAACCACTTTAAGAGTCGTTGGAGCCTAGCCCAGCCAGCGAGATCGACTTAGGCGCTGTCACACGGTCAACTAGAGAACTACACGCGGCGGTGGCGCTTTCTCTTAGCCGTCTAGAGAACTACGTAGACGCGCGGCGATTGCGCTAAACGCAGAATGGTTGTCGAGCGGAACCTGTGGGAAGGGAAACTGATGGTAGTGACTCACACATTCTCGGTACAGCAACCAGCAACAGTACAACCTTTGTAACTGAACTGCTGCTGTGTTGCTGTGTTCCTCTCTCAACTCTCACTTATGTTTAGGTGTTCCAGCTGCAGTCAAACAAAACTTAGTACTATGCAAAAGTATTGTTAACCATCTTTTTTGATTTTTTCGAACGTAAACTAACAAAAACTTGTTATTATTTTGTCAACTATTTCAATTTTTAACAACCAAAACTGTACAACCAAAGAATATATCAACTTCAAATTGAAGTCATAACCTAAAAAGTTCAATGCGGTTTGTAATGTTCCTATTAACTGTATAAACAGCTATTTAATTGAGTTCTTTCTTTTGTGCTCTGGTTTTTGTTATTAAAAATCTTTAGTACTTATGTATTGTAGCGAAAAGTAACGTTCAAAGAGCGAGTGAAAAAGGGTCTGAACATATTCTCGTCCTTATTTAAAGTGCTCGATAAAGCTCATACTTCAAACATAAAATGGTCTCAAATATTATCATTGACTATATATACCTACTGTAGGTATATATAGTCAATGATATTGTATAATAATGGCTCAGTTTCCACTCATGTTTACTGTCTGACGAACAGCTAACTTTTGCATTTACATTTATTAGTCATCATATTTGCGTAAATAATACAATACAAGATACAAATAATTATGATGTGGGCCTATTATGTAAATCAATCAATACATAGCAAACAGTTTTCAAAATAATATATTTTCCCATTTAGTCTTACAGAAACATGACATACAGTAAGGGCTACCCTATTTCAGCTCTACAGCTTAAAACATTATTTTTCGAACTGTTGGTTAAATAATTTGTATATTTGAAAAACATTGTTTGGCCTTATATGTTTATTATAATGCGGTAAGCATATTAATGTACACTGTGATATTTTGTAATAAATTAAAATGAAATATAAATCGTTACACTATTATTTACAGGAAACATAATATTTAAAATTACTGTCAAATAATTAACAACCATACAAAAAAGGGCTATATAAATAAATGAAGCTTACACGTAAGTGTAAACTTACTTGCATTAACCAAATTAACATTTGGATTACTGTACAAGTATTTAAACCACTTATATTGTATGTTGGTAATCCGGAGGCTATACATGTTGGAAAATGAAATCTATAATTATGTAAAATAGTTCAAATGACCAAAATTGTCGAATGAGAAATATGAAACGCTCTTAAAACTTCATCAATAATCATGGGGTAATTTTCAGACGCTCAACAAACAACAAGTCAAGTATTAAATAAAGTATAAAAATTGAAAAACATCTGTATAAAACCGCTATTCATACAATAATATACAAAGTCTTTACAAAACAAATAACTCATTATTTCAAAATAAAAAACCACAAATAAGGGTACAATACTGTCAAATGGTTCATGTGGAGTTATTTACAAAATACTACGGACAATCTTAAACAACAAGTCAAGTATTAAATAAATTATACAAATTCGAAAATATCTTAATACAACCCCTATTCATACAGATATACAAAGTTTTACAAAACAAATAACTCATTATTACAAAACAAAAAATCACAAATATAAGAGTACAATACTGTCAAATGGTTCATGTGGAGTTATTTACAAAATACTACGAACAATCTTAAACAACAAGTCAAATATTAAATAAAGTATACAAATTTGAAAATATCTGTATAAAACCCCTATTCATACAGATATACAAAGTTTTACAAAACAAATAACTCATTATTACAATACAAATAAACGGTATCAGCACTCTGACACATACTTTCTCCCATAAGTTTGTCAACAACCTTTATCATGTGTAAGCGGTGAAAGTAAATATACAGAAGTAATTTGTCCGATTTTGTTCAGAATTTAAAGGACTACATACTAATTTTTTTCAAAATCGTTCAGGCCATTTTTGTGAAATCTGACTTTTCCGTTATTTTATGGGGTTTTTATGGGGAAATAACATAATTTACAATAACTTTTGAACCATAATTTTTACAGAAATGGGATTTGTACCATTTTGTTCAGAATATAAAGGACTAAAACATACAATTTTTTTATCAAAATCGTTCGGGCCTTTTTTGGGAAAATCCTATTTTTCTGTTATTTTATGGGGTTTTATGGGAAAATTCCCATTAAAAATTAAAATTTTTAAAAATGAAAAAACTATCAAAACTTTAAGGACCATAACATACTATGTTAAAATATAACCGGATTTTTTTCTAAAATCCTATTTTTCGTTACCTATTTTATTGGGTTTTTATGGGAAAATAACATAATTTACCATAACTTTTGAACCGTAATTTTTACAGAAATGGGATTTGTACCACTTTGTTCAGAATTTAAAGGGCTACAACATACTAAATTTTTATCAAAATCGTTCGGGCCATTTTCGAGAAAATCCGATTTTTCAGGTTTTTTATGGGTTTTTATAGGAAAATCCCCATTAAAAATCAAAATTTCAAAAAAATGAAAAAAATGCCTGGAGATACCATGGATTAGAACCTACATACCAAATTTCATCGAAATCGGACCACAGGTGTAGTCCCTAGCTCTGTACACATCCAGACACACAGACACACACACACACACACACACAGACATCACTTCGAAAACCACTTTTTTGGGTCCAGGGGGACCCAAAACGAATATATCCACTCAAAACTCAAACTCGAAAATTTTGACGAAAACAATACTTTCTCCATATACTATGGTATAGGGGGAGAAAGTAAAAATCACAAATAACGTTGCAATACTGTAAAATGGTTCATGTGGAGTTATTTACAAAATACTACAGACTCTACAGGCATGGCAGTGGTTTTGCGAGCTCTTTCTTTTCCTCCCTTGACTTTTGCGCTTCCAAAATATACAAAGGCTCTCTTAGGGGCATACTCCTACGTTTTCTAGGGTCCACTAATTCGGGTAAAAGGCAGTTCATGTAGAAATCTGTCAACTTAGATTCCATTTCAACTCGCCAGAAGTCGTCATCCCGGTTAATTATGAATCTTTTCATACCTACAGGTGTCCATAACACAAATATGCAGAAATCTCTTTTCGTAATATGTAATTGTCCTTGCACTTGGTAATGGTATTTGTGCTTTGGTTTTACCACTAAGCTTTTGGAATGCTTGTCCATTACAAACATTTTACCTACTTCCCCTACTTTTTTACTAATTACATCATCGGGTGATAGGTCCTTTCCTGCATAAGGGCACTTAATTTCAACAATGCCATCATCACCTATAAGGCCATCAGGCGTTGCCCCTAAAAAGGGAAGATTTTCATCTACGAAAAACCCGCAAGGATCTACGGGCTTTCCCAATTCAAGCGATAGTTCCCTCCTGGCTTCCTGTTCCATATCTCTGCCATACCTAGTGGCTGGGCAGTCTTTGGGGAAATTGTATAAAATCTCAGACACAACAGGGGCAGAGTTTGAGTACACTTTCCTGTTGCACACCTTTCCAAAGATGGACGCTGTAAGACGGATTCTCCGCTCTTCTCGCCACAGCTCACTGTTACACTGATCCCTCGTGTTTTCTTCTAGTCTACGTCGACCTTCTTCAGGTAACTGGAGGCTTTTCATATGATCTGCAACCTTTCGTTCATACACATCTGCATCTAAGTCGGGCTTTTTACACAGGGGTCCATAATGTTCATCTTTGTTATCTTTCGTGTTTGTGATTAAAGAACGCCGAGCTTTAGGTTTTTGAGCTCTCCTTAATCTTGCCAAAAGAACGCATCTTCTAGCTCGTTCCTCGGATTGTTTGCTAAACTTTCCCGGGCTTTTCTTAAACATGGTTTTGTATAGGCTATAGTAGGAGCGTCCTGAGTTGTGACGTACCACTGCTGCAGCACATCTAGCTTGGTAAGAACCTTTCAAGCAAAAGTTTACCCTTTTCCCTCCTACAGATCGGGCTACCGCAGCATTATAGTGTTCTACAACATTGCTGTCAATATCTTGAATAAGATGCCTGCTCTGATCGGCAAGCGCATCAACGGCAGCCATTACTTTCTGGTATAGTCCACACTGCCTCATAACAGGAACGTGATTTATTTCATCAGGAACAGTCTTTTTGCAAAAGTAATTGAGTTCACTACAACGACGGTGTTCACCAAAAACATGGCTAGGCCCATTGATTATGTCTTCTCTCAACTGTTTAGCCTTTTCTTCTATAGTGTAGATTCCTTTCTTCCTGTATGCAATAGCTTTGGTAACAGCAGTTCTTAATCTCATGTTTGCAATGGGTCGCTTTGTCGGTGTTTTGATCTCTGTCAGTTGTTGTAGCTATTTCCTTTATCTTATTGCAAAAGTTGCGCAGCAAATGATTCCTACATTCGATCTTTTCGACTTGCATGTTGTCATAAGGTCGCACTTCCAAAATCCGTTGGTAAACGCTGCTGTCTCCGTCCGCTACTATTTTCTTATACTTGACGCCATGCATATCAACACTACAAAGGAAGCCCTCCACAATTGCTGCCGCCTCCATACTACTAGAACTTTTGTCCCAATTTTTGAAACAGGCATGAGGCGGTGGGTCCATAGGTTTCCCAGTGTACCGAGCACACATACAACAGTACTTATTCTTTACACCAAAGTAAAGAACCTTTCTCGTGTGATACCCCACAATGGCTCCCTGGAATGGAAAATTGGAAATAGTTACTATGGCTATACGTTAAAATATTCACAAATTACAGCAGTTTTTGGTATTATTTCTCCCATTACTAACAACCACTTTTACTAAGGAGGTGTTGCATCACTGATTAATGTTTGAAATATATTATAATGACAAATCGTTTTGTAGTACTAACTGTATTATTTTATTCATATTTTATTTCCACGGTAATTCTTTTACGCTGAATGTGCAGGGTATTTTTTAGCGCAACCCAAATAACTGCCGTACAAAACTTATTTATCATTATTTTGTATCCCTGTATTCTTTACTTGCCGATACACATTGCCAATCAGTTAATTTGAATTTTTTACCCAATATTTTAAATTTTCCCCGGTTTTTTTCTCCCAGAATTCTAACCCCCGTTCGGACATAGAAATTAGTGAGATTAATTCATTTTCTTATATCAGTTTTGATTGAATAAAAAAAATTGTATTACTAAGTACCCTATCTTAATTTATTTGTAACCTCAACTAAGTAAACTGGTTTCGCTGTTTGATTTTCATATTCGAGTTTCGGGTTTCGACTTTTGTGGCCCACTTTTATAAGCACGCTACGGCGGTTATTTCAGGTTGAGTTATCATAAATATATTTGTATTACTTTCCTGGTTTCGTCCAAAAGAACGTCACTTATTATGGAGACAAAATAAACCTAGTGCATGGCAATAAATCACTCCGGACACAGACCCATCGATGTATAATCACACCCAGATACAGGTGGTGACAGATGATGCGCGAGGTCAACGGCATGACTATGACCTTGGCCTACTTTGAGGGGATTTGGCGGGCAAAAGTATGACTCATCTGGTATCGTTCAATTCATAACGAAACGAAGAACGTCCGACAAACATATTTATGACTACCCAACCTAACATAATCGCCGCAGTGCGCTGTAAGGGTAACCTCCGAATAATACCAAGGTACCGCAAAAATAGTGTATTTTAGTCAATAACAGGATAAACCAAGATTATGTAGTTTTGTATGAAATTGTGAAAACCTTTTGGCCCGCCGCACATTGGAGCGAGGTGAGGTGCAAGCGAGGCGCGGCTGTTCTGTAATACACTTGTTTAAATGGAGCACCGCACATTGAGCAGAGGCTGCGCGCAGCCTCCGCGCAGCACAGCTGCAGCCTCTGTCAGGCCACCGCGGCGTTGTAGTTGGAATACAGTTTTCCTGCACCTCGCTCGCGCCTGCGTTGGGTTTCTAGTGTTTTGTAAGTGAAATATATATAAATGGAGCATTTATTCAGATGGTTATAAGTTATTGAGCTTTGCATTCCTTTCCACTAATGCCACTTTTAATCAAGTTATGGATATCATCAAACTGTTGTTTGTTCACTCAAAAATATTTTCTAAAAGACCACTCTGGCAGTTCAGTAGTTAAAACATAATCTCCATGGCTTAATTTTTTTTCGTGTTTTCAAAAACATTTTTTACAGTTTTTCGGATAGCTAATAGAGTCAAACTAAATTATTAAACTCTCAATCAGAATGAGCAAAGGTCCTAAGAATCTTCATCTACTCGCAATAGTAGGATCAAAGCTAGGAAACCTCTGTCCCGCCTCGCTTCAATGTGCGGTGACACGAAAAAGTCCTCGCTCCCGCCTGCACCTACCCTGCAACTCGCCTGCTCCTCGCCTCGCTCCAATGTGCGGCGGGCCTTTGAGTTTATATTTTTATAATAAGCCACACCATAGTACGGTAGTCGCAGCTAGTCTGGGGGCGCGGACCCTTGAGTGTGTACTAACCGTGCTGAGAACAACGGCTCGCTCACCCCCACAGTCTCGCTGAACAACCCCAGAGAGCCGTGTGGGCCATATGTTTTTGGAAATGAGCAATAAACACTCCCCTCTACACCCCCCGCCCTAGCGCGGTCGCGCGCCCAGACTATAGCTGCGACTACTGTAATTCAGGTCAAATTGACTTAGGTCCTTTGGAAATTTTAGCTAAAACATTAGATGTAGCATAACTAAACACTCTATGTATTATTTAAAGCATAAATGCAATTATATGGCTTCTTACCACTCCGGATAAGCTGTTGTAGTTGGTGCGATATGACCGCTTGGCCCAGCTTCCGTCAGCAACAACTGTGATGAATGGAACACCTTCCTTGTCCACGTCTCCGCGCTGCCTAGCCAGAGCTGCCTCTTCAGCCCCTGCTAACTTCATCTCTACCATCGCTGTCTCCTCCCAACCCCGTGACACTGTCGAGTGATAATGTTCGTATGTCTTTACACTCATACAACGTATCTCCATACCAGACATCAGCTGTTGCAAACTGGTGAATCCTCCTCCAATATTCATCACCGACGCCACGGCAGCTGTGTTTACATCCATATAGTCTTCTTTTTCTGGTTCACTCCATAATGTGTACTTAAAGCCGCACATATTGCAGACGAAAACAAACCCCGACTTTAACCCCCTAATTACTTCTTGCGAATACACCATGTTGCGTAGAGTACAACCATACTGTTCCCCGTGACATCCCATTTGAACAATATTTTTAAAAAAATAATCAATGTCTACAATACGCCTCCCAGACAAAGGTTCGACAGAATTTTCACCAGGAGAGCTATCACTTTCAATGACAAGATCATTGGGAACTGGGGTATCTACTTGACCTTGACCATTATTTTCAATGGCAAGCATACTATCAGAAGCTGAAGGAGGTGTGGAATTTTCACTTAAATTAGTAACATTGTACAATTGATTGTCTTGATCACTGCCTCTACTTTTAGATAATTTACCGATTCCGGTTTTAGCTAAATCGAAGCTTTTTAGCACTCGCCACTCCTCAAACCGTTGTCCGTTTCGACATTTCAGTCTACGAGTTTTGTTCCGTTTATTCCCCATGACTAACACACTAAACACTGTTAACACAATAGGCAACTAAAATCATACCTTTAGTTCTGTTAGTTGAAAAAAAATTAAAGGACAATTAAAAACAAGTTTTAAAACCCATATAACATTTTAACTATACAATTATTCACTTCACTTGTGCTAAAACCAAAACAGATGCACGATGAAAAATATTTGCACAGTTTACGTTTGTCACTACTGACACAGATGCGTATTACATTGCAAACCCTCCGCTGCTTTATTTTGGTTTTTTGAATCGTTCTATACTGAGAGATTGAGACAGAAACACCTGTAACACGTGCAGTTCAAGGTCAGGATCAAACGATTAGGCCCGCTGTCTCGCGGAAAAAGCTGGAACTAGCTGCGTACTTCCAGTTGCCGTGAGACGGGTAGCAACCAACGTAACAATGTGTCATTAAAACGCTCACTACCATCTTACCTTTACTCCTAAAGCTTTGAAAATTTAGCAGAGTGCTAACAACTAAATTCTTAAGTACACTATGAAAAAAAAACTTTGAAAAGAGAAAAGGTTTTTAAAATATTTAATTATTGTTTTATTATTTATTTTTCGGTCATCAAACGATTACAAAACAACAAACTACATTTCTAATCTCATGGTGTACAAGATATTTAAATTACGATCATTTTGGTACCTGAAACAATATTTTAGGATGGTAAATAACTCTTCAGCGACCGTTACAAATTAACATTGCTCTTAAGGCGGCCGAATTCAAGATGGCCGCCAGCCTCCAAGGACTCTTAACAAAGGAATGGGATGTCTACAACTCTCCTTAGTCAAAGGCATACCCAAGACATTACAAATTGTTTTTATCTGTGCACACCTCCAAGTAACAAGTTTAACGAGGTCTGGCCATTACATACCTCATAGAAGGCGAGGGCCCCAGCATTGCCAGTGTAAGGCCCCGCCATGCCTGGGCCCTGGGTGGGGGCCCCGAGCCCCGTATCTGCAGAGTCTGCCAAGGTGAATGTTTGACCATACAGAGGCATTCCCAGCACCAGCTTCTCTTTGGGAGTCCCTGCGTCCAGCCAGTAATGCACGGAGAAGTTCTGAAAACACATTAATGATTGGCTCAACTTAACCTCCAAATCGTAGTCTTGAAATGTATGCCATTGTCAAACACCTTCAAACTTACATTTCACTCAAAATTAATAAAGAATCTTACTCTTATATCCACACTCAATAACAACATGTCCTTACCACTGCTACAAGAGGTGGTAAAGTCTAAAGGCATACATTACAATGCAAATACCATTAAAATCAAGGTTGACTTAATTTTTTAAAAATTTTCATAAATTAATCTTAAATAAATTAGTCAAGCAAATGGATCTATTCTGTTATCCATTTCAATGATGTTGGAAGACTCCTCCAAAACGTCATACAAAATAATTGGAATTTGGTTTCTAAGCTTCTAATACATATTTTTATTACATATTGCTATATTATTCTCCATCTCAGCTATAAATTAAAATTTCAAGAATTTGAAGGAGTGAATTTAAAATGGATTTTTGGCGAGTAGTCACCCTACTTAAAAAGTTTTCCATTTTGCAAACAGTTACAGAACATTTCACTTAACATCTCTTCACAGATTCATGACAACTCACAGTGTTAAAGGTGGGGAAGACGTCTCCGTCGTGGTAGTACAGAGGAGCAACGTGGCCTGTGCGGTTGTCCCAGTAGCCGTGGTAGTCATACGCCATTAGTCCTACCCAGTCTAGGTGCTCGGCCAAGGTAGGTACATCATAGGCTGCCACAACAACATGTTAGCATACAATCTCAACTCTTGCTTTGTTTCAAATTTCAACTCAACACATTCCGTGTAACTGTCAAACAACAAACTTTTACTTTAGCATGCGTGAGTGTTTTTACTTAAATATACCGGTCATCACACCTCTTTTTGTCTTCTGACCTATTCAGATTACAAGACCTAAAAATTCAACATCAAATTGAAATAGTATGTCGGATTTGATAATGGGTCACATGATCCAGTAATTCTCTGACTACTTTTATGTAGGATTGAAGGTACACAACCTGAGCATTGATGGCAAACATGTAGTTCACTTACCTCTGTCCACCACCACCTTGCTAGGAGAGACAGCTGCTGATATGAGCAGACCTCGTGGCTTCAGTTCTCTACTCAGCTCTTTGACAAGTGCTGCGAAACCTTCCTTGTCTGACGGTGGCCCAGCGTTGCAGTTCACCTGGTCAAAAAGTGACTTGTCAGGGCATCATGAAACAATTATGACTTCAAGCCAGTTTGCAATATCTGGTATCTTGTTTTCTCATTGTACAAGAAATATAGGGAAATGGTTTTACCATAGGATGTTTGAATTTACTTATTTCCCAACAAAATTAAACTACCAACTCAAAAAGTAAACACAGCGAACGCTCATTAATCCAGAACTGAGGTCCCATAAGTCGACCTGATTGATGAAAGTGCAGAGGAAATGGAATCATCTTAACATGGCAAAATGTAGATTGTCGATTGTTTGAAACTAGAGGTTGTCTTGGATTATTGTGCTAATTAAATGGATCCTAGCAAAAGAAACAGCTGATCCTAGTTGGTCATAAAAAAAAGCTACACAGACCATCTTACATTCTAGAACCACCCTGCTGATATTTATCTTAAATTTACACATAGTACATCACTGTCTTGATCTACCAACCAGGTCCTAGTTGATGAGGTTTGGATTCATGAGGTTTCACTGACAAGTAATACATACCTGCCAGCAAGTAGGGTATTCCCAATCCAGGTCCACACCGTCAAAGTCATGTTTTTGCAGAAACTGTGACAGATGCTTCACAAAGCGAGCTCTGGCGCCAGGATCGTTGACTAGTCGGCTGTACTTGTCTCCTTTGGAGTCGTTCCAACCCCCCACCCCCAGCAGCACCTTCACCCCCTGCTTCTTCAACTGTGTCACCTGGCGGTAGAAGTCTGGCGAGAAAACAGTTCAGTATTAGTTGCTAATAGGAACAATTTTTTGATGTCTTTTTTATGGGTTTTTGTCAGAATAGCAGATTTACTTTGAATGAAGAATACTCAACTCCAAAAAAGAAACACAAAATATTACACTATACAAGAAAATAGAGTGCACGTTCAGGTGGCCATCTATCTACAAAGATCATTAAAACATAACCTTGGCCCTTGTGTGTAACACGTTCATTATGGCTTATTCTCATAATTAAGAAAAATATTTTGTAGAAGACCCTTCAGAGGGACAAAACGTCAAGTTTGTTACTTTTTGTGTTATACATTATAGGTACATTATAGGTGTTGTACATTATAGGTTAGAAAGGTTTTTAGAAAAAGGAATAGAGTTCATCCACCTTAACTGAAAATATTAGAGTCCACAGAATGTACAGAAGACCAAGACTGCTTCAGAGAGGTCAACGTAATCTCTAAAGAAGTCTTATATTAGGACAAAAAATCAGTATTCATATTTGTGTATCTAATACAGCCACTGGACTCTAATTTTCTCAGGCAAGCTAGCTAAACTCTACTCCTTTTTCAAAGAATGATTCTCTAAGAATGGTAAGTTGTGCGTTTGATTGTTTGTTTCCTTTTTTTCTAATGCATCCCTGGGTAAATTATCCTCCAAAACAATAACCACTTGAGGAAACTAAATTGTATAAAGTACAACTAGCAACCCAAGTGTGGTTTAGCGGTTACCGTTGTCAACGTCGGTCCACTGGTCGTGAGGCTGCACGGTGAGTGACTTCTCGTCCAGAGTAGCAAAGGCGTACACAATGTGAGTGCAGAGGTCTGTGTCAATGTTGGTAGGGAAGTACTTGCCCAGACCTTGTCTGTGCCACGCCCAGTTGGTGAAGTAGCACACCACTTTGCTTGCGGCTGTTAAAGTAATTAGGTTAGATCATTGATGTTCAACAGTGAAAGTAGATTTCCCATCCTATTCTGAAAACTGTTTTGCGTTTTATATTGGAGCTTTTATTTTATAAGAAATTTCAAAAGTTTTGCTTTTCTTTTTGTGTAATTTTTAAATCATTAGAGGATTAGCAATATATTTAAAACAAACACAAACAAAAACATCTTACAAAATACGTTATTGAACTTGCAGGCTCTCTTCTCTGCCCATGTTAGCTTATTTTTTAAACCATTGTAGATTATATTTTTGTCAACACTTGTTTACTATTATTCAAGACATAATGAGCATGTTTTGGGTTAATTTATTTATTCGAAACAAATTTTACATATTTGTACTTTTAAATTGAACACAAATTATTTTATATTTTTCATCTACCCTGTTATAACGATTTCATTCAATTTTTATGTAAATATATTTGGTCAGCGTAGTGCCTTATACAAACAAATTTGACTGTAACTAATTAATCTTGACCATCTCACAAACCAAATGATTAATTCAATTCACTTCCACCATACAACACAACTTACCCTCAGAAGGAATGGTGTCAACATCTATTGGTCTGTCAATCTCAGAAGGCATTGGTGGAGTCGGTTGGTCAAACGCACAGTTAGCTCTCTGAGGCACATCACAGGCCTGCTCTTCCTGTAACAGTTACAAACATTATTTCTAACATCAATCAAGAAAGTCTGTGATTCTATATATAGATACTCCACACATCACAGAGCATTGATTCTGTGGCCTCCTTCGATTAGAGAGGTAGATTTGGCAACAAAACATAAGTTTTTGAAAGATTTTTAAATAACTTTTTTTAGATTACCAAGATTTTACTCATGTCATTTGACGATAATAATTTTAAATCTAATATGATTGATAGCATACAATAAGGAATGAACAACTCACCGCATTGAAGTGAAGCCTCGAGGGACAGACTCGTTCCACAGGTCTTCCCTCAATACAAGCGTAGTATCTGGTGCAGTCAGAGGTGTGCGGTTCTGCTGCTATGCAGCCTCTATCTCTCATCTCTGGACCTAAGCATTGATTATGTTTACAAACGGATGGTTTCTGAGCTGAAATCATCATTGTTGAGGGACAGGGAAAGTTTAATTTGTGTTAACTGAACTGTGATGTTATCTGACACTAACAACGTACCTGGAGAGTCTAAGCTACAGTCGGGGCCGGGACCAGGGTATTTCCTCAGAACTCTGTTGATGGTTTTCAGCAGAGGATACTTCTCACAGCCACATGTGTTCCTGCAATGAATCACACTTGTAGCCAATGACTTGTATGAAAATAAATCTCTACAACAGAACTCCTTTGCATAGCAATTCAAAAAATAAAACAAAGCTTCTAGGTTTTAAATAATAAAATATTATTCTATGGTCTAGTAATTCTGTTTAAAGTTGTCATAGCATAGGTTTGAGTTTATTTAGGAGACAACTATTGAAAAGTGATTCTCATAATAAAATAATGCAAACATTAGTACTCAAGCTGAGCTAAATGGAAACTAAATATGTTAAAGTAAAGGTAAAGAGAAAGTTTATTTGGATTAGGAAAATCAATATTTTAAGACATACAAAATCATATATTTTGCTAGATAGGAAATCAAGGATTTTTAGATACTTCAGCTGTACATAAATGAGGTATTTTCGTATACAGAGAAATTAAAATAGTGTTTACCTGAAATCGTCGAGGTCCAGCGCCCAGATCATAGCTCCGCCCAGGTTGTTGTGTAGCACATACTCTGACTTGTGACGGATCATAGCTTGGTCATCGAAGGACACCCATTGGTCACCCAGCCGAGCGTAAGGTCCAATGGCTCCGTCAGGGTCCTTCACAACCTCCCACGACCTCTTCAGGATCCGCTCACAAATCTGTATGTAATTTTGAAAGATTAAAAAAAGGGTTTTAAAGACCACTGTACCTTTTTAACATCTTAAAGCTGGTAACCTCAATTTGCATTTACCTGATAAGAGTGTTCTTTTTATCCAATTCCTATCAGTGTGTATGTCTTCACACAAACAAACCTTGTTAGTAAGTCAAAAACAAGAAAACGCCTGTTTTTATCAAATTCTTGTAAGTCTGTTGGATAATTTCAAAAACAAATGCATTCCAAATTTTCAAAAAAAAACCTGAAAACAACATAACACCCCTTTTTATCAAATATTATTTTTGTATTTGGAAAAAAATCAATTAAACACAAGCAAACCTCGTAGTAGGCCAGGAATCCGCGAGCTCTGGTCTCCTCTCCCGCCTCGCCACCACCGTAGGTCGGTGCGTTGAGGCCGTTGTCATTCTTGTCCGCAAGACTGAAACTTTGTCCGTACATCGGCATCCCCAGCACCAGCTTGCTTCTGTCGGCTCCCTGCGATGTCCAGTAGTGAATAGTGAAGTTCTGAAACATCACAAACACCAAATGATGCATTTACAACTTAAGTCTTTGTGAACAGACAATGTTCGTGTAAAATTCAAGTGTATATAAAAAAACAAAATAGCAATCAAATTGTTAAAATATTAAAAACTTAATCATAGATATTATTGCAGAGAGATTATTTTTGGGTATTTTACATTTCCAAAAAATGTCTACATTTCGGAATCTGGAATCTGATTCTATACCCCATTGAAAAAGTATAAAAATAGATTATTTTTTATTTTCATCTCATGCAACAACATTATATGGTTTGCACTTTGCCCCGTATGTAGGTTTGCTGCAACTTACAGTGTTGAAGGTGACGTCATCATCGTCAGGATGAGGGTACATCGGAGCCACATGTCCTGTCCGTTTGTCCCACTGTCCGTGGTAGTCGTAAGCCATCACGGCGATCCAGTCCAGCTTCTCAGACATCACAGGAACATCATAACCTGGCATTGGAAACAAGTAAATGAACATTTATTTATATTATTGATGATCATTGATTATAAACATTAAGAGTAGACTTTCCTCCTGAAGGACTCAGGATTCTGAAATAAAATTATACGTTTTAGCCAGACTATTACATACCTGATTGCATAGCTAGTCCTGCATTTTACTTGCTTACTCAACTGTTCATTTATACAAAAAAACTGTATATTTAGAAATGGAGAAGCCAAACTTTTTATTTTAATAAGGATCCCAAAATATTTACCAGCGTCAATGACAGCTTTAGCAGGAGAGACGGCCGCAGACAACAACAGTCCGTGAGGCTCAAACGCCTCCTTCAACTCTGTCACCCAAGCAGCAAACGCCTCCTTGTCAGATTCTGGGCCCATATTGCAGTTGACCTGTCAAACAATGGTTGATTTATTTACTTTTCTCTATGTATTTTTTCAATGTTATGAGAGGAACTTCCCCTCAAACCGCCTAAATATTGTGAACAAAGTATAACACTACTTTGTCTTCATGGTCAAACCGCATCGCAGAAATAAGCTTACATTTTATAACCAATATAATCTACGTTCTCATAGTCTACACCAGTAATAGCACCAAACACCTGTACCGATTAACTTCTCAAAATATGGCTGTCTGTAGTAAGGCTGAAACGTCAGATTATAAGTTTATGTCTGTGGCGCGATCGGACCCTGAAGACCAAGTTTGTAGTCTTCATTATTCACTCTAGGTATCCAGTTACTTTTTCCTTACCTGCCAACACTTGGGGTATTCCCAGTCAAGGTCGAGTCCGTCAAAGTTGTGCTCCTGGATAAACTTGAGCACGTGTTCGATGAAGCGGCGACGACTCTCAGGAGAGTTGACAAGTTTGCTGTATTTTCCTCCTGCTGAGTCGTTCCATCCACCAATAGCGATCGACACTTTCACTCCCTTCTTCTTCAAAGCGGTCACTTTCTCGTAAAACTCTGTAACAAACAACGGTTAGCCTGAAGTTTTAGTTATTGGTGTTTAAGGCTTGTTAATAAATACGACTAATTTTGAGGGCAAATGTTATCTATGTGAGGGAATAAAACTTTCTGCATAAATAACTGTAGTATGATCACTGATCACTTACTGTTGTCAAAGTCGGCCCAAGTGTCGTGGGGTTTGATTATCAGCTGGTCCGTATCCAACACAGCAAAGCCGTAGACCACATGTGTACAGAGGTCTGCGTCAATATCACTAGGCAAGTACTTTCCAGGTCCCTGTCTGAAACCAACAGACTTACTGAGTAAAGTAATAACTACTACTACTACAACATTTTATTCCATTAAAGCATGTGCATAATGAGCATGTGACAAGCATGTGTTACCAGTGTATAATTTTTTTCTGACGTTATTAGAGCCTCTAGATTAGTAATAGATAATGAAAATGGGGTAAATGCCTGCTTAGTAATCCTCTAAAATGCATTAAGTAACTAGTTTGTAGTTTCAGCACATATTCAATTAAATCTTCAGGCTGTACAAAAGCATTCTATTGCCGTCGTCTTCAGCTGAAAACCTTTACAAAAAAGTGAATCAGTGAACACAGAAAGCGAGACATAAACACGACTCGTAACCATTTAAAAATGAGGTTTCATGCTCAGAATCGCCAGGCATGGTATTATCACTTAGCTATGAAACCATTGGTGATTGGTGAATTCCAACCCGAGACACAAGGACAGAAGTCCAGCACTCCAACCACTACAGCCGTGACACCAATTCATAAATTTATCCTCAGAGTAGCAATCTAAGAGTCCTATTACAACTATCCACATACCTGTACCAAGCCCAGTTGGTGAAGTAGCAGACGACTTTGAACGTGTTGTCCAGCATCAACGGTGGTTTTTCCGTCGGCTTGGGCTTTGGTTTGGGCTTAGGCTTGGGTTTAGGCTTCTTGGAAGGTTTAGGCCTCTTAGTGGTCGTGGTCACTTCCTCGACAGGTGGTAGTTCTCCCGCCTCTATGATCTCCGCATTCTCGTCTACCGCCTCGGTCGTGGTAGGGGTGGGGGTGGTTGGTGGAGGCCTGGTGGGTATATGGGCTGGCTTGGAGGGTATTGGAGGAGTAGAGCCCTTTGGAGGCTTACTGGGCTTAGGCTTAGGCTTGGGTTTTGGGGCTTTGGTGGGCTTTGGTTTCGGCGTAGGCTTCTGCCAATTTACACCGTCTGAAAATATTTACCTGTATTTACAAAACGAATAATATTGGAGACCCTGTTATAGGCCTAGTAATAGCAACAATTAAATTAACAGCACATTAGTTGTAATTTGAGAATCATCAGTAGTAGAATCATAGTAGTAATATCTGCCTGCGAGATGATAATTCAAGCTAAACATTTTGACTCTAGAATAAATGTACTTTTAACTTGCATTATATTTTTCCTTACTGTAGAATCGAGTTTTTCTGACGACCGTCTCAAAATGGTGGTCACCAGAAGACCAGGATTCTTGCACAACATTTTTTTATATTTTGGTATATGTTCAATTGCGGTTAATTGCTGTGTTATTTATCCACTCATGAATAATTGTCACTCTACTGTAGTTCACAAAAGTTAGGCATTGCCTATGAGAATGGAATGAATTGCATGTATAATATTGGGGTAGCTACAGTCAAAAGCAGGACTCTACCAAACATGTTATGTGACTGCTGAATAACTTCAACTGCAAAGCTATAATACCTGGAGGACTGGCAAGGGTATCAGCAATTGTCTTCAGCAGAGGGTATTTTCCTCCTCCACAAGTGTTTTTGAAGTCGTCGAGGTCGAGGGCCCAGATCATTCCTCCACCGAGGTTCATCTCCCTGATGTATTCGGACTGAAATATAAATACACCGTAAAAGTCTAAATACTTAGAGGAGTTAGTTTAGTCTTTTTCAAAAACTTCATTTAAAAAATGTGCTTAGTCCTGGAAAGTTCAGGGAACTAAAAACATATTATTGATCAATTACCATTCGATTGCTTACATAATTTGTTTAAAACATTAGAACAATCTGGACTCTCTAGTAGACCTTTGGTTTCCCCCTGCTCTCTAGATAGTATTTATATCAACCACTATTCACCTACCTTGTACTTGATCATAGCCTTGTCATCGTAGCTGACCCATTGGTTCTCTTTGTAGGCGTAAGGTCCCATTCTCCCTTCCTCGTCCTGCACGACGGTCCAGCCTTGGTTCTGCACTCGGTCACAAATCTACAAACAACCGACAAAATTAAAACAGGAATAAAAAATCATACAAATAATACATGTAACCAAAATTTGCATACAACAAAAAGAATAGCTCATTGCACTCTTTAACTTGTCCACACTCCTTTCTACTTCCTCTCACTTGTTTGGTTTTCCTGCAGTCCAAATGTTTAATTTTATCTCAAAGTAAACAAGTCACATGTCAGTAACAGGAGATTGAATACAAATACATGTTGGGCGTAATTACTATGTGTAAATACTCAAAGTATAAGCTGGGTTGTTGTAGTTCTAATCAATAAATCAATGATTTCTAGAACTTAAAAAATGTTTTTTAGTAAAATTTATACGTCATAGCAATATTTCAAAACAGACAAAAATAGCCAATAAGAAATCTAACCTATATGCCCAACAAGTCTACCAGTTAAATCCAAACCAAAATATTAATATTTGTTTGCAAATAACTTTAACAATTAATGTTTTGAAGAGTGAAGATAGATTTTTAACAACTCTTGAATTTGGATATAATATGCAAGGTAGTTCTACCCAGTTTTAACCATAATTTTGTCGAATGTCTGTCTGCATTCTTATATTTTGTTAGTGTATGTAACATCTAAGTAACAGACAACTCCCACTTGGACTGTGAATGATGTTTTTGGATTGAGAAACTTGATCACACAAGATGAGGTAACAACCTATAAACCTAAGTCATTGCTGTATTTTATATTTCATTGCGCAAGTTACACACCTCGTAAGAAGCCAAGAAGCCGCCGGCGCGAGTGTACTCCCCAGCAGTGCCGGGGCCTGACGCTGGTGCATTGAGACCGTTCTTGCTCGGGTCCGACAATGTGAACGACTGTCCGTAGAGTGGCATCCCCATCACCAACTTGCGTGGGTGAACTCCCTCATCGATCCAGTAGTTGATGGTGTAGTTCTGCGGAAGATCACTTTATAAGAGATTGAGTAATGTTCAATAATGATTTGTGAAATATAAGCCATATTCTTTCAAGCTTCTAATCTTACCTAGTATACTTGGAATACATAGCAAACTGGCTTTGGCGTTATATAAAATAAAAATATATACCTAAGGTATAGGAAATAACTATAATTTAAAACATTGTTCAAGACAGTTTTTTTTTTTTTTTTTTTGTCTGATGAGATGTATTTCTTTTATTGTTGAAACTAAAATAAATTGTTAAGTTTTGTTTGACACATAATTTTGTTTAAGCAGCTCGTAGTCTTACAATAATTGTCTGCAACTTTAACATCCATCAACAACCAAAACCTTTTTAGTCATCTGCATTCTACTCTTAATCAAAACATCTTTTTTTAAGAGGTTGGCAGGCTCTTTTAACCTTTCATTTGCCCGTCCACATAGACTATTTGCCCGTGCGTGGAACGTATCTAGCAAAGCAAGGGGTGAGCCAGTATAGTAAGAAGGTAAACTGTGCTGATGTTTGCGGCAATGACCAGTATCCGAACCCACAACATCGCTGCCTTGAGCCCAAAGTCTGTGACGCTACCAACTGAGCAACCGACTCACCCCTCGCTACTATCTCCATAACTTCTAACATTTAAAAAATAAATTCATTAAAAAATAATTTTTAAAGTGAACTTGCTGAATAAACTGTACTGTACAGTGTATATGCCCTTTAATGAAAGGATTACGTAAGACATTCTCAATTTATTGAACAAAATTGAAAGGTGATATGATATCGAAAACTATCAAGTGCATTAGCAAAGAACGTTAGTGCAAAAAGGGTGTTTTGTCATGAGACTACTGTTAAGCACAGCAACCCATTAAGCAATTGCAATGTAAAATTTAACCTGAAACATTATACCAGAACTCACAGAGTTGAAGTAGTAGAAGTCGTCATCTGGATGTTCGTACATGGGCGCTAGATGTCCAGTCTTCTTGTCCCACTGTCCATGGTAGTCGTAAGTCATCACGGCAATCCAGTCCAAACACTCTCCCATGGTCTTCACGTCGTAACCTGCGCAGCACGTTATGTCATACTATACTTAATTATTTACTCTTAGGAAACACCAGGCTGCACTTGTAGATTAGGTAACTTCTAATATACAAAAAGAAAGATTAAGAAAAAGGATGTAACAATCTGTGTTGAAAACTAGTTTTACAACAAGAGCATGAAATTGACAACAAACAAACATAATTTGAATAAAATTCATTTTGAAGCAGACTAAATATTTGCAAAATTAAATTATTGAGGCCTATTAAAGAGCAAAACGCGGTAGAATAGAGTTAGGAATGAAGGAATCAGAAGTGGAGTAGTTGATTAATGGACGGGTAGAAAAATCACTTAGTATTGAAATCAATACCACCATTAATAGTTTTCAACGGATGCTTACCAGCGTCTATGACGGTCTTGCTAGGACTGACTGCGGCTGACAGAAGCAATCCGTGAGGTCTGAAGGCATTCTTCAGCTCTCTCACCCAGCGGCTGAAGTTCTCCTTGTCAGAGTCTGGTCCCTGGTTACAGTTCACCTGAAAATCACATGGTCTTTAGCATATTCTTACTTGATTACTCGCCCGTAACAGTAAGAGCTTTGCTGGACGGGCCACATCATTAAAAGTTCCTCTCTTTTAGCAACAAGCACATTATATCATATATGGAAAAGTGATCTACTGGGGAGAAGACCACGAGGGAGACCGAAGAAATGATGGACAGGTGAAGTAAAGAAAGATGTGGCCAGGATGGAAGTCAATGAGGAGACAGGACGACGTGGAGGCATTGTGTTGGTGAGGCCAAGTACCACTTGGGGTACAAATGGCCATGGGAGTAAGAGTAAGTAAGTAAGGGTAAGAGTTTAATTTGCTAGCTTGCTACGATGTTTCAAAGCACCTATTCTATGCTCACTCTCATTATTCCAAATCAAACATCAAAATTCTAAATAATTCATACTAATATATATTACCTGCCAACACTTGGGATATTCCCAGTCCAAGTCGAGACCGTCAAAGCCGTACTTCTGCAGCAAGGGAATGACATGTTCAATGAAGCGTTTCCTGGCTGCAGGGTTATTGACCAGACGAGAGTATTTGTCTCCCTGAGAATCGTTCCATCCTCCGAGAGCGAGAGACACTTTGATGCCCTTCTTCTTGAATGCCACCACTCGCTCGTAAAAGTCTACAGACAATAACGTGGAAGTCTTTAAAATAATACATATTGAAAATACTGGATGCAATTTGGTGGCCAGGCCAAAAGTATCTAGAGGTTTTAGTGGCCATGGAGGTCAAGCATGTGCACAACTTTAGTTAAATTGAAGATAACACCAACTAAATAAATTATTATTATTAATGCAAAACATGTTAAATTGTTTTGCTTTATTATGGAGAGACTTACGGTTGTCAAAGTCGGCCCAAGAGTCATGAGCCTTGACAATGAGGTTCTCGTAGTCCAGCACGGCAAAGCCGTACGTGATGTGAGTGCAAAGGTCGGGGTCAATGTCCTCAGGCAGGTACTTGCCAGCACCCTGGCGGTACCATGCCCAGTTGGTGAAGTAACACACCACCTTGTAGTAGCCTACAACATACAGTTGATGTGAGTGATGGAGAAACGAAAAAAATCCAGAAGACACAATGAAACGACAATGAAGCAGTGAAATACTGATCAGCTGACATTACTCACCAGACAGCGGGTGCTCGTAAGGTTCTCCCTCGGTGGTGGTGGTGGGGGGAGGTTTGGTAGGAGGCATCCATTGCCCCTCTTGTCCCGGAGTCCACGTCCACTCAGTCGTGGAAGGTGCCGGGGTCGTCTCCTCATCGATGTCAGTCTTGTGTTGGCATCCTGCGTTACGCGGCCAGTCACATATCTTTGTTTTCTGCAGCAACGTAATTATGAGTGAGCATTAATATGATTTGCAGCATTTTTTGTACAATACATTAGGTAGATGTAGATAAAGTATTTTTTATTGTTTGTAGCAAAAAGAAATTTTAAATAGACAAGGAAAATTTCTATAAAAAATTTTAAGAGTAAACAACACTCTTGATCAACATTTCAGGTTTCACATTACTGTAAATTTAAATAAAGGGCATTGTCCATCTAGGCCCGCAGGTGATGAAAACAGTCTGATCCGACACTACTCAACAAGAAACGCTTTAAAGTAAATTTTAATTGTCATAGTTAAAAGTGTAATTTACTGAATTGTCACTTCATAATTTAAGGTAACCAAACTAAACTGATAAAACTAATTCAAGTAATGGATACAAAGTCACAATAAAAACTGTCACGATTCACCACTGCATGATACAGTTGTCTGTCGTCTGCCGTGTACCTGGTTCCAGTGGAGCCCCGGAGAGCAGGTCATTGTCTCGTAGGTGTCCCAGTGACATTGAAGGTACTTGCTGCAGCTGGTCGGATGAGGTCTGAACTGACCTTTGGTACACGGCTCCTTCTTCTCCACCACTATCGGACAGAGTCAGTGTCTTAATTAACACTACCAGACATTCGGTTTAGTTTTAGAATAAAAATGGAATTGGATTGATCCACAGAGTGTGCTAAATTAAATTGCTTATTTCTGACCAACGCATCATCATTTTTTTTTTTACAATTCAAACTGAAAGGACAAATTGTTAGTTATAGCACCCTTTATTTTGAATGAACTTGAACAACAAAGTGACGAGAACTGTAGAAATAAAATTCCTCTCTTCTACTCAAAGCTGAATTCAAATAAGCCATTAAATGCCTGCTTTGCTCATATAATGGGAAAAATTTACATCTTAAAGTCACCATTAAGTGATTTTCATCCATCAAACTTTCAAACAAAATTGATTTCCTTTTCTAAAAATGAATTTGTAATATAAATAAAGTTAGTCAACTGCTTATTGACTAAGATACTTACAGTCTTGTCTGTACTTGTCCTTGTTGCCAGTGTCGAGGCAGTCCACAGTCGCTGCCCAGTCACACATTCCTAGTACGGAGTTGTACAGCAGACCCGGCGCACACCTACACATGCACAGATCGACAGTCAAAAGGTTACTCACAAAAAAGGTGGCACATAGCGCCAATTGCTACAAAGGTTCCAAAGAACTCAAATATAAAACGTTTTTACATGTACTACCCCAAAAGAGGGCCGTGGGGTCTTAGTGAATGAAACAGATCATGATCAGAAAGTTTTTTGTACGTTTTCTAACCTGCGCTGGATGAGTTGACCATTGACGCAGATGTAAAACTTATCACAGCTCCCTGGCTTCTCATACAACTGTCCGTTGATACAGTCGGTCGGACCCTGGACAAGAAATAAAAGTTACAACTTATCAACAATACTCACTACAAGATGTCATAGTAAATAGGAATTGATTTTATAATATGATTAAACAATTTTTATACTGTTATCACTGTCATCACTGACGACAAACTCTGAAACAAAACTGCATTGTTGAAGAGAACATCTTGAAAATGCTGTGGAAAGTAAAATTGTAAACTCCGTGTAGTTTGATAGTTTTACTCAGTGGCTGGGTATACCTGGGTCTGGGAGGAGGTGGTTGACTCCACAGTGGGCGGGTGATGGGTCCACCAGTTGGGTGGCCGGGTGGTTGACGGATGGGTCCACCACTCCTCTGGTCGCTCTGTGCTAGTGGGTGAGGTCGGTTTGGACGGAGCATTCTGTGAGCCTGTAACATAGTTAATGTGATACTTCTTATAATGGTAAAGCCTTTGGTTTGGACCACTAATAGGTGTAATCTGCAAATGCTAATCTACAGATAGCATACAGCAAAACTGTCTTCTTCAGGCTTAAACTATTTATATGTTTATGATTCAAGATTCAACAGTTTTGTTGTTGAATGGCAATTACGTTGGATATGAAATTGTCAAATAGTGTTAAGTTAATGCAGTCATATTCTGAACACTATCTCTGCCTGGAATCAATTTTCGCTAGGTTCATGTATAGTAAAAAGATAGAAAATGTCCTGCTTCATTGTGTTTCTGAATCTCCTATATTTCAATCAATGTTATCGATCAATGTTTTTTTTCATTCTTTAAAAGGTGACGATTTAATCAAAGATGATTAAATCCTATGACTCTCTACACTGGATAGCTCAGTCAGTGCTCAACTATCACATGCTCGCACGGTAATCAGGTCACGAGTTCAATTCTGAAAGAAGTCGGTAGATTTTTAATCGTTTGAAACTGGACCCAGATATCCTTGATTATCGAACTTAGAAGATCTGGGCTAAAGAAAAAAACTAGTTTGTAAAAGTGCTACATATCCTCTCACTCTGTTCTACACTCATTCTTTACTTATATTCAGGTAAAGATGTCTAAGTGGTGTTGCTACCTGATGTACACATAGCCTGATCGGGCCAGTCGCATATCTGCAGTTTATTGTTCCAGTGCAGAGAGCCGGCACAGTGTTGTAGTCTGTATTCTCCCAGAATGCAACGGTAGTAGGCGTTACAGTTCTCCGTAGAGGCGAGATAGTCTCCGGTCGTACAGGTGGCGGGGAGTGTCTGAGGTGGCTGTACTATTGGTTGCTATAAACATTTCATCTTTGTTACAAGAAGAACCATTCTCTGGGATTAACAATAAAAAGTAAAATATTTGCAAAACACTACCTATTGATAAATAATTGTTTTTTGCATTAAACTTATAAACTCTCTTCAATTAGGTATTGGATTTGAATGGGTCAATAGACCAAAACTAGTTATCCATTAAAATCTCAAAAAGACTCGAAGACAAGAGGTACAATAACCTATTCCAATGTATCAGTCTTCAAGGCATAGTAAAGCAAGTACAAATTCAGCATAGTTTCCAGACAATCCTTTTCATACACATAAATTAAGTTTCAACATTAAAAAAGGCAGATACAAATGAAATGTTCACCAATCTACCAGTTAGTTCTCCTAAACTAAAATATTCTAAACACAAACACCCGACATAAACTCACTGTGCCTGGGGGTTCCGGATTTTCCTCAATGGTTTCTTCTGGTGGAACAACTTCATCAATGGTTTCTTCATCGATCTCTTCCTCTGTGGTTGGTCTGTCTGTCCACCACTGGGCAGGTGTGGTCGACACAGTTGTGGTGGGAGGTCTACGAGTTGTGGTAGGTCTTGTGGTAGGTCTAGTGGTAGGTCTTGTGGTAGGTTTAGTGGTGGGTCTTGTGGTAGGTTTAGTGGTGGGTTTAGTGGGAGGGGGCCACCACGGCGGTGTAGGTTTTGTGGAAGTTGAGGTAGGGACCCACCACGGTGAAGTTGTCGAAGAAGCTGGAAAGTTTAAGTTATAGTTATAACACAAAGGTATTTTCAGCATTTTGTTATCAGATTATATAATATAATCAATTTGACCGCTCATCATAGCAGAGGTAGCATCTTGGCCCGAAAACCAGATAATGATGTTCAAAACCCCCTCCTTCAACTTATCCCTGCAATGATTAAGAGCTCTATTTGATTTACATTATACTCACATTCAATTGTCTCTAAATTACCCCCCTGGATTTCATAAATTTAATTTTAAAGTTTTAGTAAAAACAAAAAATAAAAATGCACTAACTTCTTATTTTAGGAAAAAGCATTTGCTTTAGGATCACATTAAGGAAGAAGAGAAATATATTCAAGTAACCAACCTACAACTTACTTTTCTATTTATAAAGCTAAAATTTAAAATTTTAAAACAGCATTACTTTGAAAAAATATAAGGATGACCAAATATTTTTTTCTAAAAAATAGCTTAGTAGTTGGATCACTGTTAGTTTGGATTCATTTTTTTACTGGAAAAAACTTGTTGTCTTTTTTGGTCCATTAAACATTGAACAAAACTCAACTATAACTAACCAACTATGACTAATCAATGATTCATTCTCCATTTAAATATTTTTTACAGTAAAAATGTGAATTACATGTTGAAGATTCAGTTTCTGGCTCTTCTGTCAATTCGTCGACCGTTTCTTCTTCTTCTTCTGTGGTGCTGGAAGCCACGGTTGTGGTTGTAGAAGCCACGGTTGTTGTGGTAGAAGCGGTTGTGGGGTGTTCATGAACGTGCTCTGTGGTTGGGTGTTCGTGAACGTGTTCTGTTGTAGGTCTTGTCGGATGATGTTCATGAACATGTTCAGTTGTGCTTGGTAGTCCAGCAACTCCTGAAGAAAGTATATAATGTAAGAAATAAGTTGTCACTTTAGTAGATGTGTGACCAAAGTCACACTTATATCTCACAAATTTGGCCATTTTGTACATATTTTATTTTCACCTGCGAGTAGTAATATTGTTTGGATTTTGGATCCTAAGCATAGTACGATTCTTGATGTCAGATTCGTAGCATGTGCTGAATTACCAATATGTATTTTAATTGAGTCTTCTATCCTATTTTTCTTGTGAATAACACAAGGTTTTATCTTTGTGCCATATCAGTTTCGAAGTAACAATAAACATAGTAATTTGAGGAGCTGATCATGGCCCTTACTCACAGATTGAAACACGTACTCTAGTAGAAAAATCAAATTGAAGACTTAAATACAATAGGTTTGATTCTACATCCGGAATTCAAGTGTCACTGAGCTAATTAATGATGGCATATAACCAAGAGTTAATGTAAGATATCAATACCATGGTTTTTCGAATGTTCCCTTACAAAACACGTAAAAACTGCTAACGGTGTAAGTACACACTCAATAACAGTTGTGAAATGGGTTACCCGTGTCTGGGGTGACAGTCAGATCCACAGTGGGAGGGGTTGAAGGCTGCGGTCGACCACAACCTCCACTAGGCGACTCCACCTTGCGGCCCAGGGCCAGGTTGACGGCTCGTAGCAGCGGGAACGTCCCTCCGCAGCACTGGTTGTTGAAGTCGTCCAAGTCCAACGTCCAAGCCATCACGCCTCCGTATCCACCAGACTTGACATAGTCTACCTGTGTAGGTTAAGAGTGTATTCATCAGTTCAGAGGTTAGTTGTTTGTTCAGAGATTTTTGTTGGTTTGGAGGGTACAGTATTTGTTAGTTCAGAGTATTTGTTAATTCTATGGGTATTTGAAAAATCAGAAAATAACTGTTCCTACAGAGAACAGTTATTTTTCACACCTCTTTAGTCAGCCAGTAAATCCAAAGGGGAAACGGTAGCAATAACGCTTGAAACAGTTCATTATCTTAGATATGTTTTAAATAACTTCTTGATGAGCATTATACACAATGGTGTGTCGTCCAACACTAGTCAATACATATTCCACTTACACACTCTACAAGTGGACCTGATGATTGTGAATGGTCAAAATCAATATGCAATGCATGTAACCTTTTAAACGTGTACTGTTCATCGGTTATATGTCTTAACCTACAATTATCCTTAAGATATTAATTTTAAAACGTGATATTGCGATGTTCTTAATTTTTTCTCTCTGAAAATTGAATTAGTAAGTTTTTTGCTCAAATCTAGACTCATTTTATATGCTGGGAATAATTTGTGAGAAGAAATTATTTTTTTACGAATTTAGTTAATTTAATAATCAGCAAACAATATGAAACACTACATCAAGCACTGAATATTGTAGAATTGCTCAGTCATTCCTAGACCCAGTCCTTGGGTTATAATCCAAGTAGTCCTTTAGCTATGAGTAAACTCTGAAATCAGGCATTACTGTCTTGATCCATTAAGAATTTAAATTAAACTCGACATTTGAAACATACAAACTTTAACTGTCAAATAACCAGACCCTATTTCATGTATGTATATTTATAAATAAACTTATTTATTTTACCTTTTTCTTAAGCGATGTGGGATTGTCGTAACTGACCCATTGGTCACCAAATGTTGCATAAGGACCTGCGATTCCTGTGTGTTCCTTCCAATTACGTTTGTTCACTGTGAACATAATTTGAAAAACTGTTAAAAGGGTATTTTGAAACGTTTCAAATCTTAGTTGTTTTGTTTCTCAAATTTTGTTTCTCATGACATGACATGTATGAATCAACTCTGGTTTTAAGTATCTAAATAACACATACACAACATACTGCATATTCTCATGTTATCATTCCTCAATTTTGCAGAGTAGTTGTGTTGACATTTTAGTAAAAAAACTGTGGTTTGCCTCCTTTGCAGAAACACTCATGCAAGCACCCATTAGTTAAAGAGCAAAGGTACTATTGCTGACTTTTACGGTGAGACAGTAGCTCAGTCGGTAGCACGACGAACAACATAACTATGGCAGCAATGTCGTGGATTCCAATCATGGTACTTGCCAAAATATTTTATCAGTACAGTCCGACTCTAGTCGGACTCCTGCTTTGTTGGATACATTCCACAAACAGGATTTTGAATCATGTGGACAGGCAAATGCAAAGATAAAAAAGGCTTGCAACCTCTTTTTTCCAAAGAAAACTACCAAGGCAATCATCAACTTCATTGCTAGTTGGTCCAGCCAGTTTTTAGTTTAGCCAAGGGGCCAAGAATACAATTTTTTTGTCTCCTGTTTTCCATCACGATCACTGATGATCAGTATAAAGCTACGTTTCTGTAACGTTTTGGGATTTGGAATCTGATCACATAATCAAGTGAGAAAGTACACCAAAAAATCTTGAAAAATTATCAAGCTGGAATTTAATCATAGGTACTTCACCTGACGACAAAATTACGTTCCCGAGTCATTGTAAAAATTTAGCTTTTACCTGATGTGAAAAGGTCCGGTACAATCTCTAAATCAACATAAGTTGCACTTAACACGAAACTTAACTTGTAACAAGTGCTAATTAGATCATCAGTCACCTCTGTTGCATATCTCGTAGTACGCCAACATGCCGGGTTGTTGTGTAAACTCCCCTGCGTCCCCCGGCCAGATAGTCTTGGCTCCCTCTCCGTTGTCCTTGGGGTCGTCCAAGGTGAATGACTGTCCGTACAGAGGCACTCCCACCACCAGCTTGGACTTGTCCGCACCACGCTCAACCATGTTCTTCAGCGCCGAATCCTACAAGTCACCAACATTTAGCGTTACAGAAATATAGCCTTCACCTCAAAAATATATTTAAATGCAAAGTTACTTAGTCGATAAGGAAAGTGGAACATCCTATAAGTATACATAGAACTTATAGAGGATATTGTCGCTATGTTAGTGGGTACCCCATTTTGAGGTAACTACAGCATCAAAAAACATTACACATTTATTGTTTTTTTTATAAATGAGAGGTTATTATACCTCGATTCTGTCGAGTGATTCCTTAACCTGCTCTAAGAGTGGACAACAATTGTTTCAGTGAATATTTTGCATTCTTCAGAGCCTTGTCAAAAATAACAAGCTTCTCCACATATTGAGGTCCTCGAAACATTTAACACACCCACACAAATCAATCAATCAATAAAATCTTTATTTCAATATTATTTACAAACATTAAGGTGTAACATAATATAAATATTACATATTTGACAAATTCTGTAGCCATAGGTATGCTTGTTAACATGTCTGGACTGCCTTTTCAGTGGTTTTCCAAAGTCACCATATTTTATTCCACCAAGTAAGGTCTGTAGATAGTCCTAAATATCCTCATAACCTGTCCTAGAGCCATTATAGCCTAAAAATCCTTAAATAATAGATACTGAAGGCAGTTACCGTGTTGTAATGAGGGTACTTTTCGCCTTGTTGGCCGTAAAGAGGGCTGACATGGCCTGTCTCGCCTTCCCACGCGCCGTGGTAGTCGAAGCTCATCACACTCATGAAGTCCACCGCCTCACTGAGTGCCTTGAAGTCGTACGCTCGGTCTATGATCTCCTTGTAGCCGGAGATTGCCACAGCCAATGTCAGAGGGGGACTCTCCTTGTCAAAGGCTTCTCTAAGTTCCTAGAATAAAAATAATAATTGTCAGTTTAGTAAAAAATGTACAATTTTTGTCTGGTACATGTTCTCTACTGAACTGTAACCCCATTTTTGCACTGTATTAGCTTACCTCTTGGTTTGCATTTCCACAAATAGGACTGAGGCTCACGGGACATGCAAATGGTAAAGGTCACCGCCAACTTTTTAATAAAAAATATTAAAGACCACATCTTGGTTTCAAACCAACCTGTACAAGTTTGACAAAGTTTGCTTTGTCGCTCTCCGGCCCCTTTTTGCAGTCCGAGTGCCAACAGACGGGATAGTTCCAGTCAAGGTGAAGACCCTGGAAGCTGTTACGACGCAGGAAGGCTACGACGCTGGACACTAGAGCGCGCCGAGCACTGCCGTTGCTGACTACCCGAGAGTACTTGTCTCCCGTAGAGTCAGTCCAGCCTCCGAGTGCAAGCAGCACTTTGGTGGAGGGAGAGGAGAGAGCCGTCAGTCGCGTGTAGAACTCTGAAAAATCACCGAGCAGTTTTAGGTTGATGTTAATAAATTTAACTATTTATGTTTATTACAAACAAAGCATGTGTTTTGCAAATTGTATGGTAGCAAAGTAATTTTACTGAGATTCCTCTCTGACAGATTAACTATAAGAAAGGGCCTTTTCTCCAATAAAATAAAGGATTTTCATGTAATTTTACTACTAAGATATTTGATAACCCTAAATTTTTTCTTTCTAAACTTACTGTTGTCAACGTCAGTCATCGGGTCGAAGGCCTTGATAGTGAGTTCGTTGGGGTCGAGTGATGCGAACGCATAGATGATGTGTGTGCAGAGGCTTGGATCTACGTGTTCCGGGTAAAACTTCCCATCTCCCTTCCTGTACCAAGCCCAGTTGGTGAAGTAGCAGACAACCTTCGCTCCTTCTGCAATACAACACCATAACTCAGGAACCAAAATGAACATTTGTACAAATGTTTACTTAAAATATCATTGTTGGGCAGAAATATGATTAGTCTATATTATTTTAATAACTAAATGTTGATGGTATTTAAAAAATTATCACGAATATTTTCCAACAAAGTTTTTACAACGGTTCACGATCTGATTTCAGATGCAAAACATCATGAAAATTTTTTTACTAGGCCTAATTGAGTGAATTTGAATTGTTTTGGAAAGTGTCTGGAATAATTGAAAAAAACATAAACTCACATTCACCAGAAATTAACTTTATACAAGGAATGACAGTTGATGTTTTTTTTGTTCTCAAGTAGAGTATTTGTTTTAGTAAAAAAAATCATTCAATTTACAAATTCTTGGTCTTATACATTATACATTTTATTACAGTATGGCAAAATTGTTTATGTATTGAACTTATTTTTAGTGTATAGAAATATTTATTATTTCTGAACATCGTTTGGGTCAGGCTGCTAAAATTGTTTCTAAAAAGTATCATGATTAGAGTAGAAAATGAACAAAATTGTTGACTTTACTATAATTACCTTCCTCTTTCTTGAAAGATGAAACACTTTCCACATCATCTTCCTGATCATCGTTTCTTGAGGTGTCTAAACAGAAAGAATAAGAAATAAGAATTAACAACGATTTATTCCTTGATTTATAAAAGAAAAGATACAACAATCTCATACACTAAATAGATTATTCTTTGAACGAGTTTAGACAATATGGATCAGTACCTAGATGGTTGCCTGATTTCTTGACTGTGTGTCTTAACTAACAACCAAGAACTCAAGCAACCAATACGGTGAATACCTACTACCTTTAAGAGTTTTAATGAAGATTGGTGGCAGAGAGGAGGAAACTAGAGACATAGAAGAAGTGAAGAGGAATGAGGAGAAGATTGAAATCTTGTTTCAGGTGGTGGAGAAGGAACTGTGGATGGATAGAAGATGAATAAGCCTGGTACACACCCTGACTGCAAGACAATCTATTTAATAAAATGAGGGCTTTTCTGTAACAATCCTTTTCTCCCCGTCCTACTTTACTACTTTTAAGATTTAAGTGTCAATTTAAAGCTCATAATCTAGCCTGAGGAATTAACTTCTAAATAACTTAGGTAACTTCATGTAGGGCTTCGCCCCTAGTATTTTATTGATTTCTAGATCTCTAGAGTTCACTTTCAAAGATCCAGTGATGCTGACCCACTTTCCTTACAACGGTCTAAACAGCTGAACCTTCAGTTGAAGATTTTTTCCTATTGTCTATGCCAGTGGCAGTTTTACTGGAGGTATCACATAAGGAAGCATTCAAATGTTGTTTTGGAAAAGCGGTTCAAACACACGTGGGTGTGTCGGGAATCGAACCCGACCCTCCGAAACCAAAGTATGAAAAGGTAACAATTAGGCTAACAACACCCATAGATGATTCAACTACATTCATATAATAAACATGAGTTTTTGAAAATGGATTTTCAATTTAGGCTAAGTTACTTTTAATGATAATTATAACCTGATTGAGGTAAGTAAATCACATTTTACAGTAAAGAAATAGATCTTAATTCAACAAATTTAATTTATTGTAAATCAGAAGTTTTATTGATCTATACTGTCTAAATTGCACTTTTGATTTCAAACATTATTTTTGAAAAATAAAAAGGTGTCACATTATTCTTTTTGCCTCAGAAAAAAGTTTTAAACTATGTTAAAATGAGTGATTTGCGCTCGGGTCCCCTCATTTGTATATATCTACTGAACTACAATTTAGTCCAAGATCAACGAGATGTACCTTCATCAGAACACTTGACCAGCGACGGCCAGTTGCACAGTCCCAGGTCCGAGTCGTAGTACATGTCTGGCGGACAGATGTAGAGGTGCTTGGCGTGGTGGTTACACTTGTAGTAGACGGAGCAGTCACCAGGAGCGCCGGTGTAGCCTTCGCCATCACACTCAACAGCGACTGTCGACACTGATGGCCCCACTCCTAGCTTGACTGTACAACAACATACTGTAAGTCAATACGTTATCTTCTGTAAATCCAGGCTTTAAAGGGATCTATTCTCTAATTCTCAAGTAAACCTTTTAAACTTTAAAACGGGTTTTTGTGAACATTTTTGTAAGCAATATATACAATATACAAATAATCATAATTTATTGTCTTTAGGGATTTAAAATCATGCAATTAGACAAGGTCAGGTAATATACAGTAGGCTGCACATACAGGATTCTATGCTGAATAAATATTATCACAGGAAAGAGTGCATTAATAGTAATAAATGCAGCCAGTATATTGTATCAGTAGTGTTTTATTGTTTTGTGCTGTTCTGTACATCATGATTGATTTGTAGCAAACGGATTGATGTTTTAATTAATAATTGTAACTTATGTTCTGTACAGACGTTTTGCATAGCATCAGGAATGAGAGGGATGGTCTAGGATAAAGGATTTCTAGTTCCGCTGCTTCAGTTTATAAAAATCAATAAGAATGTTTTGCAAAAACCCTTAACCGTGTTTAATAGGAGCACAGTTTGTCACTATTCAAGTTGATAATCACAATTTCCCCCTTAAAAGAAGAATGTAAGGTACATCACCACTTAAAGAACTAATAGTTGACCATACACAGAATAGACTTCCCATGTAATGTAGTGCTTGTTTTATTTATTTTCATTCAATCTGACATTGTTTACAATTGAGTAAATTTGTCATTCAAACTAATTTGTACAAGTGACATTGTTGTAATTAAGTATTACATGTTGTTACACCTTGTAATTGCTACATTAGCTCACCGGTTGACAGAGTATTTTTAACAGCTCGCAACAGTGGGTACGGAGGACCACAGACACCTCGGAAGTCGTCAAGATCTAACGACCAAACCATCACACCACCCAGCCCCATCTCTTGGACATACTCCATCTACAGGACACATTTCAAGGTTACCAACATCAAAATACTTCATTTTTGTGATTATTATTATCATTATCAATTAAGATGGAGACATAAATCTATTAAGACAGACATGACAAAAGTGAAAATTTGCAATAATTTCTTATACATTTTGCATAAAAAGATTCTTATGATTTAATTTTAAAGTTTCAAAATTTCTAATAAACTTGTCACTTTGAAAAACTGTTTTAAATACTTACACACAAATTTGATTTACCGGTACTAAAATATGTGATTTTCTGACGGTAGCATTGTTTTACTGCGGTCTGATAGTTGCAATTTTTACAATAGGCCGATTTGCGTTAAGCCACACAAATCACTGTGCTAAAAGCGTCAGTGGTGGAAAATGCGACGACTTGGAAAACCACTGAGCTCATCACTAAAGCTCCCTTGCCCTAACAGCTTTAAGGATTAACTATATTTAAGTAGTGTTTGACTTGACCTTCTTAGCAATACTGGAGGAGTCCTCGTAACCGACCCACTGGTCCTCCTTGACCATGAATGGAGCTCCTTGCTTGTCTCTGTACCTCTTCCATTCCTTGGATCTCTGCATCTCGCACACCTTACAGAACAATAAACCACAGATTTAGAAACACCTACTGGAATCTTCTGGTGGAGGTGTCAAAACCGACTCAAATCTCAAAACCACCCAAACTTTGGACAAGTTTTGGTTCCGAGATTCAATCTACGAGTTTCGAGATTAAAAAGTAGAACCAAACAATCTCCTGCAGTTCAGAATATAATTTACTACAACATAAATGTACAATACTGTTTTATATTATTATTTATTGAGCACAAATAAAACAAATGAGTACTAAAACTAACAACAAAATGTATGAATTGATCTTATATTCATGTAATTTGTCAGTATAAGGGGTTTAATTTCTTTTTGTCTTTGTTGAATATCAAAAACAATACTTCTTTAGGTTTAAAGTGTTCTAGTCACATATTCTTCATGTTATTGTGTTAGAGTCAGCAGTCTAACTTCTTTCAGGATTGCATGACAATACATTTTACATTTTATTATTATTTTTTATTGTAACCTTAAGCAGAAAAGAAGTTTCACAATAAGGTTTTATAATTTGTGATTTTACTTTTTAAGTTTTGATCATAACTAGAATCTTACTTAAATTTGGTTGCCAGTGACATACTTGCAGTGAATGTATTCAAATACTACACTCATTGGAACACACGTTGGTTCTAAACAATTAATCAACAAACCATTTACTAAAAGCTCACATTTTGCTTACCTCATAGTAAGCCATGAGCCCCGGCTGCTGTGTGTACGGAGCCTCGCAGCCCTCCGCCGTGACAGGGGCCCCCACATGCCAGTTCTCAGGCTCCTCCAGGGTGAAGGTACGAGCATGTAGAGGTATACCAAGCACCAGCTGTTCTCGGCGGGCCCCGCGCTTCAGCCAATAACGGACAGCGTAGTCCTGCAAAACCAATAATTATTTACTAAAACATCGAGTTTTAGTATGTTACACTGATAATTTTACATATCATTACAGATTGTGCATACACGCAACCAGAATCGTATCTTTTCAACTGTAAAAAAAGCCTGATAAAAAGCTACTGGCATTTTAGCTAATGATTTTTACTAATTACATTTGATGTGATTAGGTAGAACATGTGACCTCAACACTGGAATGTTTGAGTTATAAATTTTCTGTCACAGAAGAATTTTAATATTTGGGTGTGATAATAAACAGCCAGAATAAGATGGATCAGGAAATACAAGCTAGATTGAATGGAGCTGATAGATGCTATTGGAGCTTATCAAAACTTTTGAAAAGCAGACTCCTGTCAAGAAACACCAAGGTTCGAATATATCTGGCAATAATCCAACCTGTTCTTCTCTACGGTTCGGAAGTATGGACCCTCACAAAGAACATAGAGAGAAAATTAATAACTTTTGAGAATAAAATACTGAGGAGAATATACGGACCAACTTTGGAAGATGGGGCGTGGAGGATTAGAAAGAATAAAGAGTTAGGGACCTTTATAAAAGACCTGATATTGTAGCTTTAATTAGAAGTAGGAGAGTCAGATGGCTTGGGCATGTTAGAAGAAGAGAAGAAGGCAGCAGTATAAGAAGAGTGTGGAGGGGAAAGCCTGAAGGAAGACGTCCACTGGGGAGACCGAGATTTAGATGGGATGACCAGGTTGCTGAAGACATCGGAAGACTGGGCGCAGAGTTGGACGAGGCAGAAGATAGAGAAAGATGGAGGCACCTTGTTGGCGAGGCCAAAAATCTCCTTGGATTTGTGTGGCCACAGGAGTAAGAGTAAGTAAGTAAGATTTTTACTAATGTTATATAGTCTAGAGGGATGAGCATGAGGTAGCATTGCATCCATGTTTAGATCAACTTTGCTCATAACACTCTGCAAAAAGTAATAACCTTTATAATTACCCAGGATGTTCAAAATCCAATTTGGGTAAAACCATTAACTCTATATTTTACATTTATACCATGGTTAAATTTCCCAATTTACTTTTCAATTACCACAACAGAGACACTCACAACATTGTAGTACTGAGAGAGGGCGTCGCTGCCTGACGGAGCGAGCGGAGCGTGGTGGCGTGCTCCGTCTTTGCGCTCCAAGTTAAAGTCGAACCCCTTCAGTAGAACCATGTCCAGCTGAGAACTTAGACGAGACACGTCGTAACCGTCTTCCATGCGGAACCTTGGTAAAGAAAAAGATTGCAATTTAATTTCCAAATCACTTATAGTCACTTCATTAAGATAGCAATTAACATTCTGTGTGTATTTTAAGTTGAACTGCAGGGTGAGTGTGATGCCTTGTGAAGCTTTGTTACTGAATGAGATCAGCTGTTTCTTCAGCCAAGCCCAACGAAGACAAGCTATAGGTTCAGTCTTACTGACTGTTCTCAGCTTTGAATCAGCGACTTTTTACTGGCAAGCACTATAACCACTCAGCTGACCCTAAAATGTTTCAAAACAACAGTCAGGACAATACCACAACATTTCAAAAGCAAAATACATTTTAAGGACATTAATTTGTGGTTTTCAAACCAACAAAAATTGGTTTTCAACATCAATAATATTATTACTATGATAAGAAATGCTGATTTAATATTTTTTACCAAACCATCATTATACTTTAGATATATGTATGTTATAAATTACTACGTCTTTAATTTGTCAAACAACGATATGTAAGAATTCTGTAGCAGAAACATTGTAAGATAAAATTGCAGGATTAAGAACTAATATTAAAGATTTTTCTAAAATTTCCAAGACACTATAAAAATTCCATGTGTTTAGAACCATAAAATTGGGATGAAAAACACAGAAACGATTTTTTAAAAAAACCTAAGACTTATTTCGGCATGTGTTTTTTTTTATTTTGTAAAATGGTAAACTAGCCTAAATAAAAGTAGACATACCATGAGTAAATACCGTAGTTCTGTAACCACAGCACATTATAAATGTTTTTTTTTCAATACTCAAAGATTCGTATAAAATCACCTGGAAGGAGATACGGAAGCTGTGAGGAGTTTACTTCGAGCATGAAGAACACTCGACAACTCTTCCACGAGGAGAGAAAAGTTATCTTTGTCTTCCGGAGTTCCACCCAAATCTGAGGCACCTGAAATATAAAGAGTTTATTAATGAGTTTTAATTGCTTTAAATAAGTAGCTTGGTTTATGATTGTAAAAAATCAAAAGTCATAATTTTTTCCATAACTGAAAAAAAAACGTTATATATACCTAAGTAGTAGGCTGTGTATTGTTATTGTGTCCACAGGTGTGTGTTATGTTTTTACAGCAAGTGTGAAGAATCAAATTGTATGAAACCTCTTACCTGGATATTCCCAGTGAATGTCGAGGCCATCAAAGTTGTACTCGTCCAGGGTACGCAGAACTGAGAGAATGAACATGCGACGATACGCAGGATCTGCGGCTATCTTGGACAGTCTCCCCGACACAGACAGTAGTACGGAGAGGTTCGGATTTTGTCGCTTGAGTCCCACGACTGATCGGTAGCCTCCTGTACAGAAAAAAACGAGTTTCACACACACATTAAAACCTTCTGTCAAAATCAACCACCACTACCATCTTTCATATGTATTTACGTTCATACGTTTTTTTTTTTTTAACAGTATAAGTGTAGGTTTCAACAGTTATTAGACATACCTAGCCTATTTTTATTGACTTTCTGTAAAATTACCAATAGGCAACATGTCTATTAAGGTCCGATTTCACCAAATTCTCGCTAACGATGGTTTAGTTAAACTTCGGTTAAAACTAACCGATGATTTAAACCACAGTTAAGGAAATCTGGTTTCACCAACGAAAACGCGTCAAAACTAACGCTGGTTTTATAAACGAGAGTTTAGAGTAAAATCCAGGTGGCGGTGGCAGTGAACTGTCATAATACCGGGCTGTTACGGGAGCAAGTAAACATAACCTAGAAAATAAATCAGTCAGTGTTTATGAGGTAGTGAAAACAAAACTGGAGACAGCAAGCTTACAGGAATACAATAGATTCTGAGCAAAATAACAACAGAAAGCAAGAATAAATACCAAAACAATTAACATAAGTAAATAAAGGCAAAGCAATGTTGATCAAACATATTCGAGGAACTAATTGGTTGAGTTTTGCAGTCGAGTCAAGACTCAAAATCCAACTTTTTACAGGGATGTTCATTATTCTGTTTGTTCACTCACCAGTTTGGTACATTTGAAGTAATGAAATAACTGGGGTCAAAAGAATTACAAGAACGAGACACAATAAAGATAACACCAAAATAATTATTTTCTATAAAAAAACTAGCAGAATAATGACAACTTAGGTTTAGATTTTGCTTTAATTACGTCTGACCGAACGCAAAACAATTGTTTGAACGTTGGGTTAGGGTTACCCAAAGCCGGGAGAAAGAAAAGGGAGCCTATTTTTTCGAACAATGAAATAAAAAATTTGATAATGTTGGTAGAAGAGCCAGGACACTCTTTTTAGCCGGGATAAAAGAGTATGGCTCTTGATCGCCAATCAGTTCAATGCAGTCGCTGATGACAGATATACGCCTTAACTAAAAACCTTGTGGGATAACCTAAAGCAATGCTCTATGTGGGATAGCCTAAACACAAATACTACAGTGGTTTGTATTCATTTCCTAAAGAAAAAGGCCATATATAATAATAAAATCAATTTAATCTTTGTTTAATCATTAACCCTTTCTCGTATCCAGCTAGTTAGGCGAACAACATAGGCTACTCTTCATTGCCATCACTTACTTACAAAAGCTAATTCGTACCGTATTCTCTTCTACCATTTCGCCTTTCCATATAAACTTTAAACTTAAAGCCAGCTGATATTTACTTAACGAAAGATTAAAGAAGTTAACCGGTCAAAATTGGGCAGTTAATTATCTAACGACGGTTTAGTCTAAACTAGCGCTAACGGCGAGTGGTGAAATCCGATTTCGTCAGTTAAGAGCTAACTGCAGTTAGAGCAAGGCTTAACGGCGGTTTAAAAGTTTGGTGAAATCGGGCCTAAGAAGTTATCTATGAAAACAACAAAAGCACTTTTTTGTCAAAACAACAATTAAATCAGGACCCTGAACGAAAAGTTATTAATGAATAAATACCTCATAAAGACCATTTCCAAATACTGACCACACTTAATAAACTTTGATTTATCAAAAGTGTACTGAAGACTTACCTTTGACAACGTCATACTCATAGTCCTTAGGCACCAAAGCGTTCCGATGATGATTGACACCTGCGAAGGCGTACACGAGGTGTGTGCAGGCGTGAGGGTCGATGTTGTCAGCTGTGAAAGTGGCCGGTGAGCGACGGTAGGCGGCCCACGACTCAATGAAACATACCAGGCTGCGAACTAAAACAAATGATACAATTAATAAATTCAAGTGTTGGAAAGGCAGGGGACTGTTAGAGGCAATATTGTTGGAGTGCATCCCATCTGTTCTATCTAATCAGCTGATTTTGGCAATAATGCGTCTTCTGTACAAGATTAGGTTCAAACTCACAGTTTGGCCAAAAGTCTTTCCGTAGGTATGTAAGGACTTTTAATTAGGCTAAATCCTTTCTCGGTATTGTAGCTAGGGTCACTTCAGTTCACCTTGATATTATTCAAGATTAACTCAAGTAAAAATGTTTGACAAGATTAACATGACAATATATTAGATCAGTTTGAATATGGATGATAAAAAGCAATATGAAGTTCCACAATTTTTCACTATAAAAATCAACATATGAAGCATCAATAATTTGAATGAGAGATCTAGCCTTTTTAACAACAGAACCATGTTTTTTCAAATTATTTTTTTCATAGACCATATTCTGAAGAGTTGGCACATGCCACGTGGTTTCAGAAATTCAACTTATGGTTTGGAACTGGTTACACTTAATAGTACTAGACCAATTATATTTAGCCAATATGTTTTTAGTTTCAGTTTTTAATGTCACCTGGTTGGTCTTTGACATCTCTCGGCCGCCACCAGGCTGTAGAGAGCTTTGCGTAAGGTGAAAGCCTCCTCTCAACTGCGTCTCTGAGAGGAACATGTTCTTGCGATCTGGAAAATACCAAACCACATATGTTAGAAAACCATTTAAACTTTTGAATACCAGAAGAGATACCAGCTGTAGCCAATCATGAACTTCTCAATGAGCAAAAAAAAAATGTGCTACTGTCAAAAATCTATTCCCTAAATTTTTGATAACTTATAGTTGTGTGTGATATAAAAGATGTTATAGTTGTATAAAAATATTCTTTCTCAGTTGAAAAGTCTGCGCATAGAAGAGGAATCAGTAATTTACATAAGGTGTTAGTTAGTAGGCTAATTCAATTTAATTAAATTCATATTCTATTGCTAAAAATAGGCATACAACTTTAACATTAAAATTGTCTGCTACTCACAGTAGTTGCTTCCAGACAAAGTCGAGAACTTTAAAGCGATCAAGAATTGCAAAACACTTTTAACCCGAGATACAATAAAATTGATTTTTGACAACATTGTAATTACCGTAATTTATAAATCAACATAAATAGTTAGGCTATAGACAAATACATGAAAGATAACAAGCATACAAAGTAGCAGTAACAGTGTTTTTTACAGAATTTTATATACCAAGCGACAAATTTACAGCAGTAACAAAGATTTAGTGGAATAACAGAAAAGTTTTGGATAATAATCTTCATTTGGGGCTCCTAGAATAGAATGAGAATTTGGGCGAAACATCTGGTTTGTAACTTTCTTAGACATGAGGATTTATAAGTGTTTGTTTTACCTTCTGGTCTGGAAGTTAAGGGATAGAAGTACAGTAATGTCTGTAGGCTCGGGTTAAAATCTCACCAAACAACTACTTTAAGCATTAATTACATGAAAATTTTTCAATCCCACTTTAAGCTGTACATCCATCGTCTACCTATCTAGAAAAAAGAGGATGGGTCTCAAAGACAAGGGGAGGAGTTTCTTTGAATTCGTGAACTCCCCCATTGCAGATTTGAACTGACGTATAAACTAGGCCTACCAGTAACTAGCCTAACTAGATACAGTGTGTAGAACACTCAAGGTGTGAATATTTGGTTTAAAAAAAAACTCAGCCTGAGAAGAATGAAACTACGCCTAAAAAAATAGTTACAAATCATCAAACATTTTTGGTTGAACAGTTGACACTTTGAAGAAAGAAAAGAAAGCCTCAGAGGACACAATTATTTGTTAATACACAGTACCAGTACCAAAACACAAAACAAATAAACTATATACAAATGGCAGTTAGTCACTGAAGCCACAAAGAAGGCGATCGAAGAAAAATCCAAAGTCCTCAGTTGGTTTGTGCAGCAGGATGAAATCTGTTTTTCAAACGAACTCACCTTCCCTTCTTTAGAATGCCAGCAAGTCTGCAAGCTAGAGGGACAAATCCTAGAACAGTGCACACAGCAAACTGACCAGCTGTGGTTGTGGTTTGTATCAGGAAACCAGCCACAGGTCCTGGCACAGGCAAGCTGGAGGCTAGAAACTTGTTTTGCTCTGTTGGTACGACTGTCATAGAACCATTTGGGTTTGTCGAAAGTGTGAATTTTCCTTTCAATGCAGCAATCCTGCTAACAAGATCCCTGAAATCATGTTCACACATAGCCAAAACGAAGAAGAATGTAGGCCTACTATGTTTTTGGTGGGACACACAAGGTCAAAGTTTGAAAAGGCCTTATCTGGGAGCTTGTCAAAAACCTGTATGAGGACTCAATGAAAATAAAACTTCAAGGTACTGTATCTTAAACTTAATATTTATTCATAGGCCTAACTAAGTCCAAGCAACCAGTGTCATCCACTACATTTTTGGTCTTCTGGTAAGAGTTGTGCCAAATTGGCATTTTACACTACCGGTAATTCACAACACTATAGACGTTTCACCATAGACAAACAGAATAAATACAGACTGTCAAAGGAAGGTTCCGCGATGTGCCGCTCGGTGTTCATCTCGATTCGCTGGCATCATCGGTTCCTCACCGTGTGCTACCAGCAAACACTGCAGCGGTGTGCGCTGTAACTACACGGCAATCCAAGCGCTGGATGCCAGAACTTATGCTAACCACAGCACAGCTGACGGTCTATATTTATTCTATTTGTCTATGGTTTCGCCCATGCTAAGATATGGTATCCTCAAAGGTAAAGCTAACAGCTGAGACCACTGCCTTAGCGCTGAGGATGGCAAATTTTTTTAGTATAGGCCTATGGACGAAACGTATTATATTGACTACAGTGTAGAGTTAATACCTGGTATTTTAATTGGGAGTGGTAAGTACACAATTACTAATATAGTACACTGAGTGTTTTCATTACTGGGCCCACTGTGTATGCCCAAAACGCAGACTGATTGTTTTTCGTGAATTTTAAAACTTGAACACATTATACTCACTTTAGACTGGTTTATGCCAATGCCCAATAGCCCAATACCCTACGTTCAAACAACCAAAACAGTGCTACACAACTATGAACTATTTTTAACTGGTTGCCGTTGATTCAAAACTTTTTTAACACCAAACAAATAGCCTCAACTCAAACCGATTAGACCCTTCCCTTCCCTTCGATAAGTAAGTAGACACAGAAAGTAGATAATTAGTATTGAAAGAGTATTGAGTTGAGTAGGATGAGGTTGAGTTTGAATTTCGTCTGCTCTTGCTCTTTCGATGAGCTCTTCTAACATCAGCTGATGTCAACAATGCAAGGTTCGTTCATTAATCAGTGCAGTAGAAACTAGATTTACACATCGTGTTGCCAACCTTACACCATTGATTATGAAATATGGTTTCTATAACCAATGCTGTTATCTGATTAGATCAATTGCTTCAGCCTTTTTAAAGGTTATGTACTTTTTGATCAAGTAGTATTCTGCTGAAACCCTGGTAATAAAAGAACTTGGTATACAGCCTAATGTTAAATTACCCCTTAACTGATGATAAACTTCAGTAGCATAAAACAAACACTCTAACTACAGTACTACTAGTACCATAAATAAAACGTATGTAGTACTCTGAACTTTAAAATACCTTTAACCAAACCGTATTCCTAAGTAACCTACTCCTAACCTGGCTTCCAAAACTCTTTGATGCCATCAGTACTCCCGGTTATAAGATCAGAAAGGAAATAAAGAGGTTTTATTTGGAAACATTTAAAAATTAGTGAAATAACAAAACACGGTCAACATCAAACAGCATATAAACCGGACATAAATATGCCATTTAATCAACGTAGGCTGATCTAAGGATAACAAATATGTTAGAGAATACTTTTCCTCATTTAAATAAAATGTCGCAGCAAATTACATGTCGATCAACTGACTTGTCGAGCAAGTGATATGTCGGTCAAATTGCGACCCACACTTTAGTCAATGTTTTTAGCTTTACCTCTCGTTCTCTGTAGGAACATGCTCTACGGCAGCACGTAAGGGTAAAGTCCTCTCCCCCAAGCGGGCCGAGGAGCCCGGTGACGTCACTAGGCGGAGGATCGGTGACCTCGGGTGGTTCTCGACATGTCCTCTGTGGAAGCACAGCACCAGGGGTAGCAGCAACAGGGCGGCTGCCCTCATCGCGGTACTGAAAACATTATAAACACGTTCTCAATTGTTCGGTTTTCATACGAGTCCCTAATAGTATCGAGCACTAATATATTATACACTTTTTAAATAATATTTCATGTCACTATAACACTCTTTGTAGCTTATCCTCACGAACCGAACCTAGATTGGACCTAAAAGCAGTCACAACTAATTTATCATTGGGTTTGTATAAAATTGACTGTAAATAGCTTTAATTTCTTTCAAATTCGATAAATGTCCGTTCTCAATGCATTTGCAATGAATTAATGAAGTTACTTTTCAATATATCTATCGGTATAAGCTATTTTACCACGGACTTAGGAGAATAAATACGTTTGATTGCCTTTAATTCGTGTAAGCCTGTCTCTTGTTTTAGGACGAACTGTGCAATGTGCACTTTATTACTACTTACTTACTTTATTACTTTGGTTATAAATTATAATACCAAAAGACAAGCAACAGTTCGTAAAACCCAGTTAACATTGCCAAAGCAATTTAAGTTAGTGGAACAAAATTAATAATATATTTGGGGAAAATCAAAACATACTCTCTAGCTAGATAGATAGGTACCGGACATAAAAATCCTCGAATTCTCCTTCAGTTAATAAGATGGATAATCTATATAAGATGTTGTTTTATCTATAATCTTGTAGTCAAAATTTTGCCCATATTCAATGAACTGTGGCCACTGTCACTGTGACTCCTAGTGCGTGATTCTGAAAAAATTATAATACTCTCTTCTACTTGATAGAGTGGTTATAGTCGACCATGGTGGAAGAAAAAACTAGTCGACTGTCCCATTTATTAGTGACATTCCTGATTAACTACATTTTTAAATGTTTATTTATGTTTACTGTATGGATTGAAAAAATCGACTTCATCCGTGTGATTTGTAATTAGACCAGCTGAAGGCAATTTTATGGCACGGTTTGGTCCGGTATGGTCTATGTGTGTTGTGTTTGTTTACAAATTATTTATTTTTATTATACACACAAAACCATCTTTAAACATTGAATGACCTCTGTTAGTACGGTCAAAAGAAGTGCTTGTCTATAATCAATCCACCCTATCGAAATCTCCATTTAGTCAACAAAAGATCACAAAAGATTACAAACAATGAGATGAGGAATCTCTTCACAGTATCCAAAGTCAATGTGTTCACATACAGTTAAATCAACACTATCCGCGTATGTGTTCCTGTCATCCTCAGGTGTTTTATGTGGCGCAATCCAGGCAAGCAGTTCCATGAGTCAGCCATCGCAATGCGGTGTTTAGCAAGTGAAGATTGAGTAAAATACCTCAACTAGTAGAATGAGGCTGTCGATCACAACCATTTTGGATTCAAGAAGTGACGCTTTAGTGTGTTGATGTGGGCGAGTTTTTTTATTTCTTTTATGTGTGAATTTTTATTTCCCAGTGTGCTTCACTCTGTAATTGTAACAACAAAAGATGTGCAGTTTAAATGTATAGTTATTTTCGTCTGTTTAATCATAAAGAGGCAGACACTGCTGTGTCGGACAGTAGGGCAGCGGGTCGATTGGTCGAACACGCGTTCAACAACAATGCTGACATAACTGTCACCGGGCCATTCAACCAATGATCAGCCAACCAGCTAAAAGAAACACACAGAACGTTGTGTCAATAGACCCATACAATCGAGTTATGCCATAGATTAGGGCCTACAGATTAATCATCCCTATATGGATTGCTGAAGACCATTCCGTGGCTATGTACGGTTATGTACAAAGCATTTCGTTTACTTTTTAGCGAATCCCATATAGGGAATAAGCTATTACCGTAGTACTCATGGTAAGACCTGGACGCGGGACCGATTTTTTTTTTTCGTTTTGAGGTCCCTAGAGGCTAAAATCACCATCCGTTCAAATTCATATATATATATATGTTTATATATTTATATATATATATATATATATATATATATATATAAATATATATATATATATATATGTGTGTCCGTTAGCACGATAACTCGAGCAAAAATGATCCGATTTTGATGAAATTTGGTACAAACGTGTAAACCTACGTTTATTCGAACGAGTTCGCGATCCAGCATGATCGGACCATGGGAACGGGGGTTTACGGGGGGTTTTATGGGGTAAAAATAGGTTTTTCCCATTTTTGACCAAAAAAACATAAAATTTAGCATTTTCTTTCCAAACCATTTTGTAGAGCTCTAAAAAACAAATAATTTAGTATATTGAAGTGTTATTATGCGCCTAATGGTTACGGAGAAAATTCCAAAAATTGTAAATTTGAAATTCCCATGTTATTCTTATGGAGAATAAGTCAACTGTTGTAGTTTGCTTGTTTATGAACATATTTTGATCAAATTTGGAAAATGTCTTTATTTCTTACTAACTATTAACATTTTACAAAAAAAAAAAAAACAGTTTTACCCTCCCTGATGCAGCAAACCTAAGTACTTGTTAAACTAATTCTATTTAAATACCTAGGGAATAAATTTTATATTTTATAAGTACACATTTCAGTGTAAATCCAATCAGTCAAATGGAAATTCGCTTAGTCTGCAGGTTTGCTGCGGCGGGGGTATTTTTATTTTGAATATAATCATAAAGTAATAAAAACTATTTAATGCTGCTGACTTGTAAAGACTTCATTGCACCCGGGCGTTCAAGTCACTACAAAACTACATTTGCTGTAAATTAATGAATAGAAATGTGTTTTGACACTACCAATAAAAGTGTTAATTTCTGATTCAGGATCTGAGCTCGCGTTTAACGAGTATCCAACCCACATTTTCGCTTATGCACTCAAATACTGAATAATTATGTCACCAAAGGTAATAAATTAATTCGTATAGCTTTCAATACATTTAGAAAGCATTTTTTATTTACAAGTCCTAAAGGCACTAGTAAATTATGAGCTATTTATACGAAGTGTTTATTTGTAAATATATCAAGAAGTGTCAATTTAAAAATTAATGTTGTTTACGTTCAAATACATTTCAGCGAATTACCTTCTATGGAAGTAGCTAATACCGTAGCCACGGTGAGACCTAGACCCGAGACCGTTTTACTTTTTCACTTTGATGTCCCACAGAGGTTGAAAACATAAATTCAAATTTTTATTTACGTGCGTGAACGCAATAGCTCGAGTAATTTTGATGGAATTTTGCATGCACGTGAAGGGTGGCATGGGCTTCAAAGAGTTCGCGAACCAGCAAGTTCGGGGTTTGGGAACGAGGTGTTATGGGGTTTTAAAACGTTTCCATCTAAAGTCAACGGCATCAGTGGGGATTATGGAGACGAATCCACGATATCGCTTCCCTTGGACTCATCCGTCACGCTGAGCCACCGACTGAGCCACCGAGCCACCGACTGAGCCACCGACTCATACATTTCGGATGCGACACACGGCTCTGTATGAGGAAGGTTGACTCTAGCACCACGTTCACCCTTGACTCACTGACACATTGTATAAACGCGCCAAAAGGGAAGTGTACATTGAATGGCCTTCATCTAGTGTCTAGACTACATAATTTAGTTCTATATTGACCTTGAGATTAAATATGTTTGTGCCTAAAATACTATTTTTAAGACTCTTTAGACATTTTTAAATAGCATTTAAATTTTAATACGTGCATTTTTTTTAATTTTCAAAAAAATAAATTTTGTTGTAGTATGAGGTGAAGATAAAACAAAAAAATAGTTAGGTCAATGGGGATGCTTTGCCCATTTATTGCCGTTACATTGTGCTTCATGTTTTTCGTTTCATTCAACTGAAAAATACGTTTCTGTTCAACTGTTTATACTGTGTTCTTTTAGAGTGTGAAGTGATAATCTTTGGTTAAAATACTGCAGGAAAGCAACCGGCCTTACATAAATCTTTTTATAAAGTTAAACAAGCACTTGCAGTTGTTAAATTTGTTTGATAATTAAAACACTATGGCTATACACAGGACAGTTGGTCAATCTCTAAGAATGGTGTAATAAGAGTTAAATAATATGTGTCCGTGTTAGCCTACATTTTTATTTCTCTGGGTCCTAGCCCGGAATTATTTTATTTTACACGTAACTTCAGGCTGAGTCTAGAAGGGATTGCGGCATTATCACTTGGATAAAATCCATTGGAGATTGGTGGGATATCAACCTTGCCCCTTGGAAACCTGATAAATAACATGTTCTTTCTGGTGCTATCTTTTGCGATATTTTCAGTCAATCGCAAATTAATTGAAAAATAAATTAAAACTGATTAATAAAATAATACTGGCAGATATTCGAATTGAAATAAAAGTATTCAATTACTTCAACTACTTAAAAAATATTTAATATAATTTAAGATTTGTCAATATTATATTCAGGATTTTTGTTTGAAAAGAAAAATATTGGGATGGCGAACACCCCAAATCAGAAATAGCTTCCATTAGTCATTTTCTGGGAACTAAATTATGCAATTGAATTTATTTATGAAATATTTTGGAAAATAATAGACAATCGCAAAATAATAGACTGACAAAATACTAGTATATAGTACATCTTATTATTTTTATAGTTACATCACCAGATTCCAAAAAATCTCATTTTTTGAACGAAAGACTACTTCTAACAATCAAGTAAATTAAATTATAAACCATAAATATTCCTAAAATATGTGTAAGATTCTTTTATCAATCTTTCGCAGGAAATCCGTAGGTCGAAGTTTTAATTAAAAAATCCACATTTCGAAGAGCAAAACAACCAGTCTCGCCATGAGTAAATTGATCAATATTTTGCATTTTAAACTTTTTCCGTACGTTGTAGAGTAGTATATTTGTTTAACGATTTTTTAAAATTTCTAACATTATCTTTGTTTGTACCTTAAATAAATCATTGAACTACCACTTCAATTTTATTAGAAAAATCTATAAGTCAGTTAAATAATAAAACTAAACTATAAAAGTGAAAATTAACTATACATTTTTTAAATGTTTATTAATTTATTAAAATTTAATTGGATTACAATTTGACCAAATTTAAAAATTACTAACTTAATTAATTGCACACAAACGACAATCTCACGCAATAAAAAATCATTACGATTTATTCTTAAAAAGGTTTTCTTACCTATTCAATAATACTACTTTAAGACCTACGTACCTTTAATACTTATTTGGTACCAACAAAATACTTCTAGTACGCTAAAAAATCTGTAAATTATTTAACAATTTCAAAACCACCATTTTATACTTAATTTTAAATTTATTTTCTGATGCTTACCGATGTGAAGCAGTTATAGATGATTGACGAGTGCAGGACACTAGGAAGGACAGTAGCACGGAAGGATTCAGCCAGGACACTGGCAGGACAATCAGGCGACACTAGCGCCAACAACGGCCGCCTGGCCAACTGGCGGCCATTGACTCCCTTATCAAGCGTATCACTTAATTGGCGAATTAGAGGGTAGGTCAGCACCCTGTGGAATATCTGCACGCTATGAGTAATCTTGCAAATTGATAAGGGAGAAATTTTAGTTTTTAAGGTAAAATAGATGGACTTTTTCTATAGTTAAGTTTTTTTTTTTACTGCACCAAGTTTGTATATTGTTTTGTGTTATGTGTAAAAACTCTTTTGAGTTAGGTAGGTTGATTAGGCAGTTAAACGTACGTGGATATAAGATCACTGGAAATCGGGAGGAATTTCCTTACCTTCAGAAACGTGGTAACCTTAAAACTTAAATAATTATCCTTTGCAAAAGTTAACTTAAAAACACAAAGAGAAATGGTGAAGAAAATGATTACTGTAAAACATTGACACCAAATAGCTTTATATTCAGAAGTTTTATTCAGCATGTATTGTATTTTCAGTTTGTCAATCAAAATACATTAGCTAACACTGGAAGCTTGAATGTTTACTTATACCGTTCATAATAAGGCGGTGAAGAATTATAATATAAGTTATGATGACGTTGAGTTCCTAACATGGGAAAATATCCGGAGAACGAGAATTAGTGTAGCTATTGAGCATAGATCATCAAATTGATGAACAACATATATTCAAATGTCATCATCATCAAATAGACAATTACTTGATATTTGAATCACATTTTTTAAATACAGTAGTTTATATTTTTATGTATATATTTGAATTAATATTTTTGTATCTTACCTAGTTATAGAAAGATTATTTTTTACCCAGAGCTAGAGTAATTTTTTTATATTATCTATCCATATTCTATCTCGGGTTTCGTTGTTTTGTTATTTATTAATTTCATGCTTCCACATAGTAAGCTTATTTCCAATATCCTAATAATTTATCGCTCCTGATACCTCACATTACGCAATGCTACGTTGGGTCGATGGACAAAATGGTTGTAAGATAGTGAGGCGGATGTAGTATAAGGCAATTAAAAACCGCAGTGGAAACTTTTGGTTTGCAAAAGGTTTTGCAAAAATTACACGTTCCAAAACTGGTAACAACTCACAGCAGCAGTTTTTTTGTGATGATTAGTAATTCTTGTGTGATAGAAAGGTTTCCGAATTCCTCACTTTTCTTAAGTATACCCCTAATTGCACAACTGTATTCTTCTGCAAAATTATGTGCTACATTTAAAGCTTACGCCACAAGTATATGCGTTCCTTCGAAATTATTTAAAGTGCTAAAACCTAATCATAATCGATACAATTCTTGTAAGCCACTGCGAACGATTTTCTGGGTAGATGAGTGGTTATAGTGGTCTACAGACACGTAAGGTCGCTGGTATGAGGAAATTAACAGTGGTCCTGGATAAAGAACCATTTGATCTATTCAGTAATTAACCACACAGATGATCTCAATTCACTTAACACATTTGCAGTCACACCTTTTTGTAGGCGACAATCTATGCGTAAATCACACAACTCAAAATAAAGAAATTATCAATCATCAATTGAGACGGGGACGCCACAGGTTCGTATTTCAACCCAAATGTGAGTCTGATGAGGGCTGAACGGGGTGATGTTATCTGTGTAGCTTTGTTACTGACTAAGATCAGCTGTTAAATAATAAGTACACAATAACTTTGGTAGGAGGAGATTTACTCAAAATTGTAACGCACCCTTTGAAAACTGAAATGACTAGTAACAATTACGACAAGAAGGTGGCTTCTAGTGATACACCGGTGTTTACAAACTAAGCTACAAGATCGTAATGTTTACAGTAGAAGATGCGCGGGGTTATTGTCTGAAGCAGAGAAATGGCAACAGTTCGCCTTGAACTTGATCCTGGACCACACCCGTCTCTGGACGGTCATTGGTCAGTTCTGGGGTCAACAATCTATCAGCTGATCCACTGCTCGACTCTATGCACTTGCATCAACATAGTTACGGAACAAACAGCTGTAATCATAGATGCTATCTTGAAAGAGGTCCCGTTCACATGTCAAAGTGGAGACCGGGTTTATCATGATGAGTTAAACGTGGCCGTTCATAGATTTCATTCAACCGAAGACACCTGAAGACAATTTTCTCCAGTCATCCCTCCATTTCGAAGTTCAATAACCTTTACCCCGAACGACTTACCTTTTTGCTTATAACTCTGAAGTTTAACACCCAGTGGCGATATAATCAGTGATGCTATGATAGTTATCTTGACACCGCCTTACACTATCCATTCCAGCGATCTTCTTTCGTAGAATTTAGCATAAAATATATGTTTCCATTTTTTAAAGTATTTCCTGGCATAGTTACCCATGGATGCTTCTGCAAATTTCCTTTCCCATTTCAGCTGGGAGGGAGGCCGAGTGTCACGATCACATACTGTAACAGTTTTCGTCTGCTAGTGCAGAGAGAGAACCACTAACTTTTTCATGATTGGAAACTAGAAGAGTTTGGAGCTTATTTAGATTAAAAGTTTCTTTTTTCTACAAGTGTCAAAAGAGTGTGATTAATCTCAGGTACCCCACTGTCTTAAAAGAGTGATTGAGAGGCCATACTTTACACGATCCGAGGAACGTAAAGTCTATAGTCTATCTATCTATAGTCATCTTCAGGTGGTGTATTATTATTATGCCTAATAATATGGGGCGTAATTTAACCCACGGGTAAAGGCAAGGTAAAGGGCGAGTGTATACGACAGTAACTTAAGTTACTGACAAAATCCAGCTGTTACAAACGCTTTTATGACTAAGCGGCTTCCCATTAAATGCTTTGTAGATGGGCTGGGAAGCCATGATCATTTATAATTAAAGCCTGATCAAGGAAAGCTAAGCCCAAAACCCATCAAAGCTACTGACTATTCTCAGGATTATCGAATTGACATTAATTCGACATAAACAATATGTCACTGGTCATGAAAGCAAACATTACAAACGGACGTGTAAACCATATGTTATTAGCCCAGGACTCGGGGCGATTACGTAATTCGTGTTTATGCTCCATACAGTTTCTGTTCTAATTCATGGCTAACCAGCTTTGGGTCTCAATACGCAGAAATTTCTCAATTCCATCATGGTAAAAAAAAATAAAAACAATGAAAAATGACCTTTGGAACAGTAATATCGGCACCCACGCCTATGGTCGATGTAGAGACGCCGCATCCATGGACGACGGCGTCTCGTTATGGTAATCGGACAGTCGGGGGAGTGGTCCGGTCTCCGGGGCAGATTTTATCCCAAAACCTGGTTCTGGTTGACAACCAGTTGATCTTGCCGAGGTTACTGACCTACGTAGGCGACCTGTCCACTGTCTTCGGACCAGACCTAGGCCGCGATTCCTCCTTGCCTCACAAACCATTCAGCTTAACTTACAAAACATCAGAATATAATATTTCAAAGTATGCTACTTACAGAAACAATTGCTATCAGCTTATGTAGAGGGCGTTTTTTTTTCTAGTACTGTATTATTACCGATCCAAATAAAAACATGCACGGAGTTAATCGGTGCTGGCCTTCCTATTGATTTTAATTTTTGAATACCGGTATGTTTTATTCCCGAAAAATATCCCAATGTTGCAAATTCATCAGTCACCACCCCACAACTCCAATCTAAGGAGTATTTTGACCTACGCATTCCAGTACCACTTTTCATAAAACATGACAATGTCCGTATGAATCCGTCTAATTCCTTATTCTGGTTCAATAAAATGTGAAAATGATAAGTACAAATCTAAGTATCCGTAGAGGAGTTATTTAGTTGGTATTAAATTTTACAGTGTTTGGAAATGTTTGGATGTACAGTATTTCTAGAAGTTTGTATCTTTATGTTAACGGTTCTTATCCTTACCTTTGGCTTGTACAAATTGTATTTTTGGAAGTGAAAATTATTATTCTGATTCAGTGTGATAGAACTGGCAGTCTCAATTAAGATGGGACGAAACTACGGAATGTTCTAATAGAAATACAAGCAAAGGTTGGGTGTAAACTAAAAAAAACAATTACCATATTGCTGAAACCGTGTTTCGAATACAAACGAACGTATATTCCAATTGGTTGTTTAGTCATTAAGGTTGTGTACGTCATTGATGTAATAGTACGCTACAGTACTAGCCCAGTAAAAATACGTTAAAGCTTACCGGGCGAGTAACGTACGATACTTTAGATCATAATACACAGAATAATTATAAATTTTAAACGTATAACACAATTTATAACCTGACATAAATTATAATCTAAATATATAAAAGGCAAAGCCCTCACTGACTCACTCACTCACTCACTCATCACTAATTCTCCCACTTCCCATTTACCTAGGAGGCTGAAATTCGGTACACCGATTCTTTGGGCATTAAATAGGAAAACTAAGTAGTTTTTATTCTGATCGGGCTTTCGGGCTCCACCCCAGTGGCTCTGGAGTTTCCCATGTTAACCTTATGAGTACTCATATTTAAATGGAATTAATGAATCTTATCAGCTGTTTCAATTAAACAAGTTGGTTCTGTTCTATGATGTTCAATAGCATTAAAGTTACAAGGATTACCAACAGGGTGCAGCACTATTATTTTTTTTAATTTATGACTACAGCCAATTTGCAACCATAAGGTGAGTGAGCGTAGCGAACGAGCTCCAACATAAAGGTGAGTGAGCGTAGCGAACGAACTTCAACCAGGATGTGATTGAGCCATGTGAACAGGCTCACTTGTGAAGTTAAACGGGGCAAAGCCCGCGGGTACAGCTAGTATTTTATATAACAGAAAATAAAATAGGCCGTTGCAGTTAGCCGTTTATTTAATCAGCTGACTAAGTGCACGGTAGAAGTACATAACGTTACTTTTCCGTGTTTAGGTACGGTAAAGGGTAACTTTCCAGCCTATCAATAAGGATGGAAAAGTAGGTACCTGTTTCTGTGTAGTGTGGCGTAAGCAATATTACATGACGATAAATGCATACAAATAATGACATGATACTATTTCTGTTGATTAGGACTATTTTATTCGACAAAAAACAGCCGACCAATGTTAAAACTACTTTAGATGTACAGCTGATAATATCCCGACTCAAGTTTATGATTTTAACAAAATCAGCAGTTTTCAATTTGCATCGCGAGGACAAAGACGTTCTTTTACTCCCTAGGACAATATATAATTATCAGGAGTCTAGGACAACATCTCTGTAACTATTTCTGACTTTAAAATCTGTACGCTGATTTTGTGGAAGAAAATAGTTCCGATTTGTAGAAACATAATTGCATCGTTATTGAAATGTTTTTGTTGTTTCCTTATCGAGTCAAGTTATACGTTTCACTTTTTTCAGTAACAAAAACATTAGCCCTTGTTAAGACAAATTTGATTAATTGTGTTGGCAGTAACACACATTGTTCTAAATAACAGTTACGGCTGTTCAAACAAAATAAAAACGGTGATAATTTTTTGATCTAATTTATAAAGATAAACACAACTACAGTACCAAGACTTTTCCGTGAGTTGCTAAATGTGTAGTTCAGTAATAATTATATTGAGCACTCTGTTACAACGCCTTCAAACTGAGGATGCAATATGCCTACAGCGCATGAATTGCCAGTGTGCGTTTGAAGGCGCTAATGTACATACATTTTGACAATCACGTATTTACTTGGGAAGAAGAGTTGGTTGCCCATCAAAAGTGCAATTTTTATTTGTTACATTGTATGTATTGCGTAAATGATTGGTTGCATAAATTCCTTATATACTGTCTTCAAGCAACAAAGAAATTACAGTACATTTCAAACTGACTGAATTATCTTGTGCAGTTACATTTTAAATTTAGTAGTAATAAATTCAACTATCATACTGCCCAAATAGATATTCAGCCGAGTTGAATAACCTTAAAAAAATACAATCTCCATTTCAAGCTGCAAATCGCCATTCAAGCAAAAATTGTATTTATGTTTAACATAACATTTTAAAAAGTAATAATAAACCCTCTTCCTTTTAAAATAAGAAAGAATTGTGTTATTGAATGAAAAAAGTGAGTTAATGGTTTCCCATGATCTTTTGTATTCCTATACTCTTGCATGAACACACTAGATTGGCATACTTGCAACATATTTTCTTTCTTTATGGTGGTTCAGAAAATTTCTGAATGTTGTGAATTTCTTACCTCTTCAATTTATCAAGAACCCTACAGAAATACAAAAGTCTCCAACCTCATTATGCTTCTTTATAAGAAATATCTACGCTTCTTTTAATCCTATGCTATAATGTTATCAGAAAGAACAGTTTTTTTACTTTCTCCCCCTATAATAGAAATAGAGAAAGTATTGTTTTCGTAAAAATTTTTGAGTTTGAGTTTTGAGTGGATAAATCCGTTTTGGGCGCCCCTGGACCCAAAAAAGTGTTTTTTGAAGTGATGTCCGTGTGTGTGTCTGAATGTGTGGATGTGTACAGAGCTACAGACCACACCTGTTGTCCGATTTTGATGAAATTTGGTATGTAGGTACTTTAATCAATGGTATCTCCAGATATTTCTTTATATTTTTGAAATTTGATTTTTCAATGGTATGGTAATTTCCCCATAAACTAACGAAAATACTGATTTTCTCAAAAATGGCCCGATTAATTTTGACAAAAATTATCTCATGTTATTTCCCATAAAAACAAAAAATCTTATTTCAGGGAAAAAACCAGGTTCGATTAAAATTAATGTATTGTGGTCCTTATAATTCTAAACAAAATAGTGCAAACCCCCCTTCTGTAACAATTTATTCAAAAGTTATTGCATATTTTGTGATTTTTAAAAATAGAATATTATAGTTAACTTACTCCCACCTCTTACCCATGATAAAGGTTGTTGACAAGCTAATGGGAGAAAGTATGTGTTTGTTAGATTGCTGATACTGTTTATTTCTTCTAGTGACCCTGGGACATATTACTGCAAAAGAAAAACCTCCTGGTAATGAAAACTTTGAATTGAATGAACATGAACTTTACTAACATGTCCCACCTTTTTTCCTCATAGAAGAAACCCTTTAGGTTTGAGAAAAGACATTCAGCCAGGGAAATTCATCAAGAGTTGGCAAAACTAGTAAGGTAGAAAATACCACCATGCCATAGTTGGAAAACTAATAGCACTCACAGTTTACCGACTTCATGGTAGAATTTGACACATTTTCCTAATATTTTCAAATTACTTAGGGTAATCATGTTTGGGACTTTGGCGGTGCCGGATTAATGAATGTCTTCCAAAAACAACTGTTAATGCCAGACTAGCGACAAAATCATTAATTTTAGAGCCTCAGAATGAAATTGATGGCCAGCAGGTCCTTATTTTGTGTTTTACCATTAGTAGTGATTTAAAATTCTATAATATACTAAATTAAAAGCAAACACCTCCTGAATTATATTGAGTGTAACTGACGTCTGCACATCAATCCAACTCTGTCAAACAGGCTAATGTGGTTTAAAAGTTAAAACAATGTTCCAAATCGTTTTAGACCTTTAGACTGATGCTTGTTTATTGAAAGTGCTGAGCCATAAGATGTCAGATCAGCAGGCTTTTACTATATTTTGAATTACTTTCAGACATACTTACTATAAACATTATACATTTCAAACTATAATACATAGCTATGATTACAAATTACATACAAATGAATACGTTGTGGGGAAAACTCTTTGAAAACATTACTCAGTTCCAAATAAACCATTTATTTGTCAAAATAAAAAAAAAGTAAAAAAATGTGAGGTCATGATCTAAGCGATGGAAGCAATCCACTTGTGGACGGCCTTGAGATCGGCAGTAGTCTCTGGAGTGGTGTTGAAGGCACAACCCTCGGCAAACTCCACAGTGATGGGGGCGAGGTGGTGGAACTCAAAGTCTTTACCCGGGATACCCAGAGTAGCTTGAGTCGTAGAGCCGTCAGTGCCTGTCAGCTGACTGCTCTTGGTGCGACGGACTACGTTGCTGGAACAGACAAACACTTTGTACACGGTCGACTCTCTCAGAACACTAATCAAATTCCAGTCTTGTATCGTTACCAGCTGACTAATTCATCGCAGCCTTAGATTACCAAGTGTGTCGGACTATCGAGTATCAAATTATGAAACGGACAAGAGTAGGGTGATCCAAAACAACTGATTATCTAACAGTATAGCTGGGTAGCTGAGTAGTTCAGGTACTCACGTTACAATCGAAAGGCCATCGGTTCAAAAATCAATAGTTTTTGGAGGTTTGAAACAAAACGCAGCTAACCTTGGTCTTTAGGCATTTAATAAATGTTCGGGCTATAAGAACGGCTGGTCTTAGTCAGTAACAACGCAAACACAGAATCAAACTCTACTCTCACCTTAATCATGCTTCAAATTCACACTGAAATGAATGAATAATGTTAGTAAAGTTTTGTTCTGTGTAGGTAAAGAGACACTTACAGTTCCTTCTCCAGCATAGCCTTGATTGGTTGAGAACCCTTCGCCAGAGTCTGGTCTTGCTTGTTGCACAACAGAAGCAGTTTAGGAGCCGCAGCAAGGATCACCGGGTCAGTCAAAACTGTATACAACAACCTGTAACATGCGACGAGTCAATTACAGAAGAGACACTTAAAATCTAGGTCCTCTTCCTATAAATAGACCTATATACAGTAGACTCCCTCTCGTTCGGCCATCTCGGGACCGAACCACCGGCCGAACTAAAAAATGGCCGAACTAACCGATGATATATAAAGAAGACTACTTTTTCTGCCGTAAATGGACTTACTGTACAGTATAAGGGATCTATACACTAAACTAAACCTAATTAATAAGACTAGGCTTAGGCTAAGTGTAGATTTTAAACTTACCCTCAGAAATGTTGGTATTGTTTAATGAAAACACGTACTGAACACTTGACACTGTACTGACATTATTCATTTATTTCACACACAATAAACATAAATAATGTAGGCCTAAATACAATAAAAAAGAATCCACACAACACTGAAATTTTACAGGAATGATGTTTAAACTACAGTACTGCACTGTAATGACAAAGTTTAAAAGAAATCAGTAATTTTTCGCTGTACCTTTTCTTCAGTTGATTTCTTTCTAGCATAGTCACGCCATTTTCTAAAAAGCATTAAGTCAACTGCTGTAGAACTCGTCTGCTGTTCGATGTAGGTTGTAGCCAGTTGCAGGGCTGCCATTCCCTCTGCGTGACTCATTTTACACTCGTCGTCCTCATCACGGTCGCCACCTTCTTCTTCTTCTCCTTCTTGGGTTTCTTGACGCTGTAAAACTGATTGAGCGATTTCTTCGTCGTTCAAAATTTCATTGTCCACCTCCTTTTCGACAGATACCCACTCCAAAACATCTTCAAGCTCAACATTTTCACTGTGAGGCAATTGCTGTAAATTATTTAGGATGTAAGCTTGGTCGTCTGCTTCACTTTCAAGGTTGTGCACATCAACAACATTGCCTTCACTTGCAACAACTTCTTCAACATTCGGCCATACCTTTCTCCACGACTTAACTAATGTTGAAGGTTGTACTTCGTCATAGGCCTTCGCTACCATGAAAATCACGTCCTTCATGTTGATTGTCTTTAAAACCTTGATGAGATCGGTGTTTTCGTCGCTATCCAGTTTGTACAAAACTTCTGAAAGAAGCTTTCGACGATACTTTCTCTTGAAACACTCTATTACCCCTTGGTCCATTGGCTGTTGGAGGCTTGTTACGTTGGGGGGCAGGTAGTACAGTTTTATTCCAGACTCGCCATCACATTCTAACTCATCCGGATGGGTAGGCGCATTGTCAAGAACAAGAAGTGCGTTTACAGGGAGTTTTAAACTCATCAAACGACTTTTTACTTTAGGCACAAACTCACTAATAAACCACTCTTTAAACAAATACGAGTCCATCCAAGCAGACTTCTGAGCCCGGTAGTACACTGGTAGTTTTGATACGTCCAAGTTTTTGAATGCTCTCGGTTTTGCTGATTTTCCGATTACAAAAAGGGGCAATTTATGCGTACCCGAAGCATTGGAGCAAAGTGCCACTGTGATCCTATCTTTACTGACCTTAAACCCAGGGGCACACATTTCTGTTGCTGCAGCAAATGTTTTCCGTGGCAAGAGTTTATAGTACAGCCCTGTTTCATCGATATTATAAACCTGTTCCGGGCTTAGGTTATTCTCAGCAATAATTTGCTCAAATTTCTTTGTAAACTCAGCTGCACCAGCAGGGTCTGCCGACAGCTTTTCACCACACACCCCAAGAAAATGTACCCCGTGTCTTTTTTTCCAACGGGAAAGCCATCCCTCACTTGCGACAAATTCCCCCTCCTCACCAAGTTTCCCATGTAAGATAACCGCCTTCTCCTTTAAGATAGGGCCACTGATCGGCGTTCCCCTTCTTCGTTCCTGCATAAACCACACCCAAAGAGCATCGTTCACCAATTCATTTTTAGGTTTTTTTAAAGTGCAACGTGATGAAAGAGCTTTTTCCGATTCAATCTGCGTACAAAAATCCTCGATCGATTTTCGGTTTCGACGCCAGTCATTCACGGTGCTTTTACCAACCCCCAAATCTGTACAAATACTTTGGACCGATTCACCTTTGTCTATTCTCTCTAGAGCTTGCAACCGCTGTTGCATTGTCACAAATGTACGTTTTCGTTTAGCACTCATAACAATGTAAAGTACGTACAGTCACTTATAAGTTAAAGTTCAGTTAACAAAACACAATTAAATCAGTTCACTAAGTCACAACAACTAATGTGTAAACACGAACGTCCGGTACTGTACTGAACAGTGAACACGTGTGCAGTGAACTAGAGCTAAAACGGAAGTCAGATTCTTATCTGCTTCCGTTTTATAGATACACAATTTAAAAAAACTCTATCCAGGCGGCCGGCCGAACCATCCGGAGGCCGAACCAACCGAGGCCGAACGAGAGGGAGTCTACTGTATAGAGTATTCCTATATAAAGAGCATTTTTCATATTTTACTCCGATAACTCACATTTAGGTTATGTAGTTATAGGAGAGGTAAAAGAAATAGACTAAAAATGTTTAATAACTTGCTTAGTATTCTGGTGAATCGTATTGTCCATTTAGTTGAATGATGAATATTCTTAACATTTTAACTCTATGGGGGAGCGAGCTGGTATAGTGGTTAGAGCGTGGGACTTTGGTCCAAGAAGTCCTGGGTACGAATCCCGCCAAATCACCAATGGATTTGATCTAAGTGATATTGTCGCAACCCCTAGGTCTAGCCTGATTTAATGTGAAAAACAATCCCAGACGTCCCTAGTGTCCTAGTACTAGGGTCCAACATTAAAAGGGTACTAGGGACAAAAAAAATTAACTCTGTGCAAAATGGATACTGTATCTCAGAAAATCTAGGCCTAAATCTACTACACAATTTTTTTACCGACAGCTTAAATGATACTTACTCTGCGACATCCCTGATTTCCTTTTGTACTGTGGTGGCATCCATGACGAAGATGATGCCTCTCGCAATGCCTTTGTACAGGTCAAAGAATTTTCCACGAACTCGTTCATGTCCAGGAATGTCTACAACCCGTAAGAAGCCCTGGAACAATATAGTCAACATGGCAAGTGTTACGGTAGATGATGTTGATCTCAGTAGATTAACAGGCAAGCTGGGATTGAAATGGAAACAATAACAATCAACTCTGTAGGCTCTGGTCTAGCAAAATAAGTAATGAGTCAAGGCGACACTAAATAAAATGCTCTTCTGGCATGACGACATCGTAGGTGACGGCAATGACGTAATGTTTGCCGTTTGTGATCAGCTGCCTGTTTTAATATTTTCTTGGAAAACAAAAATATAACTAAATAAATAAATAACAATACGTCGTTGCCTGACATAATTTGATATCATGCCTGTGGAGCATTACGGCCTGTTCATTTAGTGTTGCCTTGAATGAGTATGCCTAGTTAGTTTAAAATATTTAGTAATATGAAAAAATATTTTACATTCCAAATACAGTCTCGTCATTAATACCACTGTGATTTTTGACAAATTATCAAACCTAATTTTCTGAATAAAAACGGCATTTGCCAAAAAAGTATTCAAAATGGTCCAAATACTAAGAAAGAAATAAAGGAAAATGATTTCAGGGTGAAACAGGTGTTTCCTCAACAAGTGCTCAAAATGGCTAAATAATGAGACAATACTACTTTTTTCTAATATTGTTTGGAAGCCCTAAACCAAACAACGCTACTGATTCAGGTTAGGTTGGAGCAACCTTGCATGACGCAAATCCAATGAAGGCCTGGCAATATAAAGCCTTGAGTTACAAAACAGCCGTTCAATTAAATTACCTTTATGCATTAAAAAATGTTATCTTCGTAAAACATAACAAAAGAATTAATTTAAAATACATTAAGGATATAAATCATCTTCACGTTACTTTAGCTAACAAAAAGCAAGTTGCCTTAAGTGTCAATGCATGTTTAAACAAAGCAATTTGTAATGGTTTGATTGTGTTTACTGTTATCGTCTTTAATTCTATGAATTATAACCGAGGATGGGTTGGGACGTGACAATTAAGTGGTTGACATCTGTACTCCCAGTGCTAGGAAATTGTGCTCAACACTCTGGTTACCCGGTATATAATGTTATTAAACTTCTGTAAAGATGGTGACAAAATCTGTCACTAGGCATAGATCTACTTATATTTGGACATTTTTACACGAATAGGTTACTGTAACTTAATTTCTTACTTACATTATTTACTATGAAGTCCCCAGCATTTTCTTTAATTGATGTGTGAGAATTGACATAGCGACTATAAAGCAGGCGAGAGAATACTAAAGTTTTGCCAGCATCGCAAAGTCCCATGATTAACACACCTCTTCGAGCATTTTGTCTGCGCTGCCACAGTACAAATAAAACTGCAAGAGAGGTTATCGTTATTCTACCTTGCATTTTTTTAAACGTCGGTAATGCTGAAGTAACAAAAGTAAAAAGTACTAAATAATTGTTAAGTTATTCTCTGTTTATTTGTTACGGTTAACCTATATAAATAAGAGGGTAGTTTTTTAAGTAAGGGACATGCATTTTCTCAGTTGTTTCTTGTGGTCCACAAACATATCACTGGCCTTATCTCTAGTAGCAAGGGAGATTCAATAATTTCCAAGTAGGCCTACATACATCAAAATGGTGCCATTGAATCAAGAATTATTGTCTGCCAATAAGCGGCTTACAACTATAGGCCATTGTTTGTCATGCACAGATCATGCACTATAATAGATGTCAGCACTGTGTTTACACTGACAGTAAAACTAGAGTACTGCAGTTCATTCTACAACAAAGTGTCCACTCAAATATTATCTAGGCTAACTTAACTTAAGTTAAGAGAACATTGGCATTTGGTCCATAGGCTCTAAATCTAAATGTTTGTCATTTTGCAAACAAATTGCGGGCTGCACTTTACTTTAGGTCCTACACTCATTCGAATGAAAATATTGATCGATATATCGATTATTCGATAAGTTATATCGTTTGGTTAGTTAGGTAAGGTTAACCTAACCTAACTAACCAAACGACATATTGAATGAAGCAATCGAATAGTCGATATTTTCATTCGATTGAGTGTAGGACTTAAAGTAAAGTGCAGCCAAATTGCGTACAGGTAGGATGGTGGCTTATAGAAAAAAGATACTTACTTATAGTTATAATAACAGCAATCACAGCGACAATGACACCAAGCATATGGGAATTGAGACCAAATGTTGGGTCGAACATTTTGTCCTTTTTTACATGTACATCTGAGTCTGTTGACATATTTATTTCAATTTTTAGTCTCCGTGACTATCTTCAACACACAAATTAAGAGAAAAACGCAAACAAATTCAAACCTGGTGAAAACACTGAAAGGTTAACTAAAAAAACAAGTTCTAAATTATGTCTTCATTATATGTTGAATGATGTTCAACAATCAAAATTAGGAATTTTACTCACAAGAAAATTCCCAACCTACTTTAAACACTAGACAATATTACTATCAAAGTTTTTGTTGAAACCTAATCAAATAATGTTATTTAGTCTAATTCAACGACAACAACTAGAGAGGACACAGCTCCAGCTGACAACTTTGACTTCGACTTCCATTCATTTCATTCCAAAACGGCGACACGACACAAGGTTTAACTTTTTTTAGTCTCCAGTCCTCAGACTAAAGAAGAAAGAATTCCATTTATCATAGGTTAAAGTACACAAGAAGTAATATTTTTGTTATTAAAGTGTTAATGTTATTTAATATCTTCTTTTTATAATTTTAAAATCTAAACATGCACTCTTACATCTGTGAACTATGTGTATTATTAACACCATTGGCTTTTTTCTTGTTTTTTTTTTTTTGGGGGGGGATCGTCCAAATATACCAAATATATATATAATATGTTATACGAAATCATACTTTATAGGGTATACCGTATACCGAGCCGGATGCAAGACTTTTTTCTATCCTAGATGGTCAATTGAAAATCTCGCTAATCAATCACCAATGATTTTAGAACTGTAGTGGTGAGTTGAGTGTCGGCGCAAACCAGTGCCATAGAATTTAGGGTCAACATTAAACTGTAGATCCAGCTTTAACAAAATTACTATTTGATTGAGTGGACAGGGCCCTGTGGCCCTATACTGTATTAAACCATTAATTGGCTTTGATAAGCGATATTTCATTATGAATTCGAAATTTGTGCCACCAACCTTAAAACAGTGGGCCATCAACTACATGTAGATTGACATTTAGATAAAGAGATACTTCTTAAGTTCTTTATTCTTCTCTTCTATGTTTTCATTATATTATTTTATGTTAATTTAATATCATTCACATTCTATATATTTCAGGTCTAAATTAGAATAAGGGATATCAAGGTTCTTTGTGGATAAATAAATATTCTTTTCTTGCCCAGCTCACTTAAATTTGATAAATAGTTGTATAGTACTTCATAATCAGTGCTTTTAAAATATTAACAATAAGATACTCATGACATTAAACTGGCCTGCAGATGTAAAGTTTGACTCTTATGTCTGCTAAGAAAAAAAAGAAAACAGTTTTTGTTCTGTCAGATCAGATCAGCTGTGCTGTAATGAATTTTGTGTCTGTTCTGTTTGCTGTGTTGTGATTGTGAATGAATGTGCACGTGCCTCAGTTTTCAGTTTAAGGTTAACGGTTAACCTATTTTGTGTTTATTTTGATCAAAACGAATAAATGCAACTTGTAAGTAGTTTGTGTGTGTGGTAAAATAAATTTCAGTTATGGAAATGCAAAAAGTGTTTAAAGATATCGTTTTGCTCCTTGGAGAAGGACCAAAAACTAATCAAAGTGACCAAGCTGTTATGCACAACATTTTTGATGTTATACTAAGCTGTACATCTATAGAGGAGTCATGGGAATTTTTCTCTGAACAATTTCTATCTGCTATGGTTAAGTATGCTTGTCCTAATTCATGCTATAGTGAAATTGTTTTCAAAATCTGCATTAATGTACTTTCAGTGGAAAGTTTAAGTTCAAGGTTAAGTACATTGCCAGAAATAGCAAAGTTAATAGAATTATCTATCGATAGCATCACAGATAAAACCTGCCTGCATGCCGACACATGTTGTATGTTTCTTTCAAATTTGACGAGACTGGAAACAAGTTGCGAATTTATATCAGAGAATATAACACCACTTCCAGAGACTTTGAGGCGCTTAGTGACAGCATTTACTATTGTTGGATACAACCCTAAGTGCTCTTTGGACCAACTGGCAATGGTGTTCTGCAACTTGAGCCAAGTTGCAAACATCAGAAATGTCATGACTCTAACGGAGAACAATATTCTTCAGAAACTAATTCCTTTTATGAATCATGATAATCAAACTCGCCGAATTGGGATTATTGGTGTTGTCCATAACTGTGCATTTGATACAAGTATACACAGTTGGCTGCTCAGTGATGAAATAGATCTGCTTCCACGCCTCCTTTTGCCTTTAGCAGGTCCTGAACAGTTTGACGATGAAGACAATGACAAATTGCCAATAGATTTACAGTTTCTTCCCGAGACTAAAACCCGAGAATCCAATCCTGAAATCCGAAAGCAATTGCTTGAAACATTAAATCAGTTGTGTGCTACAAAGTTTGGCCGACAATTTCTAAGAGATCATAATGCATATATCATCCTGAGAGAGCTGCACAAATGGGAAGAAAACTCTTCAGTTCTACTTGCTTGTGAGAATGTGATTGATATTCTTATAAGAACAGAAGAGGAAATTGGTTTTGATCATTTAAAAACTGTTGACATTCCAGAAGACTTAAAGGAAAAGTTTAATAAACTCACTTCAAGTGAATAGACCTTTAGATTAAATACATCAAGTTACAGTCTTATTAAAATAGTAATTACGTATGGGGGCTGAGATGTTTTTAATTTAGTAACTTCAACTAAAGCTTTACAAGAAGAGCATTGCAATGTTGGTAGGGTGCCAAATAGTAGGCTATCCAGACCTGACCTACTTGAAAGACTCAGGTAAATTTATTATTTTAACATGAATACTTTTGCGTAGGTCTAGTTTCAATGCATTTGGGGTACAGTTTCTTAACTGGGCTATGCTATTACCGATTAAAACTATTGATTCGATTAGTAAACCTTCATTCAATTTTTTCACTATCAGCAAGTTTGGTTAGTTAGGTTAGGTTATGACAGTTTAATTTTATTGATGCTATAGTAAAAATATTGATTATTAAGCAATATTTTCAATTCGATAGTTTCAATTGATATTAGCATAGCCCATTTAAGAAACTGTACCCCAACTGATAGCTTTTTTTCCAAGTCTGATGTTTAAAAATTCGACCACATTCCAAGAGATGGCAGTTGGGACGGAGATTAATACTGGTTTAGGCCTACAGGATGGACGCGGCGAGTCAAAAGTGGCAACCGACGGAAACAGCTGTGGCACTTTTCACAACTGAGCTTTTGTGTAATGTTTTTATGTTTATAACTTGTTTGTTATTACCGGTATCATGGCAAAAGGCATGCCGTAGCCACACATCAATGATTTGTACTAGAGGATTCTATGATTATAGTTAAACTTTGTGCTGCTAAATGATTATTAGCTATGACTAACAGGTAGACTAATATAAAAATTCTCGACTATTACCTAGTTGCACTGTGTTTACAGTGCTGTCTCTCTTGTTATCGGTATTAGGAGTTTTAAGTTTATGATTTTAAATAGAAGAGAAGGGTAGTAGTTTGTAGTTTGAACCCAGATGGCTCTTGTGTGTAAAAACAACTTAGCTGCCTAACGTCATATTGAAAACCGAATAGGTAGGCTAAGTGAGTGAATCAGTTTCGCAACTCTGAAACCAGGAAAGCGATATCATTTGTGTTTTGCCCCAATGCTACCACATTAAGTTTATCATTACTGTTCATTTTTTATAAGCTCACCCCTACTTTGCAGAATAGACTTCATTTCACGTTCACGTACATTAAGGTTGAAAGAGGCCGCCAACCTCTTTAAAAAAATACTCAAGTTATCTTACAAACAATACAAAAGTGCTAAATTATCTTTTATATGTTTATCCTTTATGTTAAGTTTTATCTTGTATATTTTTAAATTAAGCTAATTACTGTTGTTGGGTAAATGTATAAAACAAATTATTGTAGGCCTACATGTACATATTGTAAATAAAATTTCCTTTTAATTACTTTTTGTCTTTATTATTTCCTATGGCACCATCAACTCAGTTGTTATATTTTTGATTAGCTGCATAACAATTACAATTCACTCAAACTTTAAAGGAGGGATTTGGTATGCTGATTAAAGGGAAAAAAAGAGAGTTTAAAGAAAAAGTCGTCCATTTATACTTGTAAACAGTAAACCTACTAAGCATAAAAATTATAGAAAAAATGGGAATAGCCTACCATATAACCCTGGTTACTTTTGTATGTCCAATTGCTTTGTAAGATACCCCTTATAACTTTTAGAACTAATTTTACTGAATTACTTTGTGTGTCTGGAAAAGTCAAAGTTTTCATACCCTATGATTCCTATGAATATTTTAAGTACATACAAAAGAACAGATATACTGGTGTGGGTTTGTAAATGATTACACGATGAATATATAAAAACATTTATTGTTTTCTGCAACTGAAATACACAAGTTTTAGTCGTTGCGTTTCCAGAAAATAACCCTATACATTAAAGGAACTGAAGAGCAGTTGTGTAATACATTTGGACTTGGTTAAGTATAAAACATTTAGGTAATGGTTTAACACTCGCCTACAATAATATTATACAGAAAGAGTTAGTCTTATGTATATTTATATCCGCACTAATGTCTATTTCCTAGAAATATTCAGTTACTGTACTGCACTTATCAGATTATATTTTCTATGATTTCTTGGAAATAAAACAAACTAGATCATAAATAGAGGAATCCATTGTCGTTCTTTTGCTTAGGTAACTTCTTGTTAAGTTTGGTATGGAAATAGCTCAAGCTGGAAAATGTAGTATTTTAGTAAATAAATTCTACCATCATTCAACTAGATGTCACTATTTATCTTCACAAAACAATAATTCAGGGTATTTTTTCAAAGCCACGCTTAAAAAATGACAAAACTGTTTACATAAAGTTTGATGCATTCTGTATAGGCCTATAGAAAGTTGACCTCAAAGTAATAATTCAAAACTAAACAGCTGAAGCCAGGATTTGACTGCAAATGCCTTGTTACAGCTGTTTTCTATTTGGATTTCTGGATTTACTACCTCGGTCAGCGCAAACTAGATTTGTGAGTTTTTCAAGAAACATCATATAAATGGTCAAATATCCCATAATTACAAACAATTTTATGAAATACTATGTGTTAAGAAAGTAAACTATTTTTTTAGTGACAAGTTTAAACGGATAAAATCCGAAAAAAAGGACTATGACTTAATTGTTATTTACATTCCTTTTTCTACACCTACATCTATTTTCCTGTAGTGTCTGGAAATTATTACAAAGTAGTATATGACTAGACGAAGATAACATTGTTTTGAGAATTAATTCAAGATTACAAAATTTATAGAAAATCAACCCCAGGTACAGTGTTAGGTT